CTTAACAGAAAGCCACCCACCCCATACTCCTGGAGCGTCCCCCACAGGGTGCCCCTGGGGACACGGTCATAAGCCTTCTCCAAATCCACAAAACACATGTGAATTGGTTGGGCAAACTCCCATGCCCCCTCCATCACCCTTGCAAGAGTATAGAGATGGTCCACAGTTCCACGGCCAGGACGAAACCACATTGCTCCTCCTCAATCTGAGATTCAACTATCGATCGGACCCTCCTCTCCAGTACCTTGGATTAGACCTTTCCAGGGAGGCTGAGGAGTGTGATCCCCCTATAGTTGGAACACACCCTCAGGTCACCCTTCTTAAAGATGGGGACCACCACCCCGGTCTGCCACTCCACAGGAACTGCCCCCGATGACCACACAATGTTGCAGAGACGTGTCAACCACGAAAGCCCTACAACATCCATAGCCTTGAGATACCCAGGACAAATCTCATCCGTCCCCAGGGCTCCGCCGCTGTGTAGTTGTTTGACTACCTCAGCAACTTCTGCCCCCGAGATTGGACAGTCCATCCCCAGGTCTCCCGGCTCTGGTTCCTCCTCAGAATGCGCATAGGTGGGATTGAGGAGCTCCTCAAAGTATTCCTTCCACCGTCCGACTATAGCCCCAGTTGACGTCAGCCGCTCCCCATCCCCACTGTAAACAGTGTGAGCGAGTTGCTGCCTTCCTCTCCTGAGGCGCCAGACAGTTTGCCAGAACCTCTTTGGAGCAGATCGATAGTCTTACTCCATGGCCTCCCCAAACTCCTCCCATGCCCGAGATTTTGCCTCGGCAACTGCCACTGCTGCACCCCGCTTGGCTATCCGGTACCTGTCTGCTGCCTCTGGAGACTCACAGACCAGCCACGCCCTGCAGGCCTCCTTCTTCAGCCTGACGGCTCCCCGAACCTCTGGTGTCCACCAGCAGGTACGAGGGTTGCCACCACGACTGGCACCGGCCACCTTGCAACCACAGCCAGCAACAGCCACCTCAACAATCGCAGAGTGGAACAAGGCCCACTCGGAGTCAATGTCCCCCACTGCTCTCGGGACGCGGTCAAAGCTCTGCCGGAGGTGGGAGTTGAAGACCGTCTTGACAGGTTCTTCTGCCAGGCGTTCCCAGCAGACCCTCACTATGCGTTTGGGTCTGCCAGGTCTACGCGGCATCTTCCCCTGCCATCTGGTCCAACTCACCACCAGGTGGTGATCAGTTGACAGCTCCGCTCCTCTCTTCACTCGGATGTCCAAAACATACGCCGCAGGTCAGATAGACTACAAAGTCTATCATCAACCTGCGACCTAGGCGACCTGCGACCTAGGCTGCTCTGGTACCAAGTGTACTCATGGGCATCCTTATGTTCAAACATGGTGTTCGTTATGGCCAAACTGCGGCTTGCACAGAGGTCCAATAACGAAACACCACTCGAGTTCAGATCAAATTAATATTTTCTTTTATTGTTTCTTAGTTATAAAGGTCACAGAATGATGTGATATGTGAGGTTTTGTGCAAATGGTTCATATTCCTGCACAATTATTCCAAAAATGCATGTATTCCTGTATTCAGCCAACAAAGCCTATGCTATGACATTAAGGATTTTACTAAACACACAAAGCTGAGCATCAACTCCCTTCCTGGAAACTGCATCTAAACTTTTTTCCTTTTTTACGTTTCTTTTTCCCTAATCCCAAAATCTGGAAAGCTCAGAGGTTCCACCATGAATTTCCAACAAACCCAACATATCTGTGCAAAACCGAAGTAGGTTAAGAAGATTCTGTCGTCACAACAAATGATGCAGATCGTGCCCCTTCACTTTTGGGCACATCCCCAAGCAGTGCTAATAATCCTGCCTGCAAACAAGCTGTCAGTTTTACTACGAATGTAAACCTTGTTACTGGAATGCTGTTCGCAGAAATGTCACTCCAGGTTGGGGGTAAGGAGGCCCGAAAGTGGCTGCCCTCTAAAGGTCACAGCCATCACTCTGAATTAAAGCACATTTAAAGCAGTGGCAATACTGAGCATTGCTACACGTAAACATGCATGTGAAACAGCTTTTCCTTCTGATTCTATGAGCTCCAAATATAAGAAATTCATTGAAAATAGAAACAATGCTGGAAGTGCTGCAGGGGTGTAAGAAATTTTTATCTGATGCTCTCACTGGTGCTCTTCAGCCAAGGGATCCACATGAATGTTGGGCAAAAGGAGATCTGAGGCACTCAGGAGATACAAAATTAAAAATCCTTTATTGGTGCATGGCTTAAATAGTTAAAAACATCAGCGCCGACGCATTTCAGCCCACAGAGCCTTCGTCAGGGCTCAAAGTGTTTGTAGGTCCTCTCATACGCGTTGGCACTAATGTTTTTAACTATTTAAGCCATGCACCAATAAAGGCTTTTTAATTTTGTATCTCCTGAGGACCTAAGATCTCCTTTTGCCCAACTTAATAAATTAATTATTTTATACTAATTACATATTACTTTCAAATCTCAGAATGTGCTTTTGCAGGAAAATGTAGACAACCAACAATTAACTGGCTCATTTAGATAAATGTGTGGTATCTAATCTAATCTTAAGGTTAGTTCTCAGTTAGTTATTACAGCTCTCTGATCCTCAGCTGATAAAATAACCTTCTGTTGCTCACAATGTCCTGGCTGTGAGGTACAAGTTAACCCTGGAGAATTGTTCTCGTGTTGCATAAAACAGCTGTTTGCAAATCTCTAACCAGGCTCAGCTATTTCTGTACTTTTTTCTCTGTTACAACTCATAAAATGTAGTTTTGATCTTTTCTGGGCCTCCAGGTGATAACAAGTTGGTTAGGCCTCTGTGAGAGAAAAACTGGAGACCAGGGGTCAACAATTCCCATCATTATCCTTACTTTGGATGAAGTTCATTATTTTTGCAAGATTATTGATGTTTTTTAATATATTATTAATACATTTTCAGTGGTCTGTAGTCGGAATGAATGCCCTGTAAGTTGTTATCTGGGGGCAAAAAGCTCTGGTGCACCTGTTTGAGGACACAGACATAAGCCGGAGGAGAAAGTAGCTTCAGGCGGCAGGTTTTAGAGTCTAATTTCCTGATATTTAAATAACAGAGGCCTGAAGGAGCTGCTGCCTTGTGGCTGGGTCACTAATGGGCCATTCCCATCTGTACCGGGTCGGCCCGGGCCGGGTAGCCCCAGTCGGCCCCAGCCTGGCCCGGTTGATTCCACACTTCCTTGCCTTAAGCCAATGTGGGCTGATTCTACCCACCAGTCAGAGGCTTGCTCTAATGGAAGGTGTGAATTTGCTGTCAGCAGTGGGTGTGTTGGCCCTGGTCGGCCTGAAGCAGACCCCCTCGAGAAGAGGGCTGAGAATGAGCCTTGGTTGGCCCGGAAAAATGCCAGGCCACCCAGATATGTAAACAACCTACGCTACCCGGCCCGGGCCGACCCGGTACAGATGGGAATGGCCCATAAAGGAGTAAAAACTGATACCAATATTTTACGATATTACATTTTAAGACATGTCTCAGTCAATGTGTGTGCCTCTCTCCCTCGCAAAGCTGACGGAGCAGCATAAATTAGGCTTAACTCTGGGGAAGAAACCTCTGGTGCATCTATATGAGGATGTAGCAGTCAGCTGGGGCAGAAAGTAGCTTCAGAGGGCAGGATTGGAGCCTTATTTCTGGACTTTTGGACATCTCACCTCTGATTGGCTAACAACACGACTCTACCACTGACTCCATTTACTTTGTAACGTTGATGTTATATCTCCACAAATAACGTTCTGCCATGTGGTGGAGTTGCTAATGCTAACAGTTAGCTTAAACTAGCCAAGACATTCTCTGCTGTTTCCTGAACGCTAAACCAACAACAGCCTTTGCCGCCGTTAGTTAAGATGGGTGAGTCCATGAGTGTTAAGTGACAGTGTGACGTAGATCTGTCAGGATTATTTGAACCAAGTGTTTTTCTGCCCATTTTCATCAGAAGCAAATGCAGGAAATAGGGGTAGAAGACAATTTTCATGTTCAGCCTGTACGTTAAACTCAGAGTGACTGATCATTTTCAATAATAATAATAAAGAATTGTTTCTTAGCGAACCTGCTCTTTAATAGTTTACTTGTAGCTAAACAGTTGTGGTGACGCCATCTCTTGTATCGTTTGATTTTATCTTTTAACAAAACAGTTCCTGTTGAATAAAAATGAGCAAAAATGAAACACAAAGCCTGCAAAGTGAGCCATATTTTCACCAGATTACTGGGGGTCACAGTTAAGCTTTAACAGGAATTCAAAAACAAATCCTCAGTGGAAATAGTAATGCATACTGTAGGTGCCACGTGGAAGGAAAGCATCTCATCATCCAGCTCTCAAGTTCACAAGCATAACTTTGTCTGTAACTCCAAGTTATCTCAGACTTGTGTCAAGCTATAGCAGGTGATAAAAATATCACAAATGAATTAGATCAGGTCATTCTGCTACTGCTTTGAGCGATAGCCTCTCCATGATGTCATGGAAAACCAGAATAAGGGTTTACAAAGGGGGTGTACACCCCTACAGGGGAGCTGTGCTTCTATGAAACAGTTTCTAAGTACTTAAACACACAAATAAACACAATGCTGCTGTCAAAACCTCAATAAAATCTGGAAAATGGTGATAATCTGTAAGATGTTTGTTCACATCAATTTCAGTTTGTTTCTTACGGAAGTGTAGTGACTGACAGATGAGATTTCACCACGCAGGGGTGATCAACTACTCTGTTTGTATGTTTTTAAATGTGATTTCAGCTGATGAATGGGACTCCAACTGAGCCTGCTTCTCCAGGGAAGGGTGCTGTCAGAATCCCAGATGCAATACAATAATAAGAAGTTTGTTCCAATGAGGAGCAATGCTGGCAAAAAGCCCATAGATAAGTGAAAACCTTGTTTTCCACACAAGACCACTTAAACACATCACTAGCAACAAAACTATGAACAAAGCAGGGATTCATTTTTCTGACTGTTTGTTAATGGTATAAATCAGCTTACCAGTGTGAGTGCGTGGAGCAGGTGCACCGAGGTCCTGTCAAAATCCCTGATCCTCAGCTTCCCATGCGGATCCTGGTAGCATATCAGCACGAGTTTCCTTGCAGTCCCTCCCTGGGATTGGCTCTCTTCGCTGGAGTATTCCCTGTCCGTGTGTCCCTCCTTCTTCACTCGCCTCTTCTGCTTCTTGATGCAGCAAAGAGGTTCGAGAGAGAGAGAGAGAGAGAGAGAGAGAGAGAGAGAGAGAGAGAGAGAGAGAGAGAGAGAGAGAGAGAGAGAGAGAGTGCTTTGCCCCTTGCAGAGCCCCCCTTCAGCAGCAGACTGAGCTGACTGATCGTGGGAGTTGCTCTCTTTCTCTGTTCTAGCCTGAAAATGCAGCACAGAGGACCTTTGCCAGTTTCTCAGCTGTGTGCAGTATTGATGGAGTTGCTGAGGGGATGCTAACACAGCATGAATCCTCACCGTTCCCTGCTCTCGTCCTTTAACCCCTCCTTGTCTCTTTCCCGAGCTCAGATCCCCCTCTTCTCCCCTCTTAACTGCTTGTTCTCCTCAGACCTGTTCTGCATCCCCTTCAGATGTCAAAGTCCTGACTTGCCAGTTGAAGTAGATCAATGACTTCCAGCCTTCCCTACTACTCTGCATGCTGACTGTCCATTCTTTGCATTGCACGCTTTTCTCACGTGTATCGTGTCAGCTGTTATTAAAACCTACCACAACCCTGACTGCAACAAACACTGTCACAGCTATATCGCAGCAGTGCAAGAAAGAGCAGAAGTGCATGTGTTGCAGAAAAATGCAGGTTCAGTCAGAAAGCAGAGCACCTTATACACACATTATCCCCTTTAGATATCTGCAGGATCAAAGTCACACAGTTAAGAAAGGCAGAGAAATTCGTTGAAAATGATGATTACAGTAAAACAGAATATAAATCGTAAAAACATTTTTATCATTATCACAAATGTTTGATAGATATTCACAGAGTTAAAAACACACTGACCAAATGGTGTTATTGTATTTCTACAGGGTGCGGACAGATACTTGTGCACTTTAGAGTTGGTGTGTTTGTGCTTCTCTGCGTGAATGCACGTGTCGAGCCATAAAACAGCTCAGACTCACTCACGCAGATACGACAATACACATGTATAAAAATACAGTTTTAAACACAATCTGGGTCAGATTACACTCATCTATTTGTTTGTTTGATGGTACATTCTTAAAATTCATTTCTGAACAGAAAGTCACGTCTCAGCAGAGGAGATAAAGAAAAGAGTGCAGGAGACGGAACAAACAGACGTCTGAGTCACCAAACTGATTATGAGAGAACAAAACCTCTCCTAAAGATAAGTTACCAACCCGTCCCTCTGATGGGTGCATGAGCGTTCGGGCTCTCTCAGGGTGACAAAAGGTCACTTTGCATTTGACGTTATGGAAACAACTCTCAGTTTATTGAAGGTCAAATCACACAAAACTAAAATTTAGAAATCAATGAATCAGACTAAAATTTAAATTAACCTGTCAAATCAAAGCCTCACAGAATTCATGATTTAGACTAAAGTCTATTTTACGAAAAAACCTAGTGACCCTGTTACTCATTAAAGTAACACGTCTAATGTGAAACAGCAGAATTCATTAATCATAATATTTAACATTTTTTACTGAATAATTAGCCACAGATTAGTAGAGTTTACTCTGTGACAAGAAACTGAGGAAGAGACAGCTGAAGAACAACTGTTTAATGAAGTTATCTGATCTGTGAACACTGCAGGTAACACGCTGAGTATTTAAAAAAAACTTTTGTTGAACTCCTCAGATTTCACACTTGCTCACAGTCTTATTTTTTACTTTCAGCTTTGAAAGATCAAATCTAAATAGAATTGTGAAAAATACAACAAGATCAAATAAAAAACTGTTGAAACGTTTTTAATCAGGACCTTTGATCTTGACATTGTCATGATCTGTGTCCCTCTGGTCCCCAGCCCCCTCCTGTTCTCCCCCTTTGTGTCTCATTATGATCCCCAGCTCTCTCTAGGCTTCCCTCATGTTTCCCTCTAGTCACTCCCTAGTAGTTCCAATTTGATTTTGTATTAGTCCTCCTCTGTTTATTAGTTGTTTATATTTGCCCTTAGTCTTTAGGTTTAGTTATTCAGTGTTTTATAGGTTAATGTTTATCTTCCCTCCTACTTAGTTATTTCCCCCATTTAGGTTATTGATGGCACCTGTCTTCCCTCCAGATCTCACACCTGTCACCTGTTCCCCTGATTACCTCCCTCTGTGTTTAAAAACCCTGTCTCGTCCCTCAGTATTTGTCGGTCCATTGTCTTTTGTCAGTGTTGTTTTGTCCCCCTCTAGTTACGATAGATCCTGGCTCATGTGAGAGCTTTTGTTTTGTCTACAGAACTTTAGATTTTTGACCTTGTGTCCTATAGTCTTTGTTTTTTTAGTTCTCATCCTAATAAAAGGATTTTTTTATTTGAATGGCCTCTCCTGCCTCGAGTTGTGGTGTTCTGCATTATGGGTCCAATCCTCATGCGCTCGCAGCGTGACAGACGTCTCTTTTAAAGTTTTAATCCAAAATCTGAACCACCCTAGCAGGAGGCACCAGTGTGAGCCATTGATAGTTTGTTTTAGATTACAAGCTAGTTGGCTCCAACAGAGATGTTTCACCGCTGCCACGCGGTTGCTTGGCAACATCACATTGTGGTTTGTGGCAAGATGTTGTAGCATAAAACTAAACTGCAACACTGGCTTCGTTCGTTTTTTTAAATATCACATAAAGCTATTCTTCCAATGAAAATGACATTTTTTACAAGTCTGAATTAAATTTAAAATATTGGACCAAAAATTTCCACCAGAAAAGAAAAGCACTGTTTAAGATTTCCACAATTCATTCTTTATTTGGCACTATGATAATGTCATTGACTTTCTCCCAGTGAGGAAATCCATTTTCAGATACCCACAGTGTTTCTATAAATTTATGAAGCTAAAAACCCAACACACACACACACACACGAATGAGTATGATTGTTTCATTATTAATTATTAATGTTGGATGTGAATAATCACATTCTATATAGCTGAAATATTCTTTTCTGTCAAGAATTTTGTTTTAAAGACCCCCTCATTATATAATAAGTTGGCTTACCATATTTATGTCTACTCCTTTTTTCCTTTAAAGGCATACTATACCATTTTTTTCATATATTTAAACCATTTTCTTGAGCCAGTATGTGCTAATACGAACCTTTACAGGGTTAATGAAATGTCACCCAGACCCCTATCACCCTCTGTGGCCAGAATATCGCACTTGCAACTTCAGAGTGCCAGTCCGATCCCTGATGGACTTTGTAAAACGGAGCTGACATAACTGGTGCTGCAGTCTGCTTCCAGCATGTTTCCTGCATGTTTTATATCATGAACATGGGTGATTTGTGTGATTTAGTGATGAACCGCTTCTGTCCACACCAAGAAAGGCTGGGGAGACATTTCAGCTGTTAGTTTAAGGTACTAAAAAGACGAACGCAAAGCAAGGAGATGAGTTTGACTTTTGCACTTTCACTAACAGAACACTAGAGGGTGCTAAAAGCAAGCCAAAACTGCAAAGTATCCCTTTAAGAAGGGTCAGAATGGAGTTGTATGGATTGGTCAGAACAACAGAATTCCAATCAGAATGAGTGGAAAAAAGATTTCCTTTTTTTATTATCTCTTACAAAAGGGATGACCCAAAATCTTAGCAGAGTGGCTCTTAACAGGCAAGCAGACCAGAACAATTACTCAGCGATAACAGTGAGTGTTTCTAAACAAGAAAAACGTTATCTACTGTGCATGAATGGGCAGGTGACACACCATGACAACAAACCTTACAGAAACGTGTTGTCCTTTGATTTGGGAGAAACAGTCCATTCCAGCATGATTATATTGGCATTTATTAAATCCTTTCTCATTTTTATGGTCCTTTTTTTCTTCCCAGTGATTGTCACATTTATGAAAGGCTGAGGAATAAATCTAAGTTTGAAACTCCCCCCAAAAAGTAGCTGAAAGAAAACAATGTGTTCAAACTTAGACGTCTAAAAGATTAGGTTTTATTTTGTTTGCCTTTCATATCAAATATTTTTTACCAAGTCAACATTGTGTAGTTCCTTCCATTATTGAAAACAATAAAAACAGCTGGTCTTGAAGGGTTTTAGTGAGATCTTTAAACACAGTTGCACCAACATTTCTGAATTTACAGGAACGTTTAACCTGCAGAGATACGTTTTGCAAAAACAGAAAGAACACAACAGCGGCCTGTAACATTTTAGTCGTCTGTTCTGTTTCTCATCAGAGCCACAAGCTTTCTCCCGTGTTTCAAATGAGATTCCAGGCATGTTTGATCTGGAAATAACTTCTAAGCTATAAAACTTCTGTCTTCAGGTAATGCTTTGACCGGTGCTTCACCTGCGGGCTGTTGGGCTCACTTGCAGTTTGCAGGTCGTAGTCCCCCATGCACACGGCCACAAAAAACAGGGTTCCTCCAATCACCAATCCAAAGCCTCCAATCCATCCAGAGAACATTGCCTCTCCATATTCCCAACGAGGCATCACGTCAGGAAAACCCTCGTCCCAGAATTCCACCACGGTCGTGTAAGCCACGACAGAGACGGAAGCCAGAGTAGCGAGCCCCGACATCCAGGTCAGCACTCCGCTGAATATGAGGAGCCCTCTCTTTACATTAGGCTGACCCACAAACACCTCAACCCCCTCCAGACCAGGGAAGGCAACCAGCATGGCAAAAGCTCCTGAGCCATCAGATATTAGCATGAGCACCCTGGAGATCTGCAGATCGATCGGCAGTCCCAGAATCGAGTCATAGGCTTTACACTGAATCCCCTTCTCCTCCGTGTAGAGGCAGGTGAGCCACAGCCCAGAGAACCAGTTCTCCACCTCGTTCAGGTCAGAGTTCATCGTTTTCCACAGGGGCAGAAAAGTGGTGACCAGACATGTGACGAAGCTTCCAAATGTCAAAAAGAGCGCACTCCTTTGCATCATTTTAGTAGTTAAAAACACCATCTTCTGCTTCCCTTTGGTGCACAAAACAAGTCTGTGCTGTGGTTCTGCGGTTCAGATCTATGTAAGAGTGTAACTGTCTGAGTCTGTGACCCAGCCCAAATGCTGCAAAGGCCCACTACTTCAGCCTCTTTAATAAAACGCACCTGATAAGAGGGAGATCATCTTGGACTGGGACTCAACAAAAGACCCTCTGTTTGGTTTCAACGTTCAATGTCATCACTGAGAATATTGAACTCTGTTTTAAGATGAAACCAAATACGTCCAGTGAAATTCCAGGCTCAGTGTGTGTGTGTGTGTGTGTGTGTGTGTGTGTGCGCACACGCGTAGAGATTTAAACTTAAATGAATGTGCACGGGAGACACACATGCACACATGAAGAAAAAGACAAAGTGATCCCAGACATGCATAACTGGAGCTAGAGTTGGATCACGTCAGATGCACCAACATCATAAAAAACTTTTGTCTTGTTTTTATTGAAGAAATTTAAATTCTAAGAAATCTGAAGAAGAGTGTTTTAACCTGCAAAGTGTCTCAAGTGTCCGGACTGTGAAAAGCACTTTGTGTTCGCTCCATTCATCCTTAGAGCAGTCTGACAGATCCTTTTACTTTGTGAACTTCACTTTGAATCTTTAGAGATCTTGCATGGCTGCCAAAAGGCCCACTGAGTTTACTGATTATTTAGGTCAAGCTTCTTTTTCACAAATCTCCTAGTTCAATGTTGTATTTCATGTCCTCCAAACTTCTCAACGGTCTACAAAAACTTACATTGCATGACACAATAGATGTTGGCTGTACTTACAAATAAAGCTTCAAGCCTTTTTTCAAACACTTTATTTTTATTAAAGGAGAATTAGGCAGTTTTGGCCACAGGGGACTATAGGGCTGGGTGGCCTTTCATTAACCCTGTAAAGGGTCGTTTTAGCACATACTGGCTCAAGAAAATGATTAAAAATATGAAAAAGTTACTAAGTATCTCTTTAAAGTGCAAAAACCTTCAGATGTGAACAGAATTCTCTTAAATAAAGGACCTCATCAGAAACTGAAAATCCACATCTAATACATTATATATGCCTATATAATAGGCTTAACCTATAATACAGGGCTGCCAACATTTCAAAGAGTGAGACGGGGTCACGGGGTTGGGAGCGGACAATTCGCCGACCGTTGGTGGTGGTGGTGGTGGGGGGTATCAATATGGACGTTATTTATTTATACCCTGTACGGAAGAGAGTCACTGACAAGGGGAAAAAAAGAAAAGAAAGAGAATTCTTACTTTTTCTCAGAATTCTGACTTTTAACCTCGGAATTCTGACAGGGAATTCTGGGGAAAAAAGTCCAAATTATCTTTCTTTTCTTTTTTTCTTTTCAGTGGCCCTAATCCTCTTCCGTACCTCTGACTTTACAGAGGGAACTGACCTTTGTTTAATACAAATTTTCTTTTCGTGAGGAAAATTTAACATTCAACTCTCATGAACTTCTTCACCTATCATCCATCTATCCATCCATCCATCCATCTATCTATCTATCTATCTATCTATCTATCTATCTATCTATCTATCTATCCATCCATCCATCCATCCGTCCGTCCGTCCGTCCGTCCTGTCTGACAGAGAGCCAGTCCTGGGACATATTTCAAGTTTAAATGTAATTCAACTAATTTAAAAAGTTTTTTTAGATCCAAAGAAGTTATCTATGGTTGGTTAGTTATTTAGTGGTTGCAGCTTTAGTGGCTATACTTGCATATTTAATTTAACAAATATATACATAATTTAAAAAGTAAAAGGCTTGTTCTATATTATGGTGCAGTATGGGGGCCAAAATTAAGACTACTGCCCAGCAGCAGGAGGCTATATAAATTCCAAAGCAAACTACTGATCTGGTTAATGATAAGCTGGCGCCGGTAACTGGGAGGCTGATGCTGCTTACTGAGGAATAGCGCCATACTATATTCATATTGAACTTATACGTATAAAATATAGCGTTGTTTCTCATGTCACGTAACGTTACGTGATGCAAGTCTGTTCCATTTAACCGTTTTCTTTGACCAAGGAACAGTGTCCTCGTAAGCAAGGCCCCTGGCCTCGCAAGACATCGCCTTACGAGGCCAGGCGCCTTGACATTGAGAAACACCTTTACTGTTGTTGATATGGAAAGCTGCCATTTTGGATGTCAAGATCAGAGTTCTGAAATTCTTCAGTTTCCGATTGAGAGGTCCGACTTTGGGGGGCGTTTCATTTGTTTTTTCCTACTCGGAAGTCGGGATTTTCGAGTTCTGAGGACAAATAGAACACACCATAAGACACAAACAGTCTGCTAATGGGGGAAGCAAAAGTTACATTGTTAGAATTCTTAAAACCAATAAAAGAAAACAAAGTTAGCTTTATTTGGTAGTTTTAGAAATTTTAGCCAAGCAGTATTAACTTACCCCATTGGCAGATTGTTTCACTCAAAATAAGTAAATAATAAAAATCATATTTAAGAACATTCACCTTGTTTCAAATAGTGCTGTTATGAAGATAAGAATTGTTTAGAGCAAAATTTAGATAACACGAGGTGTTTTTTTTCTTAAAATAAATTTTTGCAGTGTATAAAGTAATTCAGAAGTTTAACATAAACATTAAATTTAAGAGCAACTAAAGGGATACTTTGCAACTTTTTCACAGCCAGTATGTGCTAGAATGATCCTGTGACGGGTTAATAAAAGGCCAACCAGCCCCCAACTCCTCCCTGTGGCCAGAATGTTCCACTTGCAAATTCAGACTGGCGGCCACTCTCTTAGACTTAAAAAAATTGAGTGGACATACCCGGAGCTGCAGTCTGCGTCCAGCACATTTCCTGCATGTTTTAGATCATGTTGTAAAGCGCCTTGGGGGGGGGGGGGTTCCAGGACTCTAGAAGGCGCTATATCAAATACAGGCCATTTACAATGAACACAGCTGATTTGTGTAATTTATGTTTATGTTTATTTATTTAGCAGATGCTTTTATCCAAAGCGACTTACAATTTATAATCTATAGGGCATGTTGTGATTTAGTGATAAATTACTCGTGTAGACACTAATGAAGGCTGGGGAGACATTTCAGCTGTTAGATTAAGGTGTTATAAAGACAAAACGCACAGCGAGGAGATAAGTTTTGCTTTTGGTTCTGCAAACAGGCACTAAGGGGGTACTAAAAGCAAGCCAAAGCAGTCTAGTACCCTTTTAAACATTGATAGGTATGGAAATTAACTGCATTCTCACCCCCAAAAATTCAAAAAGCTGTTTTTCCAAATTAACCAATTTCACTTTTACAGAAAAAAAAAATTAAAAAGCAGATTTTTATTTTTAAGTTTTCTCAACAATTTGGGAAAACAGCTTTTTTTATTACATGTAAAAGTCATCTCGTTAATTCAGAAAAACAGATTATTTTTATTTTGTTCTGTAAAAGTTGTCATTAATTTGGAAAAACAGAACTTTATTTTTAGGGCGAATGCAATATGCTTCTGTACGAGATCTGAGTCAAACACCAACATCTTTCCAATTTAAGAGTAAAAATATATGACTGAAAGTGCTTTATTAAGGCTATAAATGCATTAAACTCCTGTTGGATTGTGCATGTAATATTACAATGATGTTACACTTAATTTTGAAGTATGAATAAAGAAATGTTAGCATGGGATAACCATGAAAACATAGAAAAAATAACAGTAATTACATACAGTAATTCTAATAATTGTTAACTATGAATATAAATAAATAATACAGGTTATGGAGCTAAGAACAATATAGGTGAGAATAACCGATTACTGCATTCTGACGGCCGATCTGAGAACAAACATTGAAACATAACTGACACATATCTAGTGTCATGTAGCTGCACATCAGTTTAAAAAATACTACCTTATGTGTACTAAATATTTCAGAAAGTACACAAAAAGCAGTTTTTACATTATAATTTTAAGAATAACGTGTTTTTATTTACCTCTGACTGATTTACAGTGAGACAAGAGAACTACTTGATCGCGTAGACAAAAGGCATCCTTCGTTTATGTATCCGAGACATGCAGAGGCAAAAAAAAAAAAGGGTTTGAGAGGGAATGGATAGAAGTTGGTGCAGCAGATGGATGACTTCTGGCTGAGAGCGATCTTAAATATCTGAGCCCATCTCAGCACACTGCTTGTCTGATATGTGCGTCGCTAGAGACTCAATGATGTCCAACAGCAGCAGCTGGCTGAGAGACCGCAGGTTGGGAAGCTTGGATACCTTTGGGAGGGGAGCAGAACAAAAGAAAATGAAAAAAATGAGCCATAAATTAGGACAAGTTGCACTAAAAATGAGTGATAAGAAGCTGCTGATTTGCACATGCATAAAAAAATGATTAAAAAAAACAACGGCACAAAGAAAAAAGTTGAACAAAAGCCAACAGCAGAGCAGACACTCCAGAGACGCAGAGTGAAAATTGAGCGCTTTGCTGTTTCTTTGGATAACAAACAATAATCAGAGTGGAACTGTGACCCCTCATCGTTCTATGATGAGGTGCTTACACAGCCGGCCGCGCTGTAAACAGTCTCCTCTCTAAGCAGGAGGAGAGGGGGCATTCCACGAGGAGGTCAGAGGAGACAGTATCCCCACCAGGAGGACGGGACTAGAGGGTTAGCTCAGCTGCAGCGAGTGGGCAGCACACCCCCAGAGCTCCAGATACAAGCCCACCAACCTTGATGAACTGGTGGACAATAATGTGGAGGCAGTGCTTCTTCATGTCAAGAGCCTGGGTTTTATCTGCCGCCTCCAGAATCTGAGGGGGGAGACAGAAGCAAAACAAAAATGTTTTCTTCTGCAGGAAAAACAACAGCGTTGTCCAATCAGGTCCCAAAATAGAAATACCTGCAAGACGTTCTCCACTGTGACGTTCATCTCCAGATTCTGCTTACAGTAAGCCTGCAGACGGTTATTAGAAAAGCCGTAGTAGTACGGTGCAGCAAACAGATAGCTGTTTATCAGGAGTCAAGGTAATAACCCCTAGGTATCACCAAAATAAAGAGGATTTTACATCAAGAACCATCAGGATCTTTGACTTTTTGAGCTGAAGAATTACAAATTTAAACAATGTGTTTATTTTTGAGGGCTAAAATCAGGGAGACTTCACGTAAAATTTTAAATTGTGGCTTTGGAAGGATACAGAGAGTCCTCCGGAGGCATGTTGACGTCGCCGTAGTAGATGTAACGCAGCATGGACTCAAAAGCCTGCTTGCTTGGGACCATTTCACCGATGGATATGTTCACCTGGCCATCCTCTGGCATGAAGGAGCGAAACATCGCCTCAAAGTAACTGTGGGAGAAATAATAAAGAAAGAAACTCAGCTGCGTCACTGAGCTAATTGTTGTCATTTAAAATCTGCTTTCTGAGCACAATCAAGCGTGAAAAGGGGAGGAGTCTGTTAAACTTCATGTACATAACGTTTGTACCTGGATCGAGCTGCCAGTATGGCTTTATTAGCGGGCCGCGGGTGACCGTCCAACAGCAGAACAATGTCACAGAACTCCAGGCCACCCCCTTCCAGGTAGGCTTTCATGTCCTGGACTAGGGAGGTGCCGATGTCCACGGGCTGGTCCGAGTACACCCGAGGGGGCGGCTGCTGCTTCCGTCGCACTATCTCCACTATCAGCGGGGTGGAGAGATTCTCAAACTCTTTGGTCATGATCACCTGATTGAAGTGTGATTCCTTCACCACGAAGTTAAGACAGTGTTCCTGGAACATAAATAAATCAATCCTGGAATTAAGGTCAAAGTCAAAAATCGTCTAAATTTCCCTAGTTAATCTAATCCTAAAGAATAAATAATTAAATTATAAACACCAAAATATTCTGACCTTCAACCACTAGGGGGCAGTTAAAGCAAGATTTTCAGTCTTTATTATTATTATTATTATTATTATTTTATCTGGGTGCACCTTCAGCTGGTCCAGTTGCAGCTTGTTGGCATTTTCACAAACACTCAGAACATTCTGCAGGTCCACCGACGCCTCGATGTACTGCACACACAGCTGCTCCAGCCGGGAGAGCTTAAAACTCAGAGCAAGTTTGTAGACATCCATTATGAGGAGCACATCCTGGACGTGGCCTGTGAGGAGACATGGGATGGCATATGTGTACTTCTAGCTAAAGATGGTCGTAGAAACAAGGGAAGAAATACCTCTGCGGGGGTACTGGATCTTGTCGGTGTAGAGAAACTGCATCAAGACTTCAAAAGGCTGGGCCTCTGCTTCCCTGATGGATACCTCCAGCAGAGGCTGCATGCCCGATGGCCTATTGCCGGCTGGGATATCCCTCGGGCCTCCAGCTGCTCCCTCATCCCTTTCCTCACTGCTCTCCTGTTTGGTTCTCTGCAACGCGGCAAATTATGCAACACTCCTTTACCCAATCCATTCTCACTGAGCACCTGCTAACATTCTATGTGGATATTTGAAATGGTCGTGCCGATTTTATATCACAAGCCTTGATGCTCAAAACTAGCTTTATTTTGTTCCTGTAAAGAAAACTAGTTGTCCTTTTATGTTGCAATTATTTCATTTGCAGCTTCCACTTGGCTTCATTTCTACATAATGTAAAAAGTACCTTCTTGAGTCATATTAATACTTGTGGGGCTAAAACTGTGATTAAGTCCTGTAGTCTCAGGAAACATGAGGCGTGCTGACTCAGACCTGTCGCTGCCTATCCCGGGCCTGCAGGATTTTCCTCCGCAGCCACTGGCACCTCGCGGTCACTATGGCGATATGCCCCAAGACTCTCTCCTCCCTCTGTAAACAACACAACAGGAGATGAGAAAAAACATGTTTACCTTCCATGTGATTTTAATCAGCTACTTCAAAGCTTAACCTCCGTTTTTTCTTTTAACAATTAAGACCCACCTCGCCCAGAATGAACTCCACGTCACAGAACTGACGGTTCTCCCACAGTTTACCGTAATCCTCGTGGAGAGTGCACTTTGGGTAGCTTGAGAACTGCAATGTAAACATTTGAATGTGATCAGTTTTAGACCAAGTTGTCTAAAGAAAATTTACTTTCTTTGTAAACACTCACCTGGAATCTATACATCTCCCCACTGCGAACATTGTTATCCACAGTCCCTCCAAAGATGTACATGGCATCTTGGATCACAGCCGCAGCGTGGAAGAGCCTCCCGCTCGGCATCTGTAGGGTTCAAATTGGTTTTCAGGATGGAAACATCATGCAATGAGCATCAAATAGGACTACAAGCCCAAGTGAAATTATTGAAGGTTTTAGCGACAAAATCAAGAATCTCCTATACTCTAATCGATGAAGTATCTATAAACAGAACAATAATGATAAAGAAAATATAAGGAAAACCATTTTGGTTCATACTTCACTGTCAAAGCTGGGATGGATCACCTCCCAGGTCTGAGAGTCCACATCATAACAGTGCAGCTCATTGGGTAGCGTGTTATCAGCAGCACCTCCAAATACGTACAGGTGGCGGTCAAAGGCGACCATAGTGTGTCCGTAACGTCTCTGAGGAGGTGGAGGAGAGCCCCGCAGCAAGTGCTCCGTTGGGATCCGCGTCCACCTGAGAAGACGTTGGAGTCCTGTGTGACTTTATCCAACACACACACTACTTATGGTTTGACTCATCAGGAAAGGCAATGCTCACATGTGGCCTTTGAATTCAAACTGAAAGAGGTTATTAGTGATCTTGGCTCCACTCTGACCAGAAAACACAAACATCTTATCCCTGCACACCGCTACTGGGAAGTTGCAGCAGGATGGAGGAATTTCACCACTTTGAACAATCTGGCGGTGACAAAACCAAACAGAGAGATATAAAAACATGGATTCAGTCTTTCTGGATCTTTTGTTTTTGTCCATTTTAAATGTGTAGGTGAAGTTAACTAGCCTCTTCCCAGCATGCATGATCACGATCCTGCAGACTGATGGTCCACATGTCGTTTAGTCTACGTACACAGAACATAAACTTATTAGGAACGCAGAGATGAATGTGTAGATGTAAAAACAGAATGTTATCTCACACACCTGGCATTCCCGTCATAGCCAGCAAATATCCACAGCTTGTCGTTGTAGACTGTAGCTCCATGTGCAGATCTGGCCACCGGCAAGCTAAAACAGCCACAAGACTTGTACAAATCAGCTTCTATCCTCACAGTTAGCAAAAAAAAAATTGTTTGATTACATGGAGAGAAAATACACTTTAGACAATTTCACTCTCAAAATTAACATGAGCCCAGATACTGGTGCCAACTAATTTCATATACACAAAAAATAAATGAATATTACCTTCCTTCCACTTTCCATTCAGTCCATTGTCCTGTGGCAAACTTATACTCAAACAGGTCGTTCTTATTTTTTAGGTTTGAATTGGAATATATGTCTCCGGTGTAGCCCCCTGGAAAATAAAATACAGACACCATACTCGTTTATTTCAAAATAATCTAAGTTTTTGCAGTTTTTGCAGATCTAAAATCAGCCAACTTTACCAAAGACAAACATGCTGCTGCCATAGACCACAGCTGAGTGGTGATATCTGGGAGCAGGTGGAGTTCCAGTGGTGAAAGCTCTGCAAGGCACAGTTTTCCACTGGTGTTAAAGTCAGATTCTTGATTTAAAGCGTTTCTTTTGGTTGCTGCAGTCTTACCGACACCAAGAGCAGTCCTTCACATCGAAGCGGAGCAAATCATTCAGCATGTTCTTCCTGTAGGGTGCAACAGAGTTAGAACACATTTATGTATGCAAAAAATAAAAATAAAACACCCATCCCTGTCAACAAATTCTCACCCATTATCTCCTCCAAACACGTATATGGCGTCCCTGTATGCCACAACTGTGTGTTTGCTGCGCCTGTGTGAGGATGCAAAACACCCAGAATGAACAGGGGTCAACACGCAGTATGTCCTCTCATGTCTCTGATCTGACAGTTTGATACCTGGCACCAACAAACTCATCACACGGAGGAAGTCTTCTCCAACGATGGACAGTCTCAAACGGGCCAAAGTTGAGCGTCAAATATTCCACGCTGTCGGAGCAGCTGTGATCAAAATCAACACTCGGGGCGACTTTGGTTGATTTACAAGACATTTCGCTAACTCATCTGATCAAACTCAGGGCCACTCATCTGAAAGGACGCCCTCTGTTAGCGACATTTCTCTGTACAAATGAGCGTTTTATTTCTCTGCTAACGAGATTAAACGCGTGGAAAGAATAAATTGCGCTTTGTTAAAGGTAGAAACTGCGACCCAACTAACAATTAGCTACTAGCTATGCTCAGAGCTAGCCTCGGCTAGCTAGCTATCGTCACGCTATGCTACAAACAACTGTTAAAGCGAATACAAAGGTTAGCTAGTAGCGGCTAAAGTTACACTAAAAGTTCCGTTTAACCGACTAAATACTTTTTCGATTCGAAATACTTATTTAATGATGTCTTAACGAAGGTACAACATCAGGACTACTGAAATAAAAGGACAGTTATCAGGATCAGATGTCAACCACGCCCCCGTAGCACCGGTGTTTTACCGAAAAATAGCAACCCCCGCAGAACTAGCTCGCCATACACATTGTAACAAGCCAAATAAAGTTGTGTCTTTCATTATATTAAAACACTGATTCTGAAGACTTAAAAAACTTTTACTGAACCCAGTAGTTAAAAAAGGCTAATGAAATGCGCTTCCGGTGATGGGGAACTTTACAAGGCAGGAGTGCCTTTTTCTGATACAACATCAGTGAAGATTCCACTTCCTGTATGTTAATTTCAGAAATGACAAAATAATAATAAAAAGAATAATTTCAGAAATGACTAAAATAGATGCCACATTTGTTGTATATATTTGTCAAGAAAAAAATACAAAATTAGTAAATACATTTTAAAATTTCAAAAAATTTTGAAGATGACAATATTTTGCATCATAATAACCAATAGTTGAATTTTTCAAACTGATTGAATAATTTGTGGATTTTTCATTTATAAGTCCATATGAGGCTCATAAATCTAAAAGATCCATAAGATTTGTAATTAATCTGTATATTTTTGATTTGTGATCTTTTTCCAGTCAGATGTTCTTAATAAACATTAACACTCCTGGTATTATGCCTGCTACTGTTTATCCATATAATCATAATAGTACCCACCTGATGTCCTCAGCTGCAGCGAGTGTCATCTATTTTGCATACTTCATTTTACTTGTAAATAAGAGTTCATGTCTAACACAAAAACTGAAAAAATACTTTAATGGGTCAGAAGGGTACTTTTGTCACTATCCTTCCATGAACATTCTCGTACCTCAGTCAATGTCAACTCGTTCAGTCTGGCATTTTTCATCAAAGAACGAAAAATCACCAACATTCATGAACAATAAATCCAGACCCTGTTTGAGCCTCGGTTTACACGGTAATGGAGGGGTGGGGGATAGTGAGTTTTATAGAATTGTTTTAAACACATTCAAAAATACATTTCAGTAATTTCTTTAGAAATGTGATCACATAATATTTTACATAAAGATTATTGGGGGGAAATCAGAAAGAAGTCATTAAATGAAAGAACGCAATCATTATTTAAATACTGAATAGTCTATGGAAAGGCTGAATGCACTGGTCAAATGAATAAAATGTTAAGTAGATGCAAAGTAAGGAGAAATGAAACTGTTACAAAGTAATAAGAAAAATATCTTCTTTTTATTTGGCTGAATCTCTTTTGTTGCTGCAGGTCATCAATGCAAAGCTACGCATACTGTACTGATAAACACGTGTTTAACACTGTTAGTGAGCATCAAGCAAACAGTTTACTGCAGAGCTGACAGGAAGGAACACATTATTAATTGTTGAAACAATTGCATGCAGGAAGTGTTAATGCTTACCGTTATGATACAGGCAGAAAACAGAAATGGGCTAGGACTGCAAATTATTACAAAGGCAAACATTTCATTTAAAAGCAAAACAAATAATTTCAAAAGAATAAAACATATAGTTTGTTCTTGATGGCTCAAATCTATATATGTTTTTTAATATGATTTTCTCATATGAGCGATAAATGGTGGATAGTAGATTACTTATCAAAATTAAGTCAATTTTTTGTCTTCTGACAACTGATAATTCCAAGAAAGCTAAAAAGTTATGAGCAACCCCAGTATAGCTTTTTTGTTCATGTGGAAAAATAAAAATGTTTTTTGTCATGAAACATAAAAATATTTTTGAAGTGTTACGGAAAATTCTATGCACATCTTGGGGAAATTTGCTTTCCATAAACAGTGAAATAAGATGCAATACTTGTCCTACGTTCCACCATTTGTCACAACACTTCACTTTATAGTTAATTTCAAAATAAAATCTTCCACTTAAAAGGCTGAACACCAAAGAGTTGGAGTTTAATGCGTTCATGATTAATTACAATTCATCTGCTGTTTTCAGACAGTCTAAAAAAATGCAGGGATGGAAATGGTTAGGACCGATTTCATCAAAGATCTTAGAGAATTAACCTCGCAGTTTGCAGAAGCATTTCATAAAAACATTCAAGCATTCGAACACCTTAAAATCAACTCACAGAGAAGAATAATACTACATTTCTGGTGTATCGGGTAAAAGTGTTTGTCGATTGTGAAGTGAACACTTTTTAAAGCACCCATCGGGTGAATTACAGCACAGTCTTTTGAAGCCAACATGCTTTTTAGTTAAAAACCAAAAGCGAGAGTTTTCACCCTGTCCTCCCACCAGTCACACACTTTAGTTTCCTTTAAAACATTCTACTAATATCAGCGTTGCCGGTCTTGCTCAAAGTTACCAGTTGATGATATCTCGAACATGGCCCCAAACTTTGGTAATCCACAAGTTCACCCCAAGTTCTGTTAGGTACTGAATCTCTGGCATTAACATCTTACGGCACAGCTTCTGATGTGCTTTGTCCACGTTTTTCTTTAAGTTATAGCCCAAGATTGACTTCTCTCCGATTGGCTGCCAGGGCTGCATGTCTGTCTCGTGGATGCTGCTGGCTTCCACAGCGCGCCCTCCCTCGATGCAGATGGATGCCATCTCTTGGTTCCTCCTTCTGAGTTCTGCCACATCCTTAGCCATGCGTTCCGGCCCGTAGGTGTCGACTTTGTTCCAAAATGTTCGGTTGAAATGTTGGTATAGCTTCCAGTCGATGGCATTCCACTCGAGGGCCTTGGCCCTCAGCTCGGGGCTGAGTTTAGACACAGTGGATCCTTTGCGAGCGTTGAGCTTGAAGAACAACAAGTCATCCATCTCCCAGCAGAGAGCTTCCTTGAGCAGGATCAGCGACTCCTCAAAGTATTCCACCAACATGACCAGATGAAAATGCTCAGAGATAAACTTGATTCCCTCGTCCACCCGCGGATCGTTGATCTCCAGGGTGTTGTCCTGTCCAAAGTCAAAGAACAGCAGATTTTTGAGGTAGAACGAATTGAAGCCCTCTGGATCAAAGTAGCTTTGAGGGTTGAGCAGGAACTCTGTTATCTTATCCTCTCCTGGGATCTTCCAGGTGAACGGCACCAGTCGGCCAAAGTAGTGGAACGACGACTCAAAAAGCTGTGCTGGGTCTCGCAGGATAGTGATGTAGGATGTGTCTGTGGGCAGCAGCTTGGCCACTTCAGGAGCATTGAAACGCATGTGGTTGCAGACAATGTTGAAGCACATTCCTGGTCTGTAATCTTTAACCTGGGAACGCTGGAACAGGGATGGATAGAAGAAGTCGTTCCTGCCATCTGGGAAGGCAAACTTGAGTCGATGTTTCTCTCCGAAACGGAAAAGTATGTTGAGCAAGGTGCTGCTGGCTGTTTTGTGGGTCTTCATGAACATGATGTCAACTTTCGGAGGGCAGGACTGGCTGGTGGATTTATGGGAAGTGTTGGATGGCTTGGGCTGCGGCTGGGATGGCCGGTGGGCACAGGAGTAAGGTACTGGGACACTACAGAGGACAAAAACATTATCATGTGCAACGATAACGTGAAAGGTATTTGCAAAGCCTTACATCTGAGTAGAAAATTACACAGAAACATGGTGTTAACAGGATCTCAGTCACTTCTTCTCTCTAAACAACCACATCTCTAGGAAAAATGAAGAATTTTTTCCATCTTGCTTTTAATTTTTTTAATGCAAGACTGCATAAAATTTTTACACCAGTCTCCATTATCTAGATGTGAATTCCCTTTTCTCTCGACAGAGCTTTTATTCTGCAAAAGAATCACTTCCTAAAACGAAAAGACTCCTCGGGACATACTCTGGCACACTGAGGTGGATGTGTGGATTAGAGAGGCAGTAAATAAGGATCATGCTGCTGGTCAGGAGCGCTCCCAGGATGAGGCCTTTGCACATTGACCTTCCATTCCTCCCCTGCTTGCCAGTCATGGTCCGGCCGGATCAAAATTGACCTTAAAAGACACAAAACACCTCGTTTCAGTTACGTTTCCTGTAAATCAACTTCAAAATCTTTATTTACTGCCCTGTTGTTTTAAATAGAAAGCCATAGAGAATACGATCTGATCATTATGCTCCCAGACAGGGAAGGCTCTTAGATGAATTATTCACTTGTGGATTTAATTGGAAAGTGACTCGATCTAGATTGCTATCTTGGTTCTCTGGTTTCTGGAGTTGAAACTAAACAGGAACAAGTGTAGAGAATAAGACTGCAATCTTTGGTCTCTGGTTTCAACCAAACAATAGTAGAGAAAACGCTTTGTAATGGCTCTTTTTATTACAAGAGAACTGCAAAATGAATGAGCCCCCAAATTTTTAAGCCTGTGACCTGGAATGATTACCCGAGTGTTCTGTACCCTGCAGAATAAATAATGCACCACTGTGGTAAACGATACAGCGTTCTCCCCTGCAGACGGTGGTAAGACGAGCTATCTGCTGACTCAGCTACATGACTTACAGCACTTGAAATTTGCAGCTTTGGGTGAATTAGAGTTCCACGCTGTCCTCATGAGGGACGGCGGTTTTCCTAGAGCTGTTGGGACACACACTGTCCAAACAAGGGAGCATCATTCAGTCTTTATTTCAAATACTTCAACTAGGGATGCAAATGATTCTTTTACTCCGGTATTTGCACGAACTGTGGAGCTGTTTTGCACCAACCTCATTAGCACGTATTGTTTCAAAGCAAACTAAATGTGACCTTCAATCACCTGACCATAACGTTCAGGAGCTGATTTGCGTCACGCAGAAGGAACAAGTGGACTGAAACGTTCCAGAGTCGTTCGGACATGAATCACAGCTGGGAACAGCTTGTGATGTGAGGAACAGCCCGGCGGAGGACAGCTCCCTGCTGCTGGAAGCACTGGATTATCTGCTGGGTGTTGCAGCGAGCGTGAGTCAGACCAAATAACACGCCGTCTTCTTCCTGCGGTGAATGACTACACTGTTATTTGTGGGTCTGGCCGTAAAAGCCCATGAGCGTTTGATGATCACATATCGTGTGTTATCAGGCTGGGTTTCAAAATGTGCGTTTTGATTAAAGTTGAGCAATTATTTTAGATAGATAGTAACTGGTTTATTACCAAGTCATTAGGATAGGAAGTAGCTCAAAATAAACTCTTAAACAAATCAGATGATTAACATTAATATTAAAAACTTTGTTTTAGGTTGTAGTCGTTTAGAAAAGTTCAGTTTGACTGACTCCCCCTTTTCTGGTTTCAAGTTAACAGCAAGAACTAAATAATTTTATCAAATTTTTTACAATTTTAATTAAATTGAAACACTTCTCAGTCTTTAAGAAATTATTTTATTGTGTTTCCTGTTTTATTTATCCTGTTATGGATGCATTCTTCCTTGGATATCAGGTTTAGGTAGATCCCCTGTGCACGTCAGTCCCTCACACAGCTGAGTTTACATACAGGGTCGAGATTTTTCTATCTGAGGTTTATGCAAACATCCGTCCTCTAACAGCAAAAATGCTCTTTGTTTTTCTTTCTGTCTGGACTCTAAATGGGCTGTTAAAAGGGTGTATGCAGCTGACCATAACAGGAGGTGTGAAAAGGTCAATGTTTCCAGACAGGTTTGAGTTTTTGTAAAATAAGAAAGTAGCTTGTAGTCTACACGTTGATCCAGGAAGGACGAATAACTTCTGCTAAGTTTACAGAATTAATTTAACTTCAAAGCCATGCATGTTTTCATTTCAGGATAAAAGCATTTAGATTAAAGTCTGTATTGATTTAGTAAAATTTGACTAAATAGATTTAAAATAAACAGATGAAATTACTTAGTGCTGGGTAATCCTATTTTTCCAACATATAAAAACAGATTATTCAAGAAAAGCAGCAAGGATAAAACTAGAAATAAGAATAAAATTCCTTTGAAAAGTGAAAGAAACTCACCTTTATGCATTCATCCAGAGAGTAACTAGTAGAAGCCCTTTTTGCCCTGCTGTCCATCCAGCTCCAGACCATAAATGCAAGTCAATCTCCGTCATAAGGCAGTCCTTATATGTGATCTTGACATGCTGTTACAGATGCAGCACAGTTCGTGCTCCTCTTATCACATGTCCAGCGCTGCAGCTCTCATTCATCCTTCCGCTGTTACTCTACTCCCCTCTCTTCCCTTGCGTGCACACCTGATGCCTCCTCCCTCAACTTTCAATTCCTAAACTGATCTTGCTGCATAAAGCGCCGCAGGGAGGTTTGTGCAGCCACCTGTGACGTCAGGCTCCCTGTCAGGGGACGCAAACTAGTTACAGAGTGTGAGGGAGGCAGAGAGCAGAAGAAAGGGGAGGAGAGAGGCTGCATAGTCCCTATTCTGTCTCTGTACAGAGGCCTTACTGAGCATGGACACTGAAGTTTGAGCTGCATGCTGATAGGAGGGGGGCGACATAAAGGAGCAAATGCAGAAGTACAGAGCACAAAGGCTTTAATTGTTCTCTCTAATCAAGACAGCTCTGTCTATTGTCTGAAATGCCTGTTTGGCAAGCTGGAACTATACATGTAGTGGGATGAATTTACGCAATAAGGTGTTTAAATTTTACACAACAGATCAGCTAAATACATGAATAGATCATCAGCCTGTAATGTAAAAACTTTCATCTTCAGTTGTAAACAACTGATTTGATCTCTTCTTTACTTAAAAATGATTTAAATCCACCATTTTTTAGACACTTTTCATGAAATCCTAACCTGAGGTTTTCTCTTTGTTAACAGTAATTTCAAAGGATTAAACAAACATTCCTGTCTGAGTCTATTTGCCTCTGCATGACAGGATGTGGCAACATGCAGTCACACGGTGCCTTACCCAGTCCAGCTCACAAGCTTCATCTCTCTTTATAATGTAGTCAGGATTCCTAGAAGACACACTAGATCTTTCCAGCTCATCCCACACACACCATGGTGTAGCACAAACACTGCTACTATTGTGAAAGATGGGAGTGCCTTGTCCCTCTGGTACCAGGCTGAGATCCAATCTGGGTGGGCACACGTGGAATGCAGAGCTGGGTGTAAACGAAGGGGTTAAAGGGAGGACAGTGTGTCAAAGTGAGCAAGGACGAGGAGTGATGTGGATGTCGGAGCTGGCCTTTGGGCCACAGCATCACTTATCCACATCAGAAGGCTGGAGGATCGTCATCAACACCCACCGCTTCAGCAAAGAAGCCCTCGCCCCAGTGAACTAATGTAAACTCTGATGGAAAATATTCATAAATACTGCTGATGAGATGTAAAGCTACAAAGAGATGGATAAAATTAACACGCCACCACAAATTAACTAATTTTCATTACCAAATAATACAAGTAGGTAACTTAATACATCATCTTTTTATTTAAAAATGCAAAAGATTTTAAAGCACAGAAATTAAAATGAAGACTTTAAATGATGCAGAACAAAAATGAAGGGAGCTATTTTTACATCAATTACACAAATATGCAGAATCCTGCTTTTCTGTGTTAAAATATGCAGCGTTCATGCACCGAGCAGGGTTCTCCGGTGCAGTCGCAGGGTTTATCACATCAGCCTGTAACCATTCAACACAGAGTCCGTTCGAAACGAGCGTCACGAGAAGTTATTTTCTAGCCTTCTTCTTCTTTGTTTTCTCAGCATCATCGTGTGCTTTCCTCTTGGCTGCCAGTTTGTTGGCCTGTAAGAAGAGATTGATCAGCGTTAATGAATAGAAACTTCACACATGCGCAGGTGCATGAACACACACTCTTCTGAGGTCAGTGACCTAAGAGGTCACTGCTAATCTACTTTTATACAAACAGCAACTTAAACAAAGTGTTAAACATTCTTAGATAAAGATTTATTGATAAAAACGTACAAAAACCTAAAATCACAACGTTATCTACGTGAGAGTTCACACTGCGATAACACCCACCTCTCTGACTTTTCTCTTTTTCCCGAACATGATCTTGTCGTAGAGGTATTTTTCTTTTTTCTTCATCATCATAATAGCGAGACGTTTCTCCTCTGCCTTTTCCTCCTGCTCCAGGCGGGCCGGATTCTCTGCCCTCACTTTTCCAGGTGTGACTTTAACCTGCAGGGACTAAACGCAGAAACCGGGTCAGATTCAGGACATAAAAGACTGGGTAATGCAAAAATCAAACGTGATCCGACCTTGCCCTGAGATTTTTGCTCCTCCATCTTTTTGAGATTCTTTTCTTCTGCTTTTTCCTCTTCATCAACTTCATCATCACCACCTTCCTCCTCCTCCTCTTCGTCGTCGTCTTCCTCTTCCTCCTCATCATCATCCTCTTGTTCTTGAGCTGCAACAAAATGAAAAAAGCACTTTTTAAGATTCACTTCAAAAGAAAGATTAATAATTTGACACAAAGACTAATAACTCATAGGTCAGCGTCTGACCCTCACCAGGTTTTTCTCCTCGCTGTAGGGCCATGATCCTCAGCTTCTCTGGGGGAACATAGTCCCCTTCCTTCTCCTCCACAAAAGGAGACAGGTGAGGGGGAAGAGTCACCCCAAGGAAATAGTCCTCCACGGGCAGGAGGATTTTGGCGTTGACGCAGTCGTACACCCACTGGGGCTGGACATAATACCTGAAACAAAAATATATAAAAATACTCTTGGTAAGAGGAAAATTATAATAAAGCTTCTCTTTGTTTTCTCTGATCATGAAATAGTAGTGATGAGAATATCTATTTCAAACTGGGTCACTTTGAGGGAACAGAAAGAGATGAAAAGTGACACTAAAGTAAAGGAAACCGAAGCAGACTTCCTGTAATCAGGATCCAGGTGTTTTCATAAAGAAAAGTAAAGTTCCTGATGCTATTAAATAACCTAAAAAGCTAAAAATGATGGAACTGCTAGATTTATCTACCTGTTGATGTACTGTTTGTCAAAATTGGGTCTGTCAACAATCTGGTGTGTGATGGTCTCATCTGTCACGTCAAACGTGCTCCCAATGCTAACAGACTTGTCCCAGGACACCTGGCCACCAAAACACCTGAAAAAGGGAAATTAAAAGTCATAAAAAAAGAACATCAACAGATTCCCAAAGAGATTTAAATGTCCCGTGGCCGAGCCTCACCGGATAATAAAAGCCAGCGACTCTCTGGGAACTTCTCTGTTCAGGAAGATCTTCAGACCGTCAAACAGCTTCTTCTGAGCTTCCAGCTGTTTCTGTTCCTTCTCTCTGGCCTCCATCTTCTCCACGTCCTCCTGGAAAAGATCAATTAGCACAATCGGCCGCGGAAACAATCAACTGTACTCACCTGAGCTAAAACAGGTAGACGACACAAACATGATATATAATAATCAGCAGAAATATCTCAGATTTAAAACCTTAAACAAGTGTACTGAATCCAAACAGAACTAAAACACACATAGAAAACAAGTGTATGCATCACAAAAACATAAGAAGTTTATTAACTTATAAACTATACAAACTAAAACAAGTCAGCTGACATTCTCAGTCATTTTTGTGATGCGGTCCTGATGCAAATGGACAAATCCAGATGTTTATGTGTTTAAAGTCGCTCAGTGAAACTTTAAATTAAAGTAGTTTTGAGGTCGATTCAAAGAATCTTTAAATGTTTTTCTCTCCAAACTTAAATCAGTCAAAAGGAAAAAGGCACAACCATGAACACATTAACCTCTAATCCTCTATTGTAGAAAAACAGTGTTATTCTAATTAAACAGAAGACAAATCATTAACTAACATTATTAGGCCAATTAATTTTCAACCAAAATAGATTTTGTTGCTAAATTATTGCTTTACGTTTCGATCACGGAGCCTGGTTCATGTTTTATGATCAAAATAAACTATTTAAAGCAGAAAAAAGCCCATAAATCACCAAAACACTAGAACACTAATACAGTTATTGCATGAAAACAGCGGTAAAAAACCTGAATGGGATCTTCTTTAGCTGGACTCAAGTTGTTTCTGCACATGTGCATCCGTGGATCATTTTGCTGTGAGTTCAGTTAAAACTTAAGCTGCTGAACTCCAGGTGAGATCTCTTTTATAAAACCTCCCAGAGGAAACATGGAGCTTTTTCTCTGGCAACTCCAAACCAGTCGGGCAAAACAAGCTTTCCAGGTGAGAACAGCTTGTTTGTAGCAACCAGCCATAAAGCAGTGAATCCCCAGTCACACACTGCATCTCCAAACAGGCTCAAAGAAAACAACTTTTAACGCCAGCTCAGGCTAAAAACTCAGATACCATTTTAAACATTTTCAAAAAGGAAAAATAAAAGGCTTTGTTAATTTTCTCACCCCTTCAGCAGGAAACTGGTCGAGTTTAGCCTCCTCCTCCTCTTCGGTGGAAACCACACGAGCCAGGCTGCCACTCAGAGCTGACAGTTTCTACACAAACGTCAAAATAAAGATTAAAAACTGCTACAGCTACATTTTTACTTATTTAGAACTAGGACAATATATTGTAAATATATCGTTATCGCGATATCAGCATGCACAATATGCATATCGCAAAGAACAGAAAAATATCGCAATGGTTGGCTCAAATGTTTGCTACACATTATGCGTTCTGTCAAACGGAAGCATTGTGTTTTTTTAACAAATCAAAAAGAGCTCATCACCCATTTGGCCAATCAGGTAGGTTCTCATAAGTTAGATGCCCGCCCCCAAGGCAGACAGCACTTCGTTTAGATGGTTAGCAAACACCTGAGTTAGCTTTGTTCTGCTCTTTTTGCCGATTCTGCTTTTCCCGGGATCCACGGATTGCCTTTTCTTGTTCATGTTCTTTTTCTCTTTCCTCACATCTTTTGCTTTTCTTATTTTGAAGAATTTTTTATTTTTGATTATTTTTGTTCCTGAGTTAAGTTTTTATTTATCGCAAGTAATATATCGTCATCATGGGATGCGCTGTTATCAAATATCGCAGGTTTTCATAATATCGTGTAGCCCTATTTAGAACAATCATTTGATCTCCCATTAAGTAAAATAAAACAAAATAACTCAAGTTATTTTGTTGTTCATTGAGTTTTTACTAGACAGAAAAGAAAATCTTCAACAGTATTAAGGTGAACTAGGGCTGGGTGATCCCAGCCCTAGTTAACCCTTTTGGATTTTTCTTATTTTTGGCCCGTTTACAAAAGAAAACTAACCGACCTCTGTGTAGCTTTCTGAATTCATGGCGTAATCCTCCTCAAACTCCTCTTTAAGCTCTGATTCTGCTTTAATATCCATCTGCAACAGAGAAGAGGCGACCCCTGTTATGGAAAGCTTGTTAAAAAGTTTGCATCCATGTAGAAATGAAGAGAGCGTTTCCATGGTGACGTGTACCTTTGGAGGGTAGACCAGGTTGAGAGAATGGTAGAGTTTGAAGTTGATGAACCCCAGAAGGGTTGTGTACAACTCTGTGAAAGTAGCCATGACTCTGTAGTCCACATCTGTCGGGTGCTGAAAGAAGAAAAAAAACCTTTAGCGACAGATCAGCAAACATCCAGCTACTTATTAAAACTACATAAGATTTTATTAATCATGGGATGCACTGTGATGATAGGGAAGCTTCAGTAAATAACGACTTTAAAATTAAAACATTTGATTATTTAAAATTTTATTACAAACAAATATGATGTTAAAGCACCATAACTGCTTAACGGGCAAAGTGGTTGAAGGAAAAAAACATGTAAACATGACGCATTTAAAAAACATAATTGAACCAAAACTAAACATATTTTTCTCGATCGTCTGTTGGTTTGGCTCTCTGATTGTACTGAGGTGTGTCATCCTTCAGTGTAATCCCACAGTAATAATGTGGCTGCCTATTAGCCTAATCCCTGCTGACTGCAACCATCAATTTGCACTTACATCATGGGAGAACTGATACGGCACGAGCCATGTAATGAGCTGTCCCATCACCTCAGCCTGATAATAAATTCCCTTGATGGAGAGGAACACCTATCAGAAATAAAAAGGCATTTAGCATGAAGCAAAACAAAAGTAGATCAACTCAGACAGTCATAATGTTTCCCTGTGATCAACACCTTTCTGAGAGCACGAGAGGTGATCACATAGTTCATCCACTCCACAGTGAGGCGCCTGCACAGCTGAATTGTTTGCACGTGACATTTTCCTGTTCTGGCAAAGGTGGAGAAGAGGAAGCACATGCAGAGGGCGTCGTCGATGTCACGGAGGGCATCGATGAATGTGGGGTACCTGTGTCAGAAAGGAAAACCAGTAATAGTAAATGGTCTGTTTTTGTATAGCGCCTTCTTAAGCTTGGTTTGTGCTCGACGCGTCCGCGACGTTCACACGGCTCCGCGCGGCAAAATTGCGTCACCCTAACCCTTTCCGCACCCCTAGGAAATTTTCTAACCACGCGGACGGTCGGACGCGGAAAAACATGGCGGACTGGTAATATGTCAATAATCAGTATGGCAGAGGTATGTAAATACAGACATTTGTATGATTCAGCTCTCAAAGATCACCGTGATCAACATGTTGTTAATAATTCTTAGAGAGAAATAGCTCGCACTGTCGGAAAAGACGAGGACGCTGTTAAAAAACGCTGGAATGCCATGTTGTAAACAACAGTGATTTTTACTTCTACTACGGTGTAGTGTTGGATGCATGCTGTAGAGCTCCATGCTGCCCCGTTCAGTTTGGGAGAATATTGGCTCACCGCAGAGACGAGCCGCATGAACCATAAACGCTGCGAGTTGTGAAGCGCGTTCCAGCCGCGAGCCGCATCACCAAGCGGAAAGTAAATGCGTCAAGCATAAACCAAGCTTTGGGGTTCTACAACCCCCCAAGGCGCTTCACAACACAATCAGTCATTAACACACTGGTGATGATGAGCTACACTGCAACGACAGCTGCCCTGGGGCGCACTGACCGAAGACAGACTGCAGGCAAGGAGTCTTGCCCAAGGACACAACAGCAGCATTCTCTGGTGGGATCCGGGATCAAACCTACAACCTTCCCATTACTCTGCCTCCTGAGCTACTGCGGCCCTAATGACCATCAAGCTAGTGCTGCCACGATTAGTCAATTCGTCACGATGACGTCAACAATAAATTTTATTTTCAAAATCATTTAGTCAATCAGTCAACCAATTGCAAAAAAAAAATTTAAATAAATAAATAACAAACCTGGTGATTAGTCGATTATTAAAACGATCGTTTCTGGCAGCCCAACATCAAGCCAGTTACATTACATGATTACCCCAGCTTTTTTAAAATGCTGCTTGCCTGGACACCCTTTACTCTACTCTTTTATAGCCTCATCTTAAATTAAAAACATTTCCAAATTAATTAAATGCAGATAAATAAATAGAACTAGAACCAAAAAAACAAGTATTGGTGGTGGACGTTTCATTTCCACATAAAGCCTTGGAAAGCTGAGATGCCCGTCACTTCATTTATATGCATAAGTAATTTTTAAAGGAATTCCCCAAATTCGGCTCATAATTCATTCTGATTATACCCGTCTTATAGTATGAGACCAGAAGACTAGAAAGACTACAAAAATTTAAAACCCATCTCACCTTTCTTTAACGATGTGATCCAACTTATAAGTGGGCTTGTTCTCCTTCAGCCGTTCCACTGCAGACCACTCTGTTTTCCCATAAGCTCGCTTTAGTTTGCGGACAAATATCTGGTGAAATACAAAATATTCACAACAAGACATTTTCCTCGACGTTGACAAAGATTGAAGAAATTTTGGAAAGAAAACTACTGAAGAAATTCAAAACATAACAACTTAAAACCAATACACTTTGAGTCAATTTTACTTTTTTAAAAGGAAAGAAAAACAGTTACTGTTTGAAAGAAATAAAGGAATTTTAAAAAACAAATGAAGGATGTTGAAAAGCTGCTTTTGTCACTTGAGATACCTTATATTCTCTAAACTTGTGCACGACGGGCTCGTGCAGCAGGAAGCGAATGTCTTTGAGCAGGTAGAAGGTCCTTGGAGCAGTGGAGCCCTTGTTCACCTTCTTTTTGTGTTTTGGCTCATGAGGGTAGACGCCTTTAAGGATGCAAAGTCGCCTAAACATCAGAGAGAAAAATACGATGGATCATCCCTTAAGTGGCTGCCATTTGGGGAAGGAGACATCAATAAGTAGAATCAGATTATTACACACAGATGCTTGGATAGAACAATAATGTTAAAAGTAGGCGTGCGTCGATTGCAGTTTTTGGCCAGTCACCAAACCTGAGAAAAACCTGACTTGCCGATACCGATTTTGTCTTAACTAAAAGCCGATTACGTCAAAATTTCAATTTCCTCTTATTGAGAAAACCAATATGAATACTCATGAAACAATACCAGTTTAAACTGGACATGAGGTAATGTTCTCAAATAAAAATGAACATATTTAGCATTGCTGTTTGAATTACAAAATTATATTTGTTCCTTTAGACTTTAAATGTTCTAATTTTGAGAACAAAACTTTTGTACCTGTTTTGACACACTTGCCTAAAAAAAGATTCTATAGGATGCAAATAGGATGAATCCTATTTACTTTAACATTAACTAGGGGTGCACCGATTGCAGTTTTTGGCCGATCACTGATCTTGAAAAAAACAAACAAACAAACAAACAAAAAAAAACCCAAGATCGGGCCGATAGATTGATGCACCCCTAGTGAAAAGTAAAAGATAAAACCAAACATAAATTAGCTGACAAACACTAAAGGGGGTGGCCATGGGCTCAAGACGGAAGAACAATTTTCTACTGATCAACTTCTGATCGAAATTACACCAAACCCAAGCAGGCCAGGAGTCATCCCATCGATTTATGGAGTCATCCTTGGACATGACGACGAACTCTGACAGTAACCCTAAGGATGCAGTGCAACTGGTAGCCCACTGTTGCACAGAGATTGGTTAAATCCAGAAGAATGGATAAAAAAAATTAAAAGAGGGATCAATTAAGTATCTGATATGACTGACATTCAAGTAACCTTAAACACAGCTCTATTTCACAAAGATGTCAGTCATCAGAAGAGAAGAACACTTTAGACAAATGGCACGAAGAGGATAAGTTGTTATTGTGATTAGAATGATTCTTAAACTACTTCATCCATCATCTGTTTACCAATTTTCCAAGAATGTTATGTAATGACGATACATACTACTTGTAGTAATCCATTTAAAAAAGAAAAGAAAGAAAACTAACTTTTCTATAGCGCCTCAAGATAAAAATCACGAGCCGCTTCAAAAAAACAAATAAAAAAAATTAAAGTATAAAAAATATTTTAAAAAAATATTTAAAATATGTTTAAAATGTGAAAAAAATCAAACTTGTGAATAAAAACATGTAAGGAAATTGAGAGAAAATGAATAGGAAAGGTAAAATCAGTAGATCCCGAGAAAAGCGGAATAAGAAGAGACCAAGAAGAGGATGATGAAGGTCACGCAATAGCCAGCTTGAACAGGTGAGTTTTCAGCTGCTTTTTGAAGACCACTGATCTTAGGCTCAGGGGGAGACAGTTCCAGAGTCTGGGCAGCAAATGATCTGTCACCTTTGGTCTTGTACATAAATTTAGAAAGATAAAAAAATGAGAAATGTAATTTGTCCTACTTCAAAAGTGTTTTGAGATATCTGAAAGTTCGTTTTGGACTAGAAGTAATATCTATAATACAAATCCAGAGTAGATAAATGTTAAAATAGCCACTTAATCTTAGTCCATTTATGTCCAACATCTGCTGTGGAGTCCCTAGAATGTCTGTTCAATTGATCAGTAAGCAAGAATGATTGTGGTTAGAAATAATGCAGATCCTTTATTATTTTAAAACATATAAAAATCTAAAAAGGCAGCTACAGGCGTTTTGCCCGGATGCTACAAAGGCCTGCCACACTAGCACCATAACTACCTGAAGTCTGGGAGGCTCAGCTGCAGCTTCTTGCGTGCACTGTTTCTTGTGATGTAGTTCGTGGCAGCTCCCCTCTCAAACTGTAAAACAAACCTTCACGTTAATCTCACACAATTTACAAAATAGGTTAGACATCTGCACCCGGCGGACTCTACGGTATCAGAAAACAAACTTCGGCTAACTGTGTATCAACATCGTGAAAAGCTAATGTGCCAAGTCTGACATTTACATCTCTTTAACTCCTACCTTTTTCTTTTGTAGACCTCCCATTTTAAAAGACTCGCGTCGCTCTGCTGCACACGTTTAAAGAAAAATGTTAGTGGCCAAGTGAAAACAACCCCACATTAGCCACTTCAGCGGCACGTGTTGTTTGACATGCGCAGTTGCGCAGATTCGGAGCAGAAATGAGGACCCAAAGGCTGACCGTCTGTCCGCCTGTATACAATTTGATTTATTTTAAAATATACTTTATTGGTATGGAACTCAAAAGTATTCAAAATTCAATAAATGAATGAGAAATTATAAAATAAATATCTACATGAAGAAATACTAGACAACCATGTAATCTGACAATGAAATGATGAAACAACAGAATGTTATGTCAAATCTAAGCTCAATATTATGAAATATTTTTCATTCTTCTTTTAAAATGTCTTTATTAATATAAAGTTTTTTTTCAAAAGTCATTTTTTTCATAATAATCCAAATTAATATTGAGCTTTTTTATTTAATTTAATCAGTTTTAATTACATAACGTATTTTTAACAAAGACAGCTTTTATTTCATAATAGTGTTTTTTCCCATGGCTGACTTATTTCATAATGAGACTTTACAGCAGAATATCTCAGTAATTCATTGTGTGAAGAATGAAAAATATTTCATAATACTGAGCTTAGATTTGACATAACATTCTGTTATTTCATCATTTCAAGATTACATGATTGGCTACTATTTCTTAATGTAGATATTTATTTCATAATGTCTTATTTATTCATTGAATTTTGAATACTTTTGAGTTCCATAAATTTGTAGCTGTCATCATCACCTTATATAAAATTTATTTTATGTATATGGTCATTATGCAAATTAATATTATATATTATATTACAGAACTAAAACTGATGAATTTATCATAATACATGGCAGCAACATACATGACCAATAACAGTTGCAAAAATTTCAGGAAACATATTTTCTTATAATTGAAATAAGTTAAAATCTTAGACACTATTCTGATAAACCAAAAGTAAAACTGCAACATTTTAATTTCCTCCAGTTGGACACTTTCAAAGTAAATAAATGTACTGGTAGCTTTTTATTTTTACTTTTACTTTTTATGTGGACTTTTGCAGAAAGCTACAGTAATTAATTACGCAATGATGCTGTTTTATATTTCTAGATAACTGATAAAACACGAAAATTGTTTTTTTAAAGCAATTTAGATAAACAGCCATAGCAACATTTAAACATCAGAACCTAAATGTGAATAAATAGAAGACATTAGTGTTGGTAATTTAGCTGCTGGCTAATTTTGACATTGTCCAGGATTGGGATTACTCGTCTCAGATTGTTTATTTTCTCCCTAGATCTGCCATTAACATAAATAATTTCTCATTTCCTCTATTTCGAAACTCCACCCCCTTCCCCACACTCCACTCATTCACTGATGGCAAGGATCCTGGAGGAAAACACATGCTGTTGCCGAGCAGTATGAGGCAATCAGTAGGAAAAATAATGTAGGGGGGTAGAGGTACCAATAATTCAAGATAAAGCTGCATCAAGACAATTCATGAAGATGAGTGAAGCATTTCATACTGTCATCATGGGGCTACGTGACTTTTTTAAGGACTATTTTCAAGGTTTCTGGGACTATGAGACTCCTAAGATGATGGTGGTTAAGAACAAAACTCTTGGAGTAATTTACAGAGGGGTTCAGTTCCTTGTGATCACCTATTTTATTTGGTAAGTTATAAGCATGTTTACATGATTGCATGATTTGATGATGGTTTTTCTTTGCAAGATGAAACTAAATAGTGAATGTCATAAAAGCTGCAATCAAAAAGTCTAAATAATATAAATGAGCATTTAATTATGTGTGATGTAAATTTTAAGAATAAAAATATAGCTTTAAGCCTTCAGTTGTTAATTATAATTCACCATTTTTGAGGAGATTAGTCCAATTTTATTGTTTTTTTTTCTTATCTTTAAATTTATTAGATGGAAGACATCTTAGAATGTCAGGTTCTACAGCAGATGAGTTGATATCTTATTAATCTTTTAATTCATTTTACACATTTCCAAGTTGTGTTTTGGATTAGGCGCCTCAGTTTGAAGGGCGTCATCTTGTTTTTGTAGCCCTGGCTGAGGGGGCTAACCAGATTCTGAGTAACATGATGCCGCCGATAAAATCTCACGTCATGTCAGAAAATGTGATGCTGCCTCTGTCTGCTGTGTTATCCACACAGGTATGTTTTCATAAGTCAGAAAGCGTACCAGGAAAGTGAGACCCATCCAGAAAGCTCCGTGTACACGTGCATGAAAGGCTCCGCAGTTCATGGGGATGACATTCTGGATACTGTGGAGTACGCTCGACCCTCAGAGGTGAGCTGGGAACCGATGCTGCAGGACACCTAAACACCTGTCAAAGAAATAATCACTGTACGGAAAAAGAGGAATGCATTTGTCTTGTTTTAAGGGTGGCGACGTGATCAGCACATTACTAAGAAGAGAATTCACGCACAATCAAAAACAAGGCACCTGTGCTGAGGTCAGAGGTCAACTCAGGTCCCCTTAGAAATAACTCAGCATGCATCTACCTTCACTTGACTCAGATGTTTTCTTCTGTTTTAGCATTTTCATGTTGCAAATGCAAACTGTACAACAGACCTCGACTGTGTGGAGGGGGAGGCTGATTTTGACGGACACGGTACAGTTATGATTATTTTTCCTTTAACTTTTGCGTTTTTCACAGCCTCCTATTCTGATTTAAGCTCTTAATGACAGGGAAAAGGACTGGCAGGTGTGTTCAGTACTACAACCACACTTTTAAAACGTGCGAGATCCAAACCTGGTGCCCTATTGAAGAATTTGCTGCAGAAAGGTGAGTCCGTAGGTTTATGGAGTTCTGTGGTTTGCTGAATGAAGCGTTATTTGTTGTCTTCAACAGAGAACCACCATTGGTAGAGGCCATTAATTTCACAGTGTTCATCAGGAACTCTATCCACTTTCCCAAGTTTAAAGTGTTGAGGTAAATTTTTTACCAAACCCACACAAAACAAACATCAAACAGAAATGATAGTTGTTAATGCAACAGATGTTCTTTTACAGAGTAAATGCTAAACACGTCTCAGATGGGCCTAAAAAGCACCGGTATCTCAAAAAGTGTCACTATCACGAAGAGAGCGATCCCTACTGCCCAAACTTCCGTCTGGGTTACATCGCACATCAAGCACGGGAGAATTTCAGCGAGCTCTGCAGGACTGTGAGTACAAGGCCCTAACTCAGACATGTCCAAAGTGCGGCCCTTGGGCCGCTTGTGGCCCTCAGAGTGATGTTGTGTTGTCCCTAGTTGCTTTTCCAGAATGGGGATTTTTGTCTCACTAGCAGGCTGTTGATATAAACAACACTTTTTACATTTTTTTATATTCAGCTATGTTGCTGATTGACCTGTTTTTAGGTGTAAACATTACTTAAAATCACCATAAAATTATTTTTTGCATTTTAAAAATGAAAACAATTTCACATTGGCAGCCCTCGAGGACTATTAACTTTACCATTTTGCCCTTTTCTCAACGCTGTGTGCAGCTTTTACCTCTCATTCAGATTCTGTATTTTATTTATGAGAGGAATAAAGGAAAAAATACAGCAGTAAGTAAAATCAGTAGAATACAATATGACCATTTATCATTTTTGAAGGACAACAGCATTAGAAGCTGATGAGTGATTCAAATACATCACAAAAACGCTGAGTACAAAACCACAAGAAAGGTTTTGCTCACTGATCAGGCTCCAATACCCTCACAGGTTAAAACAATTCTCCATCAAGAGTGATTTTTACTGAATGTTATAAATTGCTTTTCTACAAGAAAAAACAAGACACAAAACAGACTTTTTCCTATCTATAAACTTACTTTCTTACATCCATACACCGAGACAACCTTCTCTCGTCAGAACTTCTCTTTGTTCCTTGTTACAATCCAGCTTGATAAGAAGGCACTTTGTGTTTGTCTTGGTTTCAGCGTTTGGACATGATTAGTAGACGAGTCTTTTCCACTGCTAGGCAGGAATCAGCACACAGTCATGTTAAACTGGGCGAATCACTGTGAGGTCTGGGTTTTCTCTGTGCCAGGACAAACAGAAAGGAAAGTGTTAAACAGTCTGATGATAAGATAACTTTTATTTTTGCATGAATCAGGCAAAAAGATTTGTTTGGAGAGATTTAATGTTTTATGGAAAATTATTGAGAGTTCAAGCTGAGGACTTCTTTAGGGATTTCATTCAGGTCTCATTTATTCAGAATTGGATGGATGGATGGAATTCTCACCTTTTTAATAGGAAGTTTCTTATGAACATCATATTTTTAATTTATGGTTGTAATTTGTCTGATAAAAATCAGCATCTCCAGACGCTGGCAGGTCCCTTATGGTTATCTACCTGGGGAGTTGTTGGGACATTAATGCGGCTAAAACGGCCACAGTCGCTGGTGCACCACCACATATTTTAAATCCAAACGACCGGCTCGGCCGTGGGAGGCGTACTAGTACTTTTATAAGTAATCCGATTCACCGTGGCAAAATTATTAGCAAAAAATATTGAAAATGTTTTCATTTTGAGTGTGTGCACGTCTCAACCTGCCAGGCCAGTTAAAACTCACATGTACTTCGTGTGCAGACACTTATTCTTCTTCACCAGAGGAAATGATCTCTTGATTAGGAGCGTGCACCCTCGCAAACAACACATCAAAACCACCGGTTCGACCGTGGGAAGTCTGGTGTGTCATGATGAAAAATACTTTTGTCATGATCACCCCAAAATCACCCCAATCTCATGATTTTGAGTTTTTCACCCAACATCACACAAAAATCATTAATCAATGTATTATGTACATAATTAGTTACTTTTCATTTTGTGGGCAGGTCCCATTTTAAAATTTCTTTAGGAATTTTCTAGTTATAATTATCATTATTATTATTATTATCATTATTAACATTTAACATTGTAGTCACAAATAGATCATTTTTACGTTTTACACTTTAAACTAAGTGCTGACGACAGAAACAATCCATGGCTTGAATGACAATTTGTCTATTCGTCTAATTTTCTTTTGCTATCTAAAAGCTTAGTTTCTTCTGTAGTTTCAGAGGATTTTGTTGTTTTTAATCCATTTGCACTTGTTGGTAAAACAGATGAACAATAGATTTGGGAAGCAACAGATTTCTGGGGTTTTTTTTGTTTCATGACTTATAAGCAACTACTAGACTGAAGAATAAACAACAATAATAAACCCCTCAATGCTTCAGATACTGTTTATTCTATTTAGGGAGGAGTGATTGGAGTTTTCATCAACTGGGACTGTAACCTGGATTTAGACCCTTCACACTGTAAACCCATGTATTCATTTCGCCGTCTTGACCTCCGAAAGGATCTGACGGACTCTGGTTACCACTACAGGTCAGCGCCGTAACCCCACACTCACTCCATCTTCGTCCAAACACAAGTTTATTTTTTAACGGAAAGATTTTTAATGTGGTTGTTCAGATTTGCCAAATATTACAGCAACAACGGCGTAGAGTATCGGACACTCATCAAAGCTTACGGCATTCGTCTGGATATCATCGTCCACGGACAGGTTAGATGTTCCTCTTCTGTTGTGACATTACGTCCGGCTTTCTTTGGGATTCATGACTGTATGTGGGATTTCTGTGCAGGCAGGAAAATTTAGTCCCATCCCAACTATCATCAGCATAGTGACAGCTATGACCTCTGTTGGGATTGTAAGTATTGAGTCATGATTCAGTTGAACAGCTCCCAGCACAGATCTTCTAACCCGTTTCTTCTCTAGTGCACCATCATCTGCGACTGGATCATGCTTACGTTTATCGACAGGAATGAAGTCTACAGTGAGAGAAAGTTTGATGAAGTGAGTAAAAAGCTGTGCTTTAAACAAAAAAAATTGGATAATTCAAAATGTTATGCAGATGTGGAACGCTTTCCTGTGTTATGCATCCTTTTAAATTGACTGCATGTGCTCAACAGTGCTTTAAAACATCCTTACTCCGTTTTCAGAGACACACAAAAGTTTTAGATCAGCAAACATTTGCAATATCAGACAAGAGTAAATGCAAAATGAAGTTTTTCAGCAATTATTCCATTTATAAATGGAGTAAAGCTATTGACAAAAACACCTGGCCCTGTGCAGAAAAGTTAACAACCCCCGTGTTAAGTCATGAAATAACCACGTTAGCAGGGAAGCAGAGTTCTGTTAACCAGACACGCTCACGGCTGATTCCTGCCAGTTTTGCAGAATGAAGAAACCTTTTGAACTGATCCTGTGTAAAACTATGAAGTAGGTGAAAAGACCTGAAATATCAACACAGCATGCTTTGTTCTACAGAAATCCAAAAAACAGAAAAACCCAGAACATCTAAAGTACTGCAGGCTTCACTTAAGGGGGTTTAAATATATTATGAATGAAAAATGTGAAAATCTCTGCTGACCAAAATCAACCCAAAGGCCCATCTCACATTCGCCAACAAAATATCATGATTCTCAAGTCTTTTTAAAAAATTTCCACTTTTTCCAAGGTGTGTCCCATTTCATCTGATGTAAAGCGACTGCATTTCAGAAAAAGAACATCATACAGTAGTTAAACTTGGTGGTGGTAGTGTGATGGTCTGGGGCTGCTTTTTGACCCGGACCACAGGTGGAAACCACAAACTCAGCTCTCTACCACAAAATCCTGAAAATCTGTTTGAAATTCCACAAACAGGCCACTGCTGCTGGAAAATCCTCTAATGTGGCTGAATTAAAACAATTTTGTAAAGAACAGGTCAAAATTCCTCCACATCCAATTTCCTCTGTTGCCAGTTCACCTCTTAGGGCCAGAACAAAATAATAATTTAAAATCTGCAATTTGAGTTTACTCGGGTTATCTTCCTTTGATGTTTCAAATGTCTTTGGTGATCTGGAACCTTTCAGTGTGTCAACAAGGAAAAACCACAGGACTCAGAATGTCTCTGCTGTATTTACGAATTGTAATATGGTCTGTCAGTAAGTGCGGTGTCTCCTGCAGGTCATAAAGGAACCTACAGAAACCATTCGTACCGAGCTGAGCTACATCAGCAGCTACGGCTCCAACCACTCGGACCTGTCGGACGGCGTCCCGCTCTGAGACCCTGCAGTGTCGTGTCGTTTTTAATCCTCCAACTGATGGACTCACAACGTGCTGTAAAGCGGAAATGAACTATGCCTGTTCCACCCACTTCTCCTCAGTTTAGTTGATTCACATGTATGTTTGTTTTCTCTGGTTCTAAAGATCCAAACTGTTTCACAGCAGAAAAAAAATCGAAATAGAATTGAAAACTATTCCATCAACATTAAAATACCTTTAGATTTGCTCATTGTAACGCCTCCTAAAACATATTTCTCTGTATATTACATGTTTAATGAGTCTTTGCACCTGAGAGATAGAAAGGAACCCAGTGCAGCGTGATGATACAGGAGGAGTAAACTGAGAGGCCACATCAGGATAGCAACCATCAGTAATCAAATAATGCATACATTTCCCATAAAGAGATTTCTCTAACAAGATTGTTGGAGAGCGAGCCCGTCTACAAGACTCAAACGTCAGTGGTGAAGCAGAACTTGAGACTGGGGGATCGATATCTGCGGGGAAGGATGGAGATAAAACAGCAGCCATGCTGGTTTGAGAACTAGTTATAATAGAGGAAATTTCTATTTCACTTTAAACAGTTTCAATCAGACACATATTGGATTTACAAAGAAGATGCATAAAATAAAAGCTTCACATATGGAAGGTTTTGTTATTTTCCAACAACAGCAGGTGTCAGAAAGATCATCTGAGAGAAATAATCTAATCATGTCTCCGGTTTAAATGTGGTTACCCATATGGGAGAAAGCCATCAGCAGGGAAATTAAATCACTGGGAACTTCTTAAGTGTAGGTTAAACCACAATTCACTTTGAATTTAAATAAATATATATATATATTTAAATAACTGAATATATATAAAACCTCAAAATATTGTTCCTGCAGTAACTAGAAAACAGAAATGCTGAATTTGTTCATTTTCTCCTCATCAGACTACATTTTTTGTTTACCTCTCATAAAAAAATGCATTTTGTACCATGCAAAAAACCATCTAAATAGCAGAATAAATAAACCAATAAAAATAAAACAAGCTCAAATTTTAAACAGTTGCGCTTTAATTAACTGGTGAAAAACTGAAATCCATACACATAAAGCAAAGTTCAGACATATTTACAGAAGAAACATTCCTCCTCAGTTCAGCATCAGAGATGATCAAGTGGATAAAGATCGAGTGCTTCCCAGGAGGGTCGCCTCTGCTTGTCACGTTCAGTGGCTGATCTGAGGGCTCATCTCCAGCAGCCAGTGGATGGTCTCCTCCAGGAATCTCATGTTGAAATGGGATGCAATGTTCTGAAACATGGAGATCTGCTGGGCGAAGCTCTTTAAAAACAAGAAGAGAAGGGTTGAGTCAAGAGGAATCGATGTCCGATTTCTCTTATTAAGATCGTAGTTTGAGAAGAAACCTTGGATGAGAAGGTCAGGTCAAAGTCGCCGGCACATCTGCAGTAGAGGGGCATGTTTGCTTCCTTCACCCCTTTACATTTGGTGCACACCTAAAAATCCCACAAACCAGGAAGTTACAACCGAAATGATTTGGTCCGGTTAGCTTTCTGGCACGTACTCACCAGGTCTTGCAGCGTGTAGCTCATGAGTTTCTTCTGCAGAGCTTCAACCAGGGCCATCTCAATCGAGTCTGTCTCATACTGGACCTGACAGTTTGAGCAGAACCACTGAGGCAACACAGACCCGTCCTAAAAAACAAAGAAAAAGTGATGATTCCATTTGAATGAACACGACGGTGTTCGTATCAGGCGCTGCTCACCTGTGCCACTGACGGGTCCTTACACAGGTCCAGGTCCCGACAGAAATTGCAGTGGTGGCAGATGACTTCAGGCAGGATGTAGGAGTTGCAGGGATCACGGAACTGAGCTTCGTCTGAAAACTCCCCCACGTCCACCAGACGTAGGAGGTCTCGCTTCAGCTTGTTCACCTGATTCACAATGTTGGCATCCAGAGAAAGGACCTGAAATATAAAACACAGAGCTGCTCATAAATGCTGGACTTTAATGTACTGCTGTGCTAATAATAATAATAATAATAATAATAAATACATTATATTAACAAATCTAATAATAATAAAAATATAAACCACAAACAGAAATAGTTAATAAATTATGGAATTCAAAGTACTGATGTGCAAAAATTAAATAAACATTTGAATAATTTTAAAAATATATAACTATTTACATGTAAATAAATATCACATTACATTTTTATAATTAATAATGTTAATAATATTAAAGAAACAATGATCTCTAACTGAAAACAATTAATAAATAATATAATAATATGCAAATATATAACAATAACATTACTACTACTAATTAAAAAAACTATGAATACATAATATATCATAATTTTATTATATACTATAATAAATCAAAACCGCGGGCAGAAAGGTTAATAAGGGGTGGATTCTGATGAACTGCTGTGCGTCAGGATCGCGTCCGTACCTGGCAAACGTATTTGACGAACTCCAGAGCAGGGTTGTTCAGAGGCAGGTGTGAGCCGGGCAGGACGGGAAACATCTCTGACGTCTGGGTCACGTTCCTGGAGCCCGTCACCTTTTTCTGGATCTTCTGAGTGATGGTGAAAATGTTCTGGGTCAGCTCGCTCGCCACGTACTCCTGAGAGAAGGAAATCATTCCTGGAGAAGAAAGCAATAACAGTAAAACACAACCGAGTCCAACACACATCCTGAATCTCAACTTTGTTTTTTTTAAAATTAACTTAATTCTTCTTCCGGCTCTTGGAGAGTTCAGACGCTTTTTTCCTCCTCTTCTCCCTATCATAACCCAAGGCTCTTTGTCTGACTTTGGGTGTACGGCGCTTCTGCATTTTTTCTGGAAACTAGAAATTATTACAATGGGCCTGGTCAGTTGGTCTCAACGTGATTGACAAAAGGAGAGAAGGGGCTCCCGGGTGCCCCTCTGGGACAGAGCCAGCTGGGCATATCATGGACTCCTGGAAACAGTGGAACCTGATCTGCCTCTCTCAACTGTCTGTAGAGGATTCTGAAGACGTCTGGATATTCGTGGTGTTGGTGTCAGGTTTCGTGCTGTTTGGCCCGAGCGGTTACCTGGCTTACCGGAAAATTAACGAGCTGTCGAGGCTCAATCCCAGAGCTCAGGGATGGATTACACCGCACAAACTCATAACTGTCTAAATGAGTCGTAAGCTTGGAACTTTGGCTGAGATTCAGACTCTGGCACAGAAGATTGATGCCACCAAGGATAGAGTTGACGGATCAGCACGGATTGGGATAGATTCATTTACGCCATTATTGGATTCAGACGGGTTGGAGATCAACAGAACTTTAAGACAGAGAGGAAATTATCTCTGTCTGGTCCCAAAGCAAGTTCTTATCTGAATCTGGTGCCCTTGAGCCTGTGAGGCTGAAGTGACCCCCCCCCCCCCCCCCCCCCCCCCGAAGAAATGTGTAATGCTGTTGTCGCCATGGTAACTGTCTCCCTATCCCAGCCTGGGCGGGACTGCGACCGGTGAAGGCCGTTGAATCGTTCCAGGAGTCACTGTGCTCTCTAACCCAAATACCTCCTTCCCCTGTCCAAACGGAGGTGACGAGCGCTGCTTATCGCGGCTGCATGCACTGATGTGAGGACGGTCCCCAACCCTACCACCCCACCTAGTGGACACTTATGTTGTGTGATGTCTGAAGTCTGATGCATTTCTGTCTGAGGTGTTTTTTGCAGAGCAAAGCTGCCCTCCCGGTGTGGAGGGTAACTCTGAAGTGCCTTTTTTCCTCCACCTGACCCAATCCTCATATAAACCCTCTGATCTCTATTAAGGTAGCGCGACTCAGGTTGCGAATGACCACAGTCACCAATTCTTGTCATGTGTCTATGTATGAATGTCTGATCTCAGAATTGTGTGTACTGAAACTCTAATTTCCCTCTGGGATTAATAAAGGATCTTTGAATTGAATTTGAATTAAGAAGCCTCTTAAACTGCCTCTTTACCAGGAAGTGCGCTCAAGTCCCCAACGGCCTGCTGTGAAACCTGGCTGCCTCCGCGCCTCTTGACTGGCGTTGCTCCCGGAGCGTTACGTCTCAGCTCCTCTTTCATGCTGTGGTAAACGGCAGCGATGTAGGCTGCACGGGAGGAGCGGGACGGTAAATAATAACTCAGAAATGAATAAGAATGAATAACTTTTTATTATTTTACCTGAAACAATCATGAGGAAGTATTTCTGACAGGAAGCCGTTTGGGGAAGGTAATGCATGATGTTCCAGCTGCTCTCAATCAGCTCTTCCACCTCATCAGCCTCTCCATCTCCATCATCTTCCTCAGCGTTGTCCTCAGCCTCATCTTCACTCCCGTCCTCGTCTTCCTCTCCTTGTGTGATTTTCTTCTCTTTGGCGTTTTCCTAAAACCATAAAAACGGGAAAGTGTTTAGAGTACTTTAAGTGTTTTAGTTCAAACTCTATAAATAAACATTTTAAATAAACCTGGTTCATATGACACATTTTTATGCTTCCGGTCTGTTTTTTTATTCTGCAAACTGAACTTTTAGATTGCGGTACCTCTCCATACAGAACGCTGGAAGGTAGTTTGCCCTTGACGCCGCCGTAGTTAGCTGGATCCATCCACAACAGGAAGTCCCAGCATCGGGAGAAGGAGATGGACAGGGAGTGGAAGATCTCCCTGGAATGTATGCTAGAAAGGAAACACAGGCGGGTGATTGATGGAAATGGATCAAACGTTTTGTGTCTAGCGTCCTTTCGATTTAAACTGGCTCCAGATTAGTTTTAGTATTTATTAATATTTATGATATACTGAATGGAAAACAGACATGTACTCGAGTAAGCCAAGAAATGCACCTAAATAAAGAAATCACAATTAAAACGTGTAATCTGGGGGGCAGAAATGTCTGACCTGTTGGTTATGTATTCTACGTAGGCAATGGCGTCGTCTATCCTCCTTTTCTTGGTGCACAGGATGATCCTGTTAAAGTTTCCATAAACCACAGTAGAGCCCAGACGTTTGAACTCTGCCACCAACCTGCCAGCGGAACGACAGCCAGATTATTACAGGAACAGAAGACAGCAGGATCAGGAGATCATTTAATCCCACAGTTCTTTTGGCTGCAAAATGTAACTTTTAAACAAAGCTTTTGAGCAGCAATTACATAAATGATGCCTCTGTGGTAAAATGGATGCTGCACTCACTGCAGGAACACCTTCTTCATCATGTTGTGCAGCGTGCGGTGCAGCGCCGGGTCGTAGAGGAGAGAGCTTGGGGAGCGGAGCCAGCGGTAGAAGTGCATCACCTGGTTGTCTGCGTACACGTTGTGGTACTGCGTGATCTCCCTGACCCACCCAACCACCATGCTCTTCAAGATCCTGCTCAGAGGAGATGAACACCACCGGGGGGGTTAAACCACAGGAGGAACATCTGTAAATGAATGCAGCTGAGAAGATGATCACACCTGAAGGTGTTGGAGCAGAGAGCCGTCTCATCATAGCTAGCCAAAGCGCTGGCGCTTTGGTTTCCTGACATCATGTCCTCCAACGACGCCTGCTGGATCACGTCAAAGCTCACGCCCAGACTGGCCCCGCCCTCCATGTCGTTGACATGCTGCGACTGGAGGATGGTGTTCACCGCCAGGCTCTGCAGGTCCAGCTCCACGCATACTGGAGATGACACATACCAACATATATTCACACAGCAAAAGGAGCTCCAGAAACTCCTGGTTCCTGAGTTTTCCTGGTAGTTGGAGTACCTGTGGAATAACATCCTTGTGCGTTGATCTCCACGGACACCTGATCGTCGTTTTCTACGACCAGGCGGCTGTCGTCGGCCTCTTTCCCACCGAGGTCGGGCCTGGCTGTGGGTGAAAGCCACAGCAGATGGTTGTGTTTCCGTAGATGTCTCGCCAGGAACAAGTCGGAGCCAAAGATGGACACGTCCTGGGGCAAATTACCCACTGGCAGGTGGTAATACCTGAAAGGAGGAGTTCCTGGTAGCCACGCAGTAATATTAATTCCACTGAGGAGAAGGTGAGCTGGGCTTACCTGGCCATTTCAAAAGCCTGAGACAGGCAGCTGTCCAGGTTGAGGTAATGGCGGATCATGCGCCGGGCCCCGTGGCGTTGCCAGTCCAGCACATTGTAGCTGATCTCATCCACCACGTGCACCGGAACCACCGGGAACTCCTCGAGCACCGGCACGGCTGCTGCTAGCCGCTGCAGCTCCCAGTTGGACTGGACGGCGATGAGAGTGGGCCCACGTCGCTCCTCCTGAACGTAGCAAAGAGATAAATCAACATGGAGGAAAACAAGGAGATTACCTACCTGTAGGACAGTGAAAACATAGATGGGTTATGGTTATTTTATTAGTAAAACAGAATAAAAACACCAGAATTTGTGTCTTTTACTTTGTAGTTCAGCAGGATGCGCTGCACAGCACGAGAGATCGCCTTGATGTCGTTTTCAGCTCGAACCTCGAAGGTGTGTTTCTCTGGAGGTAGAAGCTCCTCCGTTGTCTTCTCCAGGAGGGCGGTGCGCTCTGCTGTGTAGAGGTTACTCAGGTTGGGCATCTGGTTGCTTCGCACCTGAAAATCACAAAGTTGCAACAAAAGGATGACACTCCGAAGCTCGTTCAGAAATAATCCAACAGCCCTGCCACAAGAGTTATCTTGCTCCGAATTAGCTAAAACCTGACTGTTTTGGTCCCCGTTACCACAGAGACACACATACGTGGCCTCAGACCAGTAGTAGAAGCATTGGATGCGAGTTTAGAACACATTCAGAAGCAGGTGAAGAAAAAAACTGTGCTTCTTTTACCGTGTCCAAGATGAAGATGCTCGCTTTGCGCTGAGAGGGGATGAACAGCCCAAACAGAGCCTTCTGACCCTGGTTGTGATGATACAAGTACATGTGACGAATGCTTCCTAAGGAAAAGGCAAGCATGTGTGTTAGGATGGAGAAAATGTAAAACCAAGGCAATTGTCTCTGACTAATTCAAGATGAGGTTTTCTGCAGATCTCACCGGGTTCCAGGTAGCTGAACTGAGCCAGAGATCTCATCTCCAGATGTTCCAGATCAAAGGAATCCGTCTCTCTGCCGGCCAAATCTCTGACGATGTGTTTGTTTACCATGCACACGCAGCCGAGCTGCACCAGGGCACGAAACAACAGGGGGACCTGGGAAACAGGTGATGGAGTGAGGTTAATGAAGCCGAACTGGAAACATGGAGGTGGTGGAGTTTAAGGTCACCTGTGTTTCATAGACGCCTTCGATGTCGGGAGCCGAGAGGTCGGCGTTGATCTCGTTGATGTGCTTCTGGTACATTTCCTCTGGCACAGAGTACTCGTACAGGAAGTACACCATGTTGGAGCGCGGCAGCATGCGGTTCACCTGAAGTCACCGTTTGGGAATTAAACACAGTTTTGGATGAACTGAACTCGGTTTTCTCAGCCCGTACCTTTTTGAACGCCACTCCCTCTTCTTGTTTTGGGACTTTCTGGTTGACGTAGAAGACCCGCGGGATGTTGAGCTTCATGCAGTGAAGGTCGTTTCCGATCACAGCCCACAGCTTGTACAGACCAGGGTGACTCGTTTCTGCAATCTGAGACGTATCACAGTCATTTCCTTGAATTTTGTCCAACGATCACATCCAACGTTTGGATGTCACCGCCACGGTGACTTTGCTCTACCTGCACAACCTGCCAAGGCATGTCCAGGATGCTGCGAGCAGTTCTGCGGAGGAAGCTCCCCAGGCCGGTGGCGGAGCCACCTCGGATCACACCTCCTCCAACAGGTTGAGACTCTCCATCCAACAGCTTCCTCCTCTTCTTCTTCTCCTTCCTCTGTCTCAGCTGCAGCTCCCACTTCTTCTTGTGATAACGAAGCCAAACAAGACGCTCCTCCTGCACAAAAAGACACAGGTTGTTAAAATTAAACATCAAAATAAAACCTGAGATTAACAAAATCCCTGTGGGATTAAAATCTGCTGGAAATGCACCCGTGTTGTTCCCTTTGATGGAGGCGGTCCCAGGATTTCTCTCCATGACTGCGTGAGCTCAACGTCCTGAGACTCCACCTGACTGTCACTCCCCTGAGACGCCCGCTTACGCTTGGTGCTGATGGGAACGGCGGGCTGCGGGGGTCTAGCCGGCCTCCCAAAGTCCTCCATATCTGCTGTATGACCTGCCTCGAGAGGCTGGTGGGTCACCTGGGAGATGTAGAAACAGCAACACATGGGAGCTCTGCTCAGCGCTCACGATGCTGACTGATCAGCTGACCCTACCTGCTTCTTGCCCTCGCTGGTGAACAGCTCACTGATTTTTTTCTGCTTGTAGATGTCGTTTTTCTCCAGGAGCTTCTTGTGAAGCCAGTCAGGATGTCTGACTCTTGGAACTGGATTCTTCACCTGATGGTAAAAAGAAAAATTCAAACGAATCTATACATAAACTTGAGTTGCATTCAGAAAGTGGTCGATTTTTTTTAAAAATGAGCTTTAACCTGTTGCAGAGCTGCAGGGATGGTGATGATCTTTTGGATCGCACTGCCCAACCTCTCGATGTAATAGCTCCAATCGAGGATCTGGAGACACCCGGAGACAAGAATGTGTAAAAAAAAAAAATTGAATATATATATATATATATGATGAGGTTTTATCTTTAACTGGAAAAAACATTATGACTCACCGTGCGGATGTCCAAGTCGTGCAGGCTGGGCATCTTCAACCACTTCCTGAGGAAATGCTTCTTGACGCTGGGCTCTGCCTGGAAGATGGCCAGAGGAATGGCCCTGATGGGGGAAATATGTAGATGTGATGGTGTCAGACCCAAAGCTTTTACCTCTGGTGGTAATGCAAAGAGACTATTCTCCAGAGAGACCCAAAGGAAAACAGCATAAATATATCAGATCAATCAAGAAATCTGCTTGAGCCCTCTGGCTTGACTTGTTCATCACAAAAGGTTTTCGTTAGAAATTTGATTCCTTCCGTGTTAAATGATAAAAATCCACCTTTCTGTTACGGGGGAACCCTCTGGTTTTCGGGAGATGACGTAGCGGCAGCTCAGACCAGCGTCTTTCACCATCTGGTCTCCCAGGAACTCTGCCAGCCTCTTGGCCGTGCTGATGGATGTAGACTTTTGCTCTCCATAGTCTTCCAGCTTCCTGGACATCGACCGATTCTCTGAAATCAAGTCAAACAGCTCTGCATCGGGCATGTTGGCAGCCTAAAAAACAAGCACAAAAAACATGACAAAAACAAAAACAGACTGAATCTTTTTTTGATTGAAGTGGGCACACTGGTTTTTAACACATCTGCGGTGGTCTCTAGTATATACAAATGGCTTGTGGGCCGATCTCTGGGGAGAAACTCCTGTTTCAGAAACTTAATCGAAGGAAAAATTCATTCACCTTGCTGTACAGCACATCCAGCCAGTAGTCGGCTACTTTGGCCACAGACGCGTACACTTCCTCCAGGGTGGTCCCTTTGAGGAAAGCCTCAAACACAGATGATTGGAAGATCTTGATGAGCTGGAGCTCCCCTCGTCTCTTCACTTCAAAACCTTTGAGCTCAGCCAGAGAGCCGTCCTCGTTAAACACGGCGTACCTGAAAAACAACACGGGGCGTCCTTAAAAGTGCCCTTTCAGCTTAAATATTTCATCACTTGTGTGGCAAACCTTTTCTTGAGCTTCTTCCCTTCCTCTTTGGAGGCAGGCAGGATCATGGCCAGGTACGGTCCGTCCACCTCGAAGAAGATGCTGTTCTCCGACCTGATGTTGTACACGAGAGACGCTGGCTCCACCAGCTCGTGGTACTGGTCGTTGGTGAACCCCTCCTTCACCATGATGTTCAGCATGGCCCCCGGGTAGGAAACGGTCACCTTGGGCTTCTTCTCGTTGCTGGTTTTCACCACAAAGTTCTCTGGGAAGGTGTTGGGGAGGACGCACCAGATACCGTCGGTGTCCAGCTCCAGAGGCCTCCTGAGTCAAAATTAGAAAGTGTGAGAAGAATTATTAGTTTTTTTCCCCTAAACTGCTAAATTACTTAAGAAAGAAGCCTTTCTTAATGCCAAAATAAACCTTTGAGGTTACAGAATCACAATAAATTCAGATCTTTGAACGGGAGAAACGAGCGACGCCACTCACCCGATTTGCTCGATGAGTTCTCTGGCCTGAGTGATAATGTTGGCTCCAGTGTAGCACACAATGCCAGCCATCTCCATGGAGTACCAGCGAGCCCTGAGAGATAGACGAAGACAGCATCAGCCCCGCAGCGGCGAGAGAGGACGCGTGACGAAGCGACCCGTACCCTTTTCTCATGACGTAGCCGTAGAAAGAGTTCAGAATACACTTGTGAGCCAGCTGAAGGGAGTCGTACAGGATCTCCATGTTTTTGCAGCGCTTCACCTCGGCAGCATCTCCACATTCCTGTGCCACTGACAGCTTCTTCTTCCACACCTTCAACAGCAAACACGCACCAGAAGTGACCAAACAATGATTATGAAAGCAAAAGACTTTTTAAAATTATTTTTGGAAAACCAAAGCCTACTTTGTGAAGTCCTTTGAATTCGTAACGCCGATCCCTGAAGGCTCTGACCGTGTCAACATAGAAGGAGTTTTCTCGCTGACAGATGGTGGTGACGCGCTCCTCCAGCCTGGTGACGTGGATCTTCTTGTAGGCCTTCTTACAATAATCTAAAAAAAAAAAAACAAAGAAAACTGCAATTTACACATCTTAAAACCAAGATCTGCTTTAAGGGAACCCAAACAAAGACGGTACCCGCAAGACGCTTCTTCTCGTGTTTGGCCTGCTCCTCCCGGTTGAGTGTGTGGAAGGCCCTGGGGGCCCCGTTGGGGAACAGCGGGGGGAACTTCTCAGACTCCAGCTGCTGCTGGATGCGGTGAAACTCGCTGCGACTTGCAGGCACTGAAAACAAATAGATGTTTTTTTTTATTTTAATAAACCAACCCAAACCTGTTTTAGTGCAGAGTAACCAGCTCACTGATTTCTCCTCTCCACTGCCAGGTCATCCTCCTCTGGCAGGAGGCGCCGGGCTTGTTGAAGTCACAGGCAGCACACGTGGCCTCATCAACCATCGCCGACGGCTACAAACGATGAAGACGTTAAACCTGCTGCTGTTGAAAGAGTCTTGCGTCTGATTTGTGATTCTTTTAGTTTTTTTTACCTGCAGGCGGTTGGTGAGGATGATGTTGGGGTACATCGCCCCGACGTCCAGATGGTAGATGAGGGGGCACTCGATCCTGTTGGGAACCTCCTTCAAGGAAGTCAGCTTCTTTTTGATTTCATCACACACCTGACAAAGCATCACAGTTACTCCATGATGGAAGTGTTGAGCTAAAAAGGGGGAGGGCGACAAGTTCACACACCTCATTAAAGTTAGTAACTTGCTCCAGAGAGACTTTCTCCTCCTCCTCGATGGCGTGACGCATTGTTTGCTCGACTCTTTGAAGCAGGAAGTCGAAGGCGGCTGGGTTCTGTCAAAGCATCAACCCAAAACGGTCAAGCTTCAAGCTCCTAAAGGTGATTTAGTAGAATTATCAGAGAAAAAAAAAGAGGATGTACCATTTTAAAACGACAGGGGATGTCGCTGCGAAACACTCCCGACTCCAGCGCCTCCACGTGGCCTCCCACGTAGGTCTCAGAGTCCATGACGTGTCCGTCGTCCGTCAGCTTGTTGAAGACTTGCTCCTGCTTGTTGGGGAACACGATGTTGACGTGGAAGGCCTGCACCATCAGCAAGGCCTCACACAGAGTCCCAGACCCTTTACGCAGCACCTGTTCACACAAGAGCAGCGAGAGACCATTTAGTTTACGGCTCTTTATCAGCAGATAAAGCAGATTTTACTACAAAAATCTGAGACGAACCTCATCAGGCTCCATGGGGATGATGGTACACAGCGCAAAGATGAAGGGGTGAACATATTTCATGTACAGGTAATACGTGGCCACGGCGTCAGACACAGAGTAGGTGGCTAAAGTCTGTGGGAAAAGAAAAACAAATGTATTTTTAACTGACTAATCTTTTCTTTTATAGGATTTAAAACTCAAATCGTGTTTCTGGACCTGTGGCTCCTCCGTTGCCATGCGACACATCTCCTCAGGGTCCAGCTCCACCGGGTCGTAGCCCAGTTTAGCCTTGGCTGCTGCCTTGAGATTGTGACTTCCCACAGGTAAGTAGCTGTCTCTCTTTACCCACCTGGTAAAAGTTGGAATGAACACGTGAGAAAACAATTCCCATTAAAATAATCAGCACACCTTGTCAGTAGGTGGGAGTCAGAATCATCCCCACCTCAGGCAGTCCATGTGGATGGCTTGGCTGGACTTGTACTCCCCCTGGCTGTCCTTCTGGAAACCAATTTCCCTGTGCATGCTCAGGCCGTGGTGGGCAGCTCGGGTCTCGACAAAAGGCCTGAAGAGGACCAAAAACACCCTCACAAAATAGAAGTTTCTAATAAACTGCTATTTTTAAAATTAATCCTGGATATTTTATATAGTTTTTCCCCATTAACAAAGAATAAACATGATTTAAAAACTGGGCTGTGAGTTTTTAATTACAATCAGCTCACCAGTCAAAGAAGTCTCCGTTGTAGGTTACAAATATGTTTGGTTTGGTCTCCTGAACGTGATCAAACCACCTCTGAATGAGACCAGCCTGCAACCAGAAACACTTTAATGCAAAAGCACTTCATACGGTAATAATCAGCTGAATCTGCACAGGTCTAGACCTCATCGGCCTCATTAAAAACAGTGAAAGGCCCTTCGTATTCCGGTTTGGGAGTGAACTCAAAATCCTCAATGTTCTCAGAGACAATCTCTCTGTTTGTGATCAGGAACCCCTGAAGAAATAAAACACGAGTTGGCAAACTGACGCAAACACGATGAGGTAAAGGATAACTTTGCGAACGGCTCTGTGTTAAACCCACCTGTCCGTCTATCATGTAGGAAATCATCATGATCTGATCCGTCTCTGCGTCTGGGAACTTCAGAGGAAGTTTGGTTGTCTCGATGTCAAAAGCCAAAACAACCGGGTCCTAAATATCCAAAAAAAAAATTTCAATAATACAAGACTTAATGTAATCAGTGAGAATAAATAATGTGTTTTCAAGACAAAAAACAAAATATACGTACCGGGCGCTCCACAAGATCCTCTCTGCGTACGATCTCTGGCGGGAATGCGCTGCCACGGTAACGAACGTTGTACCAGTGAGCCTGAATGAGGCAGAGATAGCACAGATTATTACAACATTTATGTAAATAATAATCCAAGGTTTTATTATAAAGTGTCCTCACCACATGAATCTTCAGGTCGATGGAGAGTCGGACGTGGTAGGGCACATCGTACTCTCTCATGTCCACTATGTTCTCCAGCTGATCCACAATACTTTTCGACATCCCATCATCATAAGCTGAGGTGACGTTGCCACCTGACAGAGCGCTAAAACAACAAAATCCAGAGAACACTAGGAACGTGATGCTTTCAGGAACCCAGCAGACACAACAGATCATTCCTACCTTGATAACATTGAGGTGTAGGAGTCGTTGGACTGCTCCCTCTCTCGGTTCTTCCTTACAGCCGGAGCGATCTCACGCTTCACTTTGATGAGATCATCAACGGTGTTGAACGACAGTTTGATGTAGTTTCTCTTCAGGCCCACTAGATGGTTTGGCTGCAGAAATTGAGAAGTAGATTTTTAGTGCGTTGTCAACAATGGATCCTCTGACTGCAAACTAAAACTAAAACTGACCAGATCCAAGTCCTCTTTTGGAAGCATCTCGAGTTTTGCCACCTTTCCTTGGAACTTCTTGGATAAGTATGAAATGACTTCCCTTTCACAGTTCTGAAAAGAATAATTAAGTTCTATAGGAATCTGATAAAACGACTCAAAACCTGAATCAAAATCAGACTTACCTTTCTAGTAGCAATGTAAAAATAAGGCTTGAAAGGAAGTGCCACCTACAAGGAGTAAAGATCAGGAAGAGCATGTCAGGGCAGAATAAACATCAATCATTAATATGTCATCCAGCATGAGGCTTTTTAAATAAACCAACCTTGAATCTGCTTCCATCCTCTTGGATGAAGTAGTAGTCTACAGCACTGATCATCCTCCTGTCCTCATCTAGGATCTCCGTCTACAAACGCGAACAAACGCGTTAAATGTCTCCTGAGACAGAAACCTGGTAGACTTCAGAGTGTGGACTCACAGGGTGCATGTTGATCAGCCAGCCTGTTTTCTCCCCGGGCTCCTTCATCCTCTCGAAGCCGAAACGAGCGTCCATGTCGTCGGTGAACTGGCTGCGCTCGAGCCGCTTGACGGCCGACGAGCCATCATCCCTGGTTCAGACAAGCAGCTACATTAGCTCTTCGTCTCATTTTGGAACACGCTGAAGTACTTCCACAGACACAATTACATCTAATAAACAGAAATTACAAGCGAACTTACTGGTTATCCACATCTGCTCCACTTTGTCCACGGTCCGCCCTGTACCGTCCGCTGTTTTGCAAAACCATCCTCTTGATTCAGTTTTTCAGCTACAACACCGTCATATATGTTTAAACAACCATTTGCTTCGCCGTAGGCGTCTAAATTATATATTAATATTAGTATTTTAAAGCGTTGGTCGTTCTCTGACAGCGTAGCCGACCGGATTTGTGTTTTCTGGATTTCGCGCGTTCCTGCAACTGCCGCGAGACCAGAGCAGAGCCGGAAGAACAAAGATCGTTTGTGAACAAAGATAAACACCCGCGCACTCTGATACGATCACCGCACAACAACAAAATGAACAAAATACGTTTTAGTTAGGTTAACTTTCCAGCATAGCTACGAATTGATCTACTTGTAAGGTTAAATTGTGTGTTTTATCAGTAAATTTCAACACTGAAAAGGTCAAAGTTGCACTCCTCATCATGTAAACACAAACACACAAACTCTGGCTGTGTGCAAAAAACCATTAACTTTGTTTCCATTTATTGTAACCCACGTGTCTTTTATGGAACTCAAAAGTATTCAAAATTCAATATACAAATAAGACATTATGTATTAAATATCTACATGAAGAAATACTAGACGATCATGTAATCTGACAATGAAATGAAATAATGGATTATGTAAAATCTAAGCTCAATATTATGAAATATTTTTCATTCTTTTACCATTCTGTTATTTCATCATTTTATTGTCAGATTACATGATTGTCTAGTATTTCTTCATGCAGATATTATTTATGTATTGAATTTTGAATACTTTTGAGTTCCATATACTAACTTCATGTAGCATTCCTCACTTCCGTTTTTCTTCAGCTTGAAACTACACATTTAGAGGGTTGGTATTTTCTTTTTTTTTTTTTTTTTACATATTTGATCTTTGATGGTTTCTGGGAGGAGCTTGAGAGGCTCCTCCCTCTTACGTGAACGTGTTTACTATCGCACTCGAGAGGAGAGGGTGCTGGTAGCGGTGAAAGAATAACACCGTCTGGTCTGGTGGTAGGTACTTTTGAAATTTGCTGCCTTGGAAATATATGAAACGGTTTATCGGCCACCATCGCAGCGTTTAGTTGCATGAGGAAATGCGTTTTCAATCCGACAAACACAGAGCCTTATGTGAACATATGTGACAGTTATTCCCTTGACTTGTGAAAACAGCGACCATATGGTCTTATTTTTGGAACGATGACTGTAAAGTGATCCGAATTTAGAGTTTAACAGACCTCACTGGAACCATTTACACCCATTCATCTGACAACTTGACCTTTAAATGGCCTTGTTTTCAAATTAGGATCAGAAAATATAAGGAAAAAGAAAAATTGGAAGGAAAAACACCTTCCTGCTAAATTTACAGATAAGGGACCAGATTGTGAATATGTAAATATGGGTCAGCATGTTGTTGATGAAAATCGATTGTCTGCCATGTTTTTGTACATTTAGCTGTTGGTTGATGTCAGCATGGAGCTAAAAAGTAGTTTTATTTATTTTTTTGTGTGAAGTCAACAGTAAATGTGTCAGATACTGTTAATTGCATTCTTTTTTTAAACAATATGGCACAAAATAGAATAAAAAGTTGCACTCTGATGAAGACATTTCCTCTTAAGACGTGCTTCTTATTGAATGCCACTTACACAGGAAACACATTATAATTAATATTTCAGTTAGAAATGTAGTAGAAAAGGCAAACTTTCACCATTGATTTCACAATAATTAGTTTATTATTTATCATCTTTATTTGGATAAATTCAGACTTTAGTGGGTGGTGTTTTTGCCCTTCTTTTAGTCTAAACTACCTTCTCTCCCATCGTTGACCTTTAGCCCACATTGAGTAGCCACACTTAGCTCTGATGTCAGCTGTTTCAAGCAGCCTGTTTACTGGATCCTGCCTGGGAAATAACTCCTGTTGTGTTCTGCTGGCTCACAGAGTAGCATAACTTTGCAGATTAAAACTAATACCATGCAAGTTATTAGTTTTTGGACCATTATGACAATGATGACTTTCTTTGTTACCCCTAATGCTCACGTCTCCCGAAACCTTCTGACCTCTGATCACTGTAGCAAAAGCTTTTCAAGATTACAATGGCAAACAGACATGAATAACACTGATTTTAGGTTTCTTAGTTCACTGAATTCAAGGACAAGGCCATAGCAGCGGTAAAAATAAGTTTTGCATGTCTTTTTTTATGAATGTTGTGCTGTCTTTTATGGTTTAAAAGGGACATATTATACTAAACTCATCTTTTGAACCTTTTTGTGCTCCCATGTGGATCTCTACTGCCTCTATAAGCACTCAAAACATGAAAAATACCTGTCCATTGCTTTTCTCAGTGTTTGGTTTCAAGCATCATGTGCCTAAAGCAAGCCATTTCAAAAAGTTCCCATTTGTGATGTCACAAACGGAGAAAGTAGAACCACCTCTCACATGCAAGAGAGATCTACTGCCTAGCTCCTCCTGGATATCGAAGCTTCTCAGCTCATAGCAGACTGAGTGGAGAGGGGTGTGCGTAGCCAGCTCCCGCTTGTTTTCTTAAAGTGACAGCACCCTGAAATGGCACATTTTGGCAGGTACTGAAACTGTCAGGAACAAAACTGCTGAAATTGCTTTATGTGAGAGGGATTTTTTGCAAAGAACTTCATAAACATGTTTTGTATCGACCATAGAACTATTATAACACAAGAATTAAAGTTTAGATTTTTACTTTAATCAATAAGCCAATCGGTCAATCCTTTTAAGAATGTTCATTTTGGGCGAGAACTTTCACGTGCTGCATGAATAACTGTGTCCACGTGTTTTTGTTGCAGTCTCAGGACGATGTCTGCAGATGCTCCAGTTTGCAGTGTTGGGATTAATCCTGTGGATGTTAACACTCCTGTGGAGAATTAATACCAAGACAGCAATGCCTGTGAAAGGAGAGGAATCCTTCTCTGGCTGCAGTCCCCAGGCGGCTGAGGAGAACAAGTCCACTTCAAAGACCCATCCTCGTGCAGACAAACATTCCCTGTCAACAGCTGCTGTAAAATCATATCTCAATGAAAACAACAATCTCCTGGCCAACATTAAGTCTGATCCTTCGCAGGCCTCCTCTAAGGTACATTCAAGGCAGCCATTGCGGCCACAGACCACCCAGAAACCCATCAGAACCACTACACCCATGCTCAGCTCAGAACCCGAGGCGAGGAAGCGCCTCAAGTTTATCCTCGGAGCATCAGAGGATAACTCCTCAGACGAGGAAGTGCTGGTAACAAAACCTCCAAGCGGTTCCTCTCAGCCTCCGGTTTCTGGCTCTAAACCCTCCAGTGAGCTGGAGTTCTCTGGGGTGTCACCATCCAGCTCCTCAGTCATCAAGTAAGACTTTGTTTCTATTTCAGTCAATTTAATTTCCATCCTCTGGGGACAGGCCTGTTTTATTTTGCTCTGTCATGTGCCTTCATGTTGGCTAAAGGCCCTTGCAGCTTGTGGTAAGGTGCTGCAGCTCCTCTCCTGTTCAGACCATGTGTTATCGTGTCACCTGACAGCTCTGAGTTGTGCTATTGTCGCCTGCCAGAAATCTCGGCTCTAATATTGGAACAAGAGCTTTAAGCTGTCACTCTGAAACTGGTGTTGACCCAACTGACTCAGGTCACATCACAGTAAACAGACGGGATAAGATTTTGTTTTTTATTTGTAGAAGTTGTGTACTATGCACTGGATGGAAGACCTTTTATACGACGGAGGATCAGAGGAGATGGCTGCTTATGGCTGTGTGCTCTGTTGGACATTTTTACTCAATGTTTTTAGCTAATCGTGTTAGCAGAGCTTGTGGGAATCATCATGAGGGAGACAAAGGTAGGAAATGTCTCATCTCTAGAGATCAGTGTCACTCTGGCTTGTGTACTCTGTCCTCACTGGATGTTATTTCCTCCTTTTGAACTTTCTCCGTCCACTTCTACTGCCCGCTCCTGTCTGACCCCTTAACTGCTCAAAGTCTAATTGCTTGCACATTCTAAGGAAAACCAATTCTGTGTCATCTAATCTCCGTTTAATCTGGCAGTGAATCCTGATTTCCATTCCAACCAATAGCTGGATTTCAACAGAGTTGCATTTGTGCGCGGTGCAGGGTGAAACACTGGCCTTTTATTAAAGAGTGCCCCGGTGAGCTGTTCCTCCTGGGAACAGCTCCTCCTCCTCCTCCTCCTCTTTGTGCATCAAGGTTATTTAAAATGTTTTGACTCCATCCTACTTAACTAATCTCCACATTCACACCAGTAAGAACTCTTATCTACCACATCAATAGATCTGCAGAGGTCCACATTAAGGAAAAATGAGATCTGGCTTTTGCAAAGGCTGCCTTAAATTGATTTTACTTGACTGAGATCTGGAGATTGTGGAGGTCGCTGAAGCCCAGTGAACCCCTCGACATGTTCAAGAAACCAGTTAGACGTGATCTGACCTTTATGAGATGCTGCTAGCCTATAGCCATCCTATATATGTAAATATATAGTCTAGCCACGAGCAATTGAAACGACTTGGTGCTTGGGCAGAATCTACGGTTGTCTTTCAAACAGTCTCAGCACGCAAATGGATAGTGCTAGGATCAATCGACGCGATAAACAATGTGAGGTGTTCATCTTGACAGCAATCAGTCAACTGGGCAGTCCACCACAGTGAAAGAAAAAGATGAAGAAGCCAATGCATCATTTTTTGAAATAAACAACTTAAGTATCTCTATCTGCTATTGTGTCAAAGAAAGGTCTGAGTCGAAATCGGCTAAAGTCTATTCTAAAGCCTATTCAGACCAACGCTGTTCCTGAGCTGATGCCATCTTTGTAGTCTTTCTCTTTTTTTTTTTTTTTTTACCGTGTCCTGTCTGGCTGTGAAGCAAGCAGAATTGATGTCTGAATGCTGGTGACAAGCCTTACAGATTTATTCTCAGGTGGAGCATCAAAGCGTTTGCTTTTAATGTCACGCCTGATACTTAAAACTTTATTGTTATTGTTGCTGAATGCTTTGTAATTCCGACCAGACACGGAGACAGAGGTGAAAGAGAAAGGAAAAGAAAAGGTGGGGAGAGAGAGAGAGAGGGGGGGGGGGGGGGGGGGGGTCCACAAAAATAAACAATAATGAACAAGGGTCTGCTTCTAGACCTGCAGAAAAAAAGACAAAAAAAAAAAAACAAAGGGACACAAAAAAGGGACACAACAACAATACAACAAGATCTACCTCTCACTGCGTCAACTTGATGAAAAGAAAAAATATATATATATAATCAACATTGCTTAACTGAAGAATCACGATAATAAATCACAACATATTAAGTGCCCACCATAGTCTTAAGACCTGTGTTTAACATGCCCAAGCCCATACTTTTGAGAGCACCATGTGAGCACCTGTGTGTACACGCGCTTGTTTATTTAAGGTTTTTCTATAGGAGCGCCCAACAGAGAGTGTGAGGGACCACAGATCTGCCCCCCAAAGATGCGCAGGAGACGGGGGAGCTCCAAGTCCCAGAGATCCAGGCGCTGCCCCAGAACGCAGGAACCCCAAGGAGACTGCAACCAGGAAGGCCCCCGCCCCCCTCGAGAGTCTTTCTTTGATGCAGCTCTAGTGTTAAGCCCGCCCAACAAATGTAGAGCGCTGTGATTGGTAAGAGACAACACTGTTTGGGCCAATGGCAGACCAGCAGAGGTTACAATAGAGCGTGGCTAGAGCGACCTGCGGAGCAAAATTTTTTTTTTCTACTGCTACAGTTGGTCTTGATTTCTAGGCTAATATTGTGCATGGTCCTGCTGGAAATAGCCATCAGAAGATGGCCATCCTATATATGACCACAGAGGACACACACCTCTGTGGTCACACATGACACATGTGACATAAACGGGTCATGGGCATGGTCAGCAACAATACTTAGACTGGCACACCTTAGGGGTACAAAATGGGCCAAGAATGTCTCCCCAAACCATTACATCAGAGACAGCTTGGAGTATTAGACAGGATGGATCCATGCTTTCATGTTGTTGACACCAAATTCTGTCCCGACCATCTGAATGTGGCAGCTGAGATCCAGACTCATTAGACCAGGGTTTTTCCAGTCTCCTGAGTGACGTGTAGCCTCAGTTTCCTGTTTCCCGCTGACAGGTGTGCTCTTCTGCTGCTGTGGTCCAGCTATTCAAAGTTCAACATGTTGTGGTTCAGTGATGCTTTTCTGCAGAACTTGGAAGAAACCAGTGGTTACTTGAGAAGCCACTCACTGGATATCTCACACACCAAGCCTAGACGTTGTAGGTAAAAATACAGTAGATCTCATATTCAGTCAATTAAATTCCCTTTATTTCCTATTCTAGTCCTCAATTTAAACCTCAGAACATTAGATATAAAATACAGAGTTTATGTTCTGATAGAAAGCTTATTAACATTAGTAAAAGTGTTTATAACTGCTGGAGGAATTGGCTTTTATTATGTGTTTGTTGAATTCGGTTTCCTAAACAGGAAAAGAGAAACATTTGAGCTTGTTTTACTTTCTCTCCCTGCAGCCTTTTGATTCAGGATTCTTTTCTGTGAATTGTGATGACTTCCCCATAGTTATGTTTAATCATGGAGGCAGAAAAGCACCAAAGCGAGCTGCAGCGACATCTGTACTGTTGTTTTTCACAGAAAAGAGCCAACAGTCTGTAGATGTGTTGCTGCCCCTGCAGCAGGAGGGGGGAAGGGAGGAGGCTGAAGAGGAAGCATGTGTGCAGACCTCTTTGTTATGGTTTTTAGCACACATAGACTAAAAAAACTAAACACATATTTAGCGCTAAAGTAACAGACCTCAAAATGGAGCGAAATAACTTGTTCCCTTATCTGCAGAGGTGAGTCCTCGTGCGCAGCTTTCACAGCGCTTTGTAATCTGACACCGAGAACTTTAGTGTTCGGAAAATAAAAGCTGCAAGTTTGAACTACCAGACCGAAAAATAACAGAACCTCTGCTGGAGACGCTGAAGTTGTTAGCGGAAAGTCGGTGTTGTGGCAGCGACTTGGAGGTCGTTTAGCGCCGGTTTGCTTTCAGGAAACGGGAAAAATTTCCCGCAAAATTTTACTTTTAGCGGAAACATGTAAACAAATGCGTAAATAATGAGTTTTAGTAAAGTGACTGTCATAATGGTCTGCACCGGTTCTTCCTTTTTAAAGCTGTAAATAATAATAATAATAATAATAATAATAATAATAATAATAATAATAATAATAATAATAATCGGGTAATAATAATAATAATACGTACATATATTTACCTATTATTATTATAAGTGGCTAATATATCTACTTAGCGATATTAGCCTATTATTATTATTATTATTATTATTATTATTATTATTATTATTATTATTGCTGAGTAAAGCTTATTCCTTTTACACTCAGCCTGTTAGTTAATGTTCTGAGAACAAACCATCTGCTGTATGATAAACCAGGTTATCAGCTTGTGTTTTAATGACAGGTTATTTCCTTAGTGAGCTGTAGGCCTACTGTACAAGAGTTAAAGTTCACTCAGATCTGATCTCTCCACCTCTCTGCTGTAATATTCACCTAAGCAGGTATCTGTGTTCCTCCCCGACACGGTTATGAATTCATGTACTAAACATTTATTTAAGGAAGAAGGCAGCAACTAAAGGGCACTGATGGTATGTACAAAAGTCTTTGTTTCCTTCTGTGATCACTTTAGATGTAAGTTTCCCAACATGGAGGAATACATTGGCTGTTTTTTGGGGGGTTGATCGGTGTTTAGTGTGTTTGCAGTAATAATAATGATGTTATTCTAGTGCAGGGGTCTGCTGCTTGTGGCTCCGGAGGCACTTGTACCTCACGGAAGTGGCTCCCTCTAACCAAAACGACCTCAACCTGAGTTCCGTTTATATTTAAGTCAACAAAAGGAGGAAGTTTCTACAGAATTTCACTAAATTACACACAAGTTGCTTCACATCGTTTCACAACCAGAATGAACCAGAATGGGGTTTAAAATGCGGTTTTGCTGCGGATAGTTTGTTAGCTTAACATCCAGACTGTAACCCTAACCCAAATCCAGCAGAAATAAAATAAAAAACCGTATTTACATATCAGCTATTGAAATAAACTAAATATGACGTAGTAGGAAATTATTTAAAGAGAATAACAGAAAACAAAACTCATCTGCCTTAAACACTTGGTGGTTGATATATTTTATGTTTTTGTAAAACAGAAAGCTGTGATTTACAGTTTTAAAAGGCCACTTATTTAACTACAAGTAGTATTTTACAAAACAACAGTTTATTCCTTCATTCCCTCTTGCTTAACAATTAAAAAGAAAAACATCAGATTATAACATTAATTCTTGAATTTAATAATCAAATCAATTTAGTGTCTGTTTAAAAATATTTTTTTAGAAGGAGAGCTTGGGTAAAAATAGGTATTTTAGTCTTGGAACTTGTAAATGTCTAGAATATGGTAAATTCTAAACAAATTATTTTTGACAGTATTGTCTTATATAGATTTTACCACATAATCTTTAAATTTTGCTAGATTTAAAACTAAAACAATAAATGAATCCACAAGTGAATATTTTATCATCACTTTTTGCTGCCTAGTTTGACCTTTAACAATGTTGCTCATAGACCTACTGACCGTTTTAACTGTTGTTCATTAAATTAATCATCTTTTTATTATTTATCAATCCTGCAGAAAAGGTTGACAATGCTTTCTGAGTATAATCGGCTATAAAAAAACTGTTTCTGCAATACAGGGTTAAAGATCTTGTCCTCATTGGAGAAATTTCTTCCCAGTGTGGAAATAATTTGAATCAGCAAACATCATAAATTGGTCATAAAACAGCAAATATTGGTCTCAGTTGCAGGAAAAACCTAATTTATTCTTGCAGCTAATCACTTTCTGTTTTGTTGAACAGCTGGAAGGAAACCAGAATAAAGATACAATCTGTATCAGTCTGCCATTCTTGTAATGATTTACCTTTTTATTGCCTCCAGGACTACAAACATCTAATGTTTTAGCTTCCATGAATTCATCTAGAGTAGCATTTAGGTGTTTTTGAAAGGTTGGAGATGAAGAAACTGCTGCAGAGTCTGTACCTGCATGTTGCAGAAGGAATCAGACTTTTCACTCTGGTTCTTGATGTTCAGTAACTTATTTGTTGCAGCCATGGTGTCTGATTTTATTGGCACTGATATCTGTTTCTCCGTGGTTTCAGACTAATTTATTCAATTATTAATTGTTTCTCCTGTTTTTCTCTGACAGAGAATTGAATGTAGTCACATTTTCCAGGATTATTTATTGTTGCAGCTTTTGTATCTGGAGTGACCGTGACTAACGTGGAAGGTGACTACTGTTACACTTTCTGCTCCAGGCCTAGCATGTCTGGTCCTCACTTGGTGAAAAAAGGACGTGAACAGAGAAAAATGGATCTGCAGAGAGACTTCACCGTGGCCTCTCCTGCTGAGTTCGTCACACGCTTTGGTGGGAACCGTGTCATAGAAAAGGTTAAATTAACTCTCTTCTTGTGCTGATTGGCAGCAGCTTCTATTGTCGATTTTTTCTGAGGCTAATCAGGTGATTTCTGTTTCTCTTACAGGTGCTGATTGCTAACAATGGCATCGCTGCAGTCAAGTGCATGCGTTCTATCCGTCGCTGGTCGTACGAAATGTTCCGTAACGAGAGGACCATCCGATTTGTGGTCATGGTAACCCCCGAAGACTTGAAAGCTAACGCAGGTCATTGTGCGCTTTTTATTACTCAGCAGTCATTGGAACTTATCTTGGTTAAAGTAAGAGGAAAACACAATACACTGAGTCAGCTGTTTGATTCTGAACCCTGATGTGTCTTCATATAGAATACATAAAAATGGCCGATCACTATGTGCCCGTACCCGGAGGATCCAATAACAACAACTACGCCAACGTGGAGCTGATAGTAGACATAGCAAAACGGATCCCAGTGCAGGTACATTTCACACATAACTCAGTTAAACCTTTTATTTCTTTACATACTTCCTTCACTAGTGTTTGCTTGTTTGTTTATTAATCGAAACAGGCTGTTTGGGCCGGTTGGGGTCATGCATCGGAAAATCCCAAGCTTCCCGAACTCCTGAACAAAGCAGGAATATCATTCTTGGGTAAAAACAGTTTGAGAAACAAACCAAACATTTTGTGTACATTGGTTTAGTTGTATTATAATCAGCCACTTCCTGCTGTCTCTCTCAGGGCCGTCCAGTAAAGCCATGTGGGCTCTAGGAGATAAGGTGGCATCTTCCATTGTTGCCCAGAGCGCTGACATTCCCACGCTGCCATGGAGCGGATCAGGTGAGTGGTAGTACTTTTATAGTATTTTGGACATTATGTATTGTCAGGGTGTGCATTGTCAAGAATCCGGTGATGCGATATATTTCACAATACACAGGAGACAATACGATATATTACGATACCTAAAGTCAGACAACATTTGCAATTTTTAAGACCAAATGTAACTCTCAAACTCAGGCCAGACACTTCTAAGACATATCCAGTGTTGTCGCGAGATCTCGTTGTTCCATCAAAACGAAGGCGCTAAAAACTGCCGCCACCTGGCTGTTGGAATTTGAATTTCACCTGACAAAAAAAAAAAAAATACAGTAAATGTTTACAAATAAATTCTTGATACAAAATCGATACATCCAGTTTAAATATTGATTCTCTATCATATTGCGATATTTCAGTGTATCAATATTTTCCTACAAACCTAATGTGCAGACTCACTCACACGTTTAATGGTGTGTTTAATGTGGTGGGTTTAGATCTGAGATTGGAGTGGGCTGAAGAGGACCAAAAACAGAACAAAGTCATCAGTGTTCCTCCAGACCTCTATGCACGGGGCTGTGTTCAGGATGTAGATGATGGTCTATCAGTAAGCATCTTTTTTCTTATCTTTCTCTTTGAGAAAACACATTTTAGCAAAGTTTGCAATATTATAATATGTGCATTTCACACCAGGGAGCTGAAACAATTGGTTATCCAGTTGTGATCAAGGCCTCTGAGGGTGGAGGTGGAAAGGGCATCCGGAAGGTTGAGAATTCAGAGAGTTTTCCAAGTCTTTTTAGACAAGTTGGTGTTTTTACTTTACATTTGCTAACAACTTATATTTTTTGTAATTAAGCCTATGTAATTTTGCATTCAATTAAATTTTTTTGCCTGAATCCAGGTTCAAACAGAGATACCTGGATCACCTATTTTCATCATGCAACTGGCTCAGCACGCGAGGCACCTCGAGGTGCAGATATTGGCTGATGAGTATGGGAACGCCATCTCTCTGTTTGGACGAGATTGCTCCATCCAGAGACGGCACCAGAAGATCATAGAGGAGGCTCCTGCCACCATAGCTCCTTCCTCAACGTTAGAACAAATGGAGCGGGTCCGTTAGCTTTGGTGCACGTTTTATTTCAATATTTTAAATGTTTTCTCTGGCTAATGTCAATTTACAGTCATCTCCATTCTCTTTTTGATCTAGTATGCTGTGCGGATGGCCAAAATGGTAGGCTATGTGAGTGCAGGCACAGTGGAGTACCTCTACTCCGAAGACGGAAGCTTCCACTTCTTGGAGCTGAATCCTCGCTTGCAGGTGGAGCATCCGTGTACAGAGATGATCGGAGATGTAAACTTACCTGCAGCCCAACTTCAGGTGAAACCTTGTCCTATACTTGGATGCAATATTGCACCACAAGTACACAATGAATTATTTAAGTCACAGAAAAGTTTTTAACTTATTTTCGTTGTTGTTAGATTGCAATGGGAATCCCTCTGTACAGAATTAAGGATATAAGATTGCTTTATGGAGAAAGTCCATGGGGCGACAACGTCATCAACTTTGAGTCTCCAGACTGCATTCCCATTCCAAGAGGGCATGTTATTGCTGTTCGGATCACCAGTGAGAACCCTGATGAGGTATGGTGTCATCTCATGAGCACTTAGGAAACACCTGACTGTTGATTAACCTTTTATTTTACTGTGGATTACCTTCTCAGGGGTTCAAGCCCAGCTCTGGCACCGTGCAGGAGTTGAACTTCCGCAGCAGTAAAAACGTCTGGGGTTATTTCAGTGTTGGGGCTGCTGGTGGCCTTCATGAGTTTGCAGATTCCCAGTTTGGACACTGTTTTTCATGGGGAGAGAACAGAGAAGAGGCTATTTCGTAAGAGTCTTTTTAGGAATGTGCTGACTTATATTTAGATCTTAAAGTGATTTGTTGAACATGAGTTAAATATGATGTAATATAGTAATTTCCTACTATATATTACAAAGTGAGAATAGCAGAGCACCATACAGACGTGGACAAAAACCCACAATGGTAACAGAAAAGGCACCCTTCAAACCTGTGACAATTGGAGCAATTTGCTCATGAGTAGTGGGCCAAAATACCTGTTGAGGGGTGAAGAAGTCTCTTTGACAGTTACAGGAATCATGTGATTGCAGTGATTGCCTCAAAAGGTTGTGCAACAAAATATTAAGTCAGGAGTACCGTCCTTTTTGTCCAGGCCTGCTCCATGAGTTTATTTTTTAAATAATTCCATTGAATTATGGTTGAAAAGCAATGTCTGAATTTCATTGGTTAGATTTCATAGAAATTTTATGTATTATTGCTTTTGTCAGATTCAAGTTACTTCTGTGACCGTTGTGGGTTTTTCTTTCATTGATCAAATGGTACCAACAATTTTATGTATATCTGTATGTGTTTGCAATCAATTTACCTAAAATTAAACCCTGCCAAATACAAAAACAGAGTAGCTTCTAAAGTGTTAAATCTGTGTTTTATAGAAACATGGTGGTGGCCATGAAGGAGCTGTCCATCAGAGGTGATTTCAGGACAACGGTTGAGTACCTCATTAGGATACTTGAGACGGAAAGCTTCAGAAACAATGACATCGACACTGGCTGGCTGGATCACCTCATTGCAGAGAAAGTGCAGGTCAGAGATGGAGCGACAGATACAATAACTCATCAGCAGCCAGATCACATGAGGCTCAACTTGTTAGCTGTCTCTAAGCAACCATTCTTCCTGCAGGCAGAGAGACCAGATACCATGCTGGGCATCGTCTGTGGGGCTTTGCATGTTGCAGATGCCAGTTTCAGAAAGAGCATGTCGGACTTCTTGCATTCGCTGGAAAGGCCAGTAGACACATTCCTCAAAAAGGAAAAGAAGACATCCCTATTATTCCTACTGTGTGTTCATGTTACTTCATCTGTTGAACGTGTAGGGGCCAGGTACTACCAGCAGACAGTCTGCTCAACTCTATCAACGTAGATCTAATATACGAAGGAGTCAAGTACTGTCTTGAGGTATTGGCTTTGTTTCATTTAATCTGTTGTTGTTTTATTTAATTTTTAATTCTCTTTTTACTAAATAATCTGTCCTCAGGTGGCTCGCCAATCCCCAACAACCTATGTCATTGGGATGAATGGCTCCAACATTGAGATAGATGTCCACAGGTTGAGCGACGGTGGCCTCCTGCTGTGCTACAACAGCAGCAGCCACACCACCTACATGAAGGAGGAAGTAGAAAGGCAAAGCTCTGACTGGAAAATTTAAACAAGTCAGTTTGCTGTTTGACTTTGAGTTTAGTCATTCTCCATGCCGTTTCATTGCTGTAGCTACCGCATCACCGTTGGGAACAAGACGTGTGTTTTTGAGAAGGAGAGGGATCCCACAGTGCTGCGGTCACCCTCTGCTGGCAAACTGCTGCAGTACGTGTATGAGGACGGGGCTCATATTAAAGCTGGAGAACCCTACGCTGAGATTGAGGTCTGAGATGAGGAGCAGCATGTGAGATGTTAAAGTTCTTTTTGTGTCTGTTTGGAGTTTTAAAAAAGTAATTGGTGTTTTGCATTTAGGTGATGAAGATGGTGATGACTCTGACTGTGCAGCAGTCGGGCTGTGTACATTTTGTCAAGAGGCCAGGAGCGGTCTTGGAGCCTGGATGTGTCATAGCACGTGTGGACCTGGATGATCCCAGCAGTATACACAAGGCATGTCACTCCCAACAGGTTCGGCATTCACATAAGAGATGTTTTCATTTAAATATTTTGTTTTCTGTTTTAGGTGGAGCTCAACACAGCTACGCTTCCACCCCAACAACAGCCCATGGTAGGAGAGAAACTTCACCAGGTGTTTCACAGCGTGCTTGAAAACCTGATCAGAGTGATGGATGGTTACTGTCTTGAAGAACCGTACTTTAGCAGCAAGGTATCAACCCCTCCACCATTAAAGCAGAATTCCAGAGTTTTCCCCCTTTCAGGAATTATGTGGGATTTTTTAAAATCTATAAAAGTGGTAATCTTTCCCTGTACTGTGATACAATAGGAAACATATCAATTTTTTTTGCCAAGCCCTGCTGCAAATGGAGTCACTGTGCATTGTTCAACTATTCAGTTCATAATGGGTTAGTGTCTGCATAATATTCCTTTACAAGTACAAAAAATGACCTTGTACAACTGGCAACTGATGTGGCTGCAGCAGATGGATCAGAAAAAGGGGTTTGCATGCATGCACAGGTCTCGCTGCATCTCATTTTTTTATTTGTATTTTGTTTTTGCATTGCAACAAAAATGTTTTTTTTGTGCTAAAATAAGCCAATCTTATGGCCAGGGAATGCCTTGGGATTCTCCCAGAGGAGCTGGCCCAAGTGGCTGGGGAGAGGGAAGTCTGGGCCTCTCTGCTAAAGCCGGGCGTACACTATGCGACTTTTTCACTTTTTTGAGCCGATTTTCCATTCGTGCGAGAATCCACAAGATCGGGGCGAGTTTTGCGCTGAACGTCGTGTAGTGTACGGGGGGTTACGAGAGGCGATTAACACCACGTGACCAGCTACCGATCAGCAATCGTGAGCTCGCACGGACTTCTGGAGTGTTTGATATTTTGCTCGTCCCTCGTGAGGGTATCGCACTGTTGAAGCGGCGCTGTGAGCAGCTGTGACCCAAAAAGTACCAGAACCGCTCACGGCGCATGCGCAATCATGCATCAACACCGCTCACCCGCTATTTCCCTAATAACAAACGTTGTTCGTTTTTATTTCTACACGCTTTTTTACTCACAAAGATATTCAAGAAAGCGTGTTTGTCATGTTCGTGTCAAATTAAACTGATCACAAAACACAGATTTACTTTCTTCATTTCGTTTTCCTCATCCAACCCCCATAAATCCCCCTGTGTCCTCCTGCAGCACTCCCGAAGGACAACAGGCCAGACAAGAAAGTCTGACGTGTTGTGTAAAAACTGCTATTTTTAGTACATTTTTGGGTCCGACGTGTTGCTACCAGGCGTACAGTGTGAGCAGTCAGGTCGCATCCGAGAACTGGGTTGTACAGTGTGAGCGCATGACTCGTGAGATCTGCCCTGCGAGGAAGTCGTACAGTTTGAGCTGAAGCTGAGTGCTACGAGTGAAAAAGTTGCACCGTGTCCGCCCAGCTTTAGGCTGCTGCCTGATGACGTGACCCTGAATAAGTGGAAGACGATAGATGGATGGATTCCTGAGTTAAACTTTAGTATTGACTATGTGATAATTTGCTGTTCTCTGTAGTTAAAAGAATGGGTGGCCACTCTTATGAAGACTCTGAGGGACCCTTCACTGCCATTGCTGGAACTCCAGGAAATCATGACCAGCGTTGCCGGTCGAATTCCCCCTTGTGTTGAGAAGGAGATCCGTAAAGTCATGGCTCAGTACGCCAGCAACATCACCTCCGTCCTCTGCCAGTTCCCCAGTCAAAGGGTAAACACTGCCTACGAGTGGGCATCAACCATGTGCTAATGTAAAGGTTCTACTGCTCCTGCCAGTTTATGATGACCACTCCACTCATGTGATTTCAGATTGCTAATATTTTAGACAGCCATGCTGCAACATTGCAGAGGAAGGCAGATCGTGAGGTTTTCTTCATGAACACTCAAAGTATCGTACAGCTGGTGCAGAGGTTAGTGTCTTTGAAACTGATTGTATGGAACCCGTTCCCGCCACTCTGTGATTTTGTTTTTATTTCATAATTAGGATTTAACTCTCGTGATTATGAAATAATATCTTATAATAATGAAATAGGATCTCATAATTATGAGAAAGCTGAGCCAAGCTGATAAAAACAAATTTTTATCTCAGTTATGACTTAATGATGACATAGTATCTCATTATTATGATATACATTTTTGAATCATAATGGCAGGAATGGGCTTCCATAAATTTGATATTATATTTTTTAATGACCGTTTTTTATTTGTCTAAGACTAAATTTCTATAAACGCACATCCATACACATGACCATGGGAATTCTTTTTGTAGTCTTGAGTATTGTTGGCTATTATTACTTGTTCTGGCTTTTGTTGCAAGCAGGTAAACAGTCATCTAGTGTAATAAAACACTATTTAGTGCTGAGCAGCAGTGTTGTGTTCACTGACTTATGACTGAGTGGTTTTAGGTACCGCAGTGGAATCCGTGGCTACATGAAGTCTGTGGTTCTTGATTTGCTGAAGCGCTACCTGCAGGTGGAGATGCAGTTTCAGCAAGGTAACATTAATGTCGTTCAATGCCTCCTTAAATGTTTCTGAGCTTGAGCTTCAGATGAAATATTCTCTTCCTCCCCACATAGCCCACTACGATAAGTGTGTGATTAACCTGAGAGAGAAGCACAAACCTGACATGAGTCCTGTGCTCGACTACATCTTCTCTCATGCCCAGGTGTTCAAGAAGAACATTCTGGTTACGATGCTCATTGTAAGGAACGATTTTGGAAATGCACAAATCTTTCTCCTAATTTTTGAGTTTAACCCCATTAATGCAGCAAGTGTTTGTGACTTTGTGTAGGACCAGTTGTGTGGACGTGATCCCACCCTAGCAGATGAGCTCATGGTCATCCTGAATGAGCTCACACAGCTGAGTAAGATGGAAAACTCAAAGGTGGCCCTGAGAGCCAGACAGGTGAGAACTGATGCCCACCTCAGTTAGCTTTCTGTAGCTTTCTGAAACATAAATCCTGATTATAATCTTTACTAACTGTCTCCCAGGTGTTGATCGCCTCCCATTTACCATCATATGAACTGAGACACAACCAGGTGGAGTCCATCTTCCTGTCAGCCATCGACATGTACGGTCACCAGTTTTGCCCAGAGAACTTGAAGGTTTGTCTCCTCAGTGGAAACTTTAAATGTTTGCAGCTTCTTGAACAACAAATAACTAGGGGCGGGAATTTGACATGCTAATTTTGATAAGCTATTTAGATAAATATAAATTAAAATACCCCTTTGAGCGTACCCCAGTTGGGGGCCGGAAAAGTTTAGCATCACAATTTATGCCTTATATATCATAAATGTCATCAAGCTGCACCTTTTAACAAGACTGCAGAGCCTGGGCTCCAAATACAACTAAAACTACAATTAAATCAATTATGACAAATCCCTTTTAGAAAGGAAGAAAAAACTCGACTTTTCTACCGTTATGTTTAGTAGTTAGTAGAACGCAGGCAGGCAGTAACTTTATCCAAACGAACTTTATTGCAGTAGGAGGGACAGGCATACACAGCATTCATCTTGTAACCCTCAGCAGAACTTCCCATGAACTCTAATCTACACCTCTATATACATTAGCGGTGCACTGCTGCCACCTAGTGTTCAGTTTTGTACACAGCATTTACAATATTCCATTTACACTTAATCAGTTACACGTGCTAATATTTACACATCCCAGAAAATCCCATAATGGGTTACCTTTATAATGAGACCAAAGTAGTCAAATAGACCTTTTGGTTACTAGAAATACTCACTAACAGTTTTATTGATTTAAAAAATTGCTTGGGCATAAATTGTCTTCAATGACTAAAATGTGAAAATCAAGATTAATTAAATACAAAGCATCTAATTAATTACATAATTTATTTAAATTGAGTCTCACCTCTACAAATAACATAATTTTTATTTTGAGCAGAAACTCATCCTCTCTGAAACCTCCATTTTTGATGTCCTGCCCAACTTCTTTTATCACATCAATCAAGTTGTATGCATGGCTGCTTTGGAGGTATGTTTAACCCAATCGTATCAATGGAATTCTCTTTATTTTATCGTTTTTTTTTTTAAAACCTGAATTCGTTGTCTTTTTATCCAGGTGTATGTCCGCAGGGCTTACATCGCCTATGAACTGAACAGCATCCAGCATCACCAGCTGCAGGATGGAACGTGCGCAGTAGACTTCCAGTTCATGCTGCCGTCGTCACATCCAAACAGGTGACTGGTTTCCCTGGAGCGGCGGCGCAGAATGAAAACACTAATATAAACAACTTTGAGTTGTTGCTCTGAAAGCTAAGAGATTCATTAAGCAAAGAAGGTAATTGTGAAATGCTTTGAAGCAGTTTCAAAGAAATCCAGGCCATAAAACTGTCATGTAAGTGTTCTCCTGCCCTTCATGGTCTGCTTTACTTCTTTTTATGACCTCATTTGTCATTTGAGTTCAGCTTGATTGTGTGTGCTTAATGGTGCAGGTGGAGAGCAGCCTTTACACCACTGCTGTAGCTGCTTATGGCTAACCCCGAATGCAACATGTTCACTAGCACCCTCTATTATTGTTAATGTGCACTAGCGCCACCTTGTGTCTAATCATTATACACTCAGAAGCACGGTTTGATCGATCACTGCTAATGTTCACATGTCAATCATCTTATTTCAGAGGGAGCAGCCCTACTCTGAACAGGTAGAGTAAAGCTCCTCCCAACCAGCCAAAGCACCGTATCGTCTCTGTGTCTCTCAACAGCGCATGCTTGATGCACCGTGCTGCTGCTTTTTTCCTTCTTGTCCACTTCCAGTCACTTCAAGACTTCTCTAACAAGTCCCTCTCTAATGCGCAATATGAGCTGCACTTCACTTGTCCTGTCGTTGCTTCTCTTTGCTTGAAGCATTTCTGAGATTTTTTTTTGAGAGATTCACCTTTTAGCCTTTTTATTTTCCTCAAGGAAAAATAAAAATTCAAGCCTGAGATTTCAGTGATTGCTACTGAATTATCCAGATGATCCTTAAAAAATCTGAAAAATGATCTCTGATTAACAATTTGCTTTAAATCAACTCACAAATCAGCTGTCAGCGTGGAGAGGATGGAATTAGACCTGAGCTCGACTCGATTCATGACTTGTGACTACGTTTGAATCAGATGGTTTTTTTATTTTCCTCTGCAGACACGATAATCCTCCTGAGGACGGTTCAACTAGACTGTTCATAAAGTGAATGTAATCAACAGCAGGTGGTCAGGAGGAAAGGAGCATATGTGACCATACAGCCCAGCTCATCTCATTCAAAATTAGCACAATTATAGTTTACATTTTTTTTATTTACGGTAAAATTTGATGAAAGTATTGCTAAGAAAAAAATCACAATTATTAAAAAAAATTGTTTTTACATTAAAATTGTACATTTTTATATTTCAGGTTTTCTATTGTTTGCAAAAAGTTTGAAATGTGGTGATGAAGGGATTTAAAAATTCCCTGCAGGATGATAAATATAGAACATCTGACTTGTAAACGAGTAAAGTAAATACTTCAAACACACAAATACGCATACTGTTTGCTAAAAGCATTTTGAGTATTATTATATGTAAGATTGCGTTTTTTCACAACAAAACTTGATTGTTTTAATTCTATAAAGGACTGTCAAATTGAACACATTTTTGCGTTAGCACATTAATTAATGGAGGCAAATATTTTATTCATGTTAATTTTTATTTTTGAAAGTCATTGCTTGCACGTTCTGAACACAAGTTTCAAAACTCGTGAACATTTATTCACACTGAGCGTGTCGAGGGAGGAAGTTATAAACTTGTTAGTGAAAAAGTAGTTTCTGTGAGTAAGCTAAAACGTATTTTCATCTTCACACATTTAGAAATAAACAGGTGGCTCGATATACTAATTCGGTTAATTCACTGAAGAATAAAATCATTATTGTGCAAAGAGATTTTCCCAAAAACTTTAATCAAAGTCATAATTTTAGTTTTCTACCCGACATTTGATGAATGAACAATGAAAATAGATAAAAGATAAAATTGGCAATAATAAAGAAAACAAAACACAAATAGCCAATAAAATGTATGGCTGGTATTATGGTGCTGTGTGGCGTAGTTTTCTCTGACACCCTTTATCCAATTCGCAAACAGTGCCCCCCCGGTGAAAAATCTGTCATGGTACATTTATAATTTGTGATTCATTTGCGATTAAGTGTGAGGGAATTCATTATTAATCATGATTAAAAATTCCCGCTTATTGACAGCCCCATTTCTTAATATTTTTACTTAAAGCTAGCTAGAGTAGCTTGTGCTCTTTATTTTAATATTTCACTGACAATGATGTTGTGGAAAATTCATAGATCAACATCCCTGCTCTTCTGCAAGTCCTCAGATTAAAGACCCCTCTTTCATCAGAAAGTTTTAAGTTAACTGGGTCAATGAAAATATAAACACAGCAAAACATTGTTGTTTGACTTATTGGAGAAAAATGAAGGTGATGTGTCACTTTACATTACTTTGATTCAATTAAAGATGAAACCAGATTCTTCTCTGGGCTTGACCCGAAACTCTGAGACTAGCTGAAAGTTGACTCTGTGTCTCCTCTGCTTCCTTCTATATGTAATTTGTATTGAATGAGTTTTTTTTTTTTTACAGATGAGAACATCTGGACTTGCTTTAATTGCTTTTTAAATACATCGCTTTGTCTGTTTGAGGTGATCAATGCATGTTTGTCCCCCATCCAGGCTCCCTTTACCAGTGAGCGGATCAGGCCAGTTTAATGTGAATCGGCAGGGCAGGGAGCTGCTAATGGATGGAGCCCTGTCTCCACCCTGCCAACGTATGGGAGCAATGGTGGCTTTCCAGCATTTTGAAGACTTTAAGAGGTACATTTTTCACCAGATATGTAGCACATGTAGTATAGATCCATCAAAATTGAAACAAATCACGTGTGTTTGTTTTTAGAAATTTTGACGAAGTTTTGTCAAGTTTTGCTGAACCACTCTTGGAGAACGCTCCATTCTCAGAGTCCTGCTCAGCTTTCTATGAGGAGGATGGCATGAAGGTGGGGCTGCGGGCATGAAAAGGTCCAACGTTAAGTTTGATTCTTATTTATCTGTCCATGTGAAGCTAAACTTTTCTTTTTCATCTTCATCAGAACGCCAGGGAGAACCCCATCCATATCATTAATGTCTCTATAAAAACAGCTGACACAGAAGAAGACGATGCTTTGGTCGAAGCCTTCACCGCCTTCGCTCAGTCGAAGGTCAGCTGTTGCTTCTGTACTAACCATCGACATATTTACTGGACAATTCGTGTCCATAGGCCCCAATTATAAGTTTTTGTGCCAAAATGGGAGGTGGCCACCACCACCATTTTGACCGTGTCAAAGGTTTCGTCAAGCCCAGACAATTCCATAAAAGGGAAAAGAGGTGGAGCTGAGGGTGGGGCTGTAAGGCTAGGATCAAATGACGACACCTGTCGAACTGAAGCGATGTAGCTACAAGCTAACCCAAAGCTAACGCGGAGGTGGGAGCTAAGCTAACGGAGGTAGCTACCTAGCTACAACCGGAGTTAACTGTGCACAACACCGGAGCCTCTGAGTCAGAGATGCACCGGGCTGACCGCTGAGGAGAACCGGGTGGAACACAGAGGTCTCCCGAGAGCTCCACAAGCCGGCAGCCGCGCAGCAGACAGGCACCGTTGCAGTCAAAGTTGCGCCGAGCTGCCGCTGAGGGGAGGGAGACCATACTGATAGTCGGAACCCAGCTCCACCAACATGTTATATTTCAACCCACTTTCAAAAATGCTGCATTTTGTTAAATGCGCTGGGCTTTACCCTATAAAATCTAAATGTCATGGTACATGTTACAATCTAAGCTCAGCTAGTGCAAGAGAGGCAGTGACCTAAAATCATCGACATAAAGCATTTAGGATTGTACATAATGTTGGTTTCACAGACCATACTAATACACTTTTCATAAAGTCTAAAATTTTAAAACTTGATGATCTAGTTAACCTAAAATCAATGCTAATTTTGTACAAAGCAAGACAGAATCAATTACCAATCAATATTCAACAGCTGTTTTTTGATAGAGAGGGTGGATACCATTTGCGGGGATCCCATAATTTCAAGGTGGTATGTACCCGCACAACCCTCAAAACTCACTGCATATCCAGACGAGGTGTTAAGCTTTGGAATGGTTTAGATGACAACTTAAAGAGTGCTGCTCGTCTATTACTATTTAAAAGACAATATAAGATTACTTTTATTGAGAAATATGTTGAGAATATGTGATGGAAAAGCTTCTTGGTTTTATTCTGACTATGTGTTGTTACATAAAAGAACAGTACACAATATAAAATGAATAACAAAACATGCACGAAAGGTTCATTAACAAAACATTTACTGTTAAAAAGTCTAATATTGTAAATTGTATAATATTGTAATGTGGGGTAGGTGCACATAAGCTTCTTTGCTTCAGCCTGCTCCATTTGAGCATTGTTGTTGTAATGTTAATTTTGAAAGAATGCAACAAATGTAACTGCTCAATGAATGTGCTAAATAAATAAATAAATAAATAAAATTTTACTTACGGAAAAAAATTAAGTGGAGACTTCTTGGACGCTCTATTAGTGCATTTAATACCACAGCAAGTAATTTTGTCCAACAATTGCACAAATAATATTAAAAAAAAAGAATACACAAACGGCACAACTAATGGTCTAAGTTGAGAGACTGAAAATCACGGAACAGTTTTCAGGCGAGGCCGAGGCTCAGACTGAGGCCTTTCCACGGAGCTAGCTCTGCGGTCTGATGCTCGTTAATTATTCAGAATTTTAGGCTTTTAATAAACTTAAACAGAAGAGTGACAAAAAAATTCACCCTCCTCAGAGTTGTCATGAGTGTTAACTAGATCTATTTAACCTAAAACATGTTTTGGAACCAGGCTGTAAACACGTTTATTTCTGCTGTGAAATTGGTATTTTTGACATGGGAGTCAATGAGGATTTGCTCGCTTCTGATACCAGCCCCCAGCGGATGAGGGTGGAACTGCAATTTATTTCACTTCTCGTTTTGCTTCATTTCCAGACCCAAATTATGGGGCTTGGTACTAACAAAGCATTGCTTTTATCTCATGTTTTAATTATATCTAATCTTTTATCTACAGAAAGATATCCTCTTTGAATATGGAATTAGAAGAATCACATTTTTGATTGCACAGAAGGTAAGTCATTACTTATCTGTAAAATCAAACATCTCTTTGTTTAGTATGAATTTATTTGTAATACCAGGTTATTAAATATTTTGACTATGATGGAGTAATCTTCCAATCTTCACCAGATTGTTTTTGCTATTTTCTCTTTATATTAGCAAACCAAATTAGGTGAATTGTGCATATTTTAATTTTAAAGATAAGTTGTTGCTATAGGTAAAGTTTTATATGGGTGGGAATTTACTGCTTTAATTACGCTTAATTAATTAGAAAAAGAAAGAATGCATTAAAAATGTCACAATGTATACCCTATGTATCAATAAATGTCATCAAGCTGCACATTTAACAAGACTGCAGAGCCTGGGCGACAAGACCATACACACATTTTTTACATGCCGCAAACACAACTAAAACTACAGTTAAATGAATAATGACAAATTGCTCTTCATAAAGAAAAGAACGGAAGAAAAACTTCTCTACCATTATGTTTTGTAGTTGGTAGAAAGCAGGCAGGTAGTAACTTTATCCTTACGAACTCTTTTACAGCAGGAGGAACAAGCATACACAGCATTCAACTTGTAACCCTCAGCAGAACTTCCCCTAAGCTCTACACTACACCTCTATATATTAGCAGTTCTCTGCTGCCACCTAGTGTTCAGTTCTGTACACAACATTTACAATGTTCCATGTTCATTTACACTTAAAAGTGACAGTGTGTATTTTCCCTGGCGATAGGGGGCAGTACATTCCTGAATCATTGCAAGCAAGCCTTATTTTTGTGTTCAAATAAGACCTTACCAACGAATGGCCATTAGGGTACATAAACCCTGGGACTGCAACCTGCAGCAAAATGACAAGCACATCAGACTCCTTTTCATCACTGGCAGTGAGTGAAGAGGTAAATGTGTAAAACAACGTTTATTATTGGTGAAAGTTTTGTAACCGTTTGTTACAAATCAGTAAATGTGTTTTGTCCTCATGGACTTCCATAGAGGAAACAAGGCATCCAATATGGCGTCGCCCAGAAACTTAGACCCGCTCCCAAGTATTTTAGAACAGATTTTTATGGTTATATGTTATGAAACCGCCAATATTTCTCAACAATTGGGCATCTTTTAATTCATTTACAACAATATTTAATGGATATTTCCAGAGATTAATGGTATAAACTACACATTGTCACTTTACTCAATAATACATATACTAATATTTACGCATCCAGACAAATCTCACACGCACACTTCATAATTAGACCAAAGTCATCAAATAGACCTTATGGTTTCGGAAATATACTCATTCAAGTGTGGGTATGTCATCTGTGCCTCACTAACATTGTTTTTGATTTAAAAAATTGCCGGGACATAAATTGTCTTTAACGATTAAAAAGCAATTCATCAAGATTAATTACTTAAAAAGCCTCTAAATAATTAGATAACAATTTTTAAATCCAGTCCCAACCCTAGTTCTAATATAATAAATTATTATTATAAAGATGACTACTGTTGGCCAAGATGATGTTAGATGTTCAGCAGCAAATAAACTTGAATGTAAAACTACATGTATTGTTTTTAAAAATGTAATTTAACTTTTAAACACAATAAAAATAATTTTCCTTTCTTTTTCAATCAAACAGAGGGAATTTCCCAAGTTCTTCACATTCAGAGCTCAAGATGGGGTACGGCTTTTTTGACCTTATTGTGGTAAAACAGCCAAGCTGCTTTTTTCTGGAGAGGTGACCACAACCCTCTCCATCTCTCCTTCTCAGTTCCAAGAGGACCGGATTTACAGAAACCTAGAGCCGGCTCTCGCGTTTCAACTGGAACTCAACAGAATGAGGAACTTTGACCTGAAGGCCATTCCCTGCGCCAACCACAAGATGCACCTCTACCTGGGAGCCGCTCGCGTCCAGGAGGGTGCTGAAGTCACTGACTACCGCTTCTTCATCCGGGCAATAATTCGACACTCGGATCTCATCACAAAGGCAAGAGGAGGAAATCCAACCTAGACATCAAGGATTAATAGTTATAAATATGAAAATGATGCTTTATTTTAAAATATGTAAAACTCAATTGTAGGAGACATAAAAACCACAAGTTCTTTTGTTTTACTTGTTGCCAGGAAGCTTCTTTCGAGTACCTCCAAAATGAGGGAGAGCGCCTCCTATTGGAAGCAATGGATGAGCTGGAGGTGGCCTTCAGTAACACCAGCGTTCGCACCGACTGCAATCACATTTTCCTGAACTTTGTCCCTACGGTCATCATGGACCCCTCCAAGGTCAGAGAGCAGCAAGTCCCAAACATCAATGCTACATTTATTCTCTTTTTACCTTGCTTTACAATGTTATATAATAAATGGTTAGTTATTAATATTGAGTTTTGTTTCCTGAACTGCGGGTGATCAGATAGAAGAATCTGTCCGCTCCATGGTGATGCGATATGGCAGTCGTCTCTGGAAGCTGCGGGTCCTTCAGGCTGAACTGAAGATCAACATTCGTCTGACAACGACTGGCAATGCTATTCCCATCCGTCTGTTCCTCACCAATGAATCCGGCTATTATTTGGACATCAGTTTGTATAAAGAAGTCACCGATCCAACCTCTCGACAGGTGAATTATTTGTGCTAAATTCCTACAGGTGCTTTTAATGGTAGTTAACATTGTTACATCCATCCTCCCTGCTTTTCAGATTATGTTCCAGTCATATGGAGACAAGCAGGGTCCTTTGCATGGCATGCTGATCAACACTCCGTATGTGACCAAAGATCTGCTGCAGGCCAAACGCTTCCAGGCTCAAACTCTGGGCACCACATACGTGTACGACTTCCCAGAGATGTTCAGACAGGTACCGTCATCCTCCTGAACTGTTCTTACTTCTGTCGTTAACGTCAACAACGACTCACATCACAGAATCTCTTCTTTAGGCATTATTCAAGCTGTGGGGTCCTGGGGACAAATGCCCTAAAGATGTCCTGATGTGCACCGAGCTCGTTCTGGATCCAGAAGGTCGACTTGTGCAGATGAACCGGCTGCCTGCAGACAATGATGTGGGAAGCTTTTAGGATCATTTTAGGATCGCCCACAGGACCTTCTTTGCGTTTCTAGTGAGGAGATGTTACTTTTTGTACAACAGGTGGGAATGGTTGCTTTCAGGATGAAGATGAAGACTCCGGAGTACCCAGATGGGAGAGAAGTTATTGTCATCTGTAACGACATCACTCACATGATCGGGTCGTTTGGTCCTCATGAGGACGAGCTGTTCCTCAGAGCGTCCGAGTTGGCTCGCGCTGAGGGCATCCCCCGCGTTTACATCGCAGCTAACAGTGGAGCACGCATCGGGCTCGCCGAAGAGGTTAAACACATGTTCCAGGTGGCCTGGATTGACCCCGCTGACCCTTACAAGGTGCCCCACCTGAAACACGCTTCTGCTTTGTATAAGGGTACGGGTTCTTTAACCTTGAAAGTTTATTTCTAATATTTCTTCCTGAAGGGTTTCAAGTACCTGTACCTGACACCACAGGACTACACCCGTATCAGCTCCACCAGTTCTGTTCACTGTCGCCACGTAGAGGAAGGAGGAGAGTCCAGGTGCCGTGTACTTCTTAGCTCAAACCCTTTAAATTTTGTATCCATGTGCGATTTTCTATTATTACGAACTGCATGTGTTGTCAATGATAACTAAAAACTGAATTAATCATGTAGATCGTTCATTATTATGGCTGATCCCGTTCCAGGTACATTATCACCGACATTATTGGGAAAGATGAAGGCCTCGGTGTTGAGAACCTTCGAGGTTCAGGCACAATTGCAGGAGAATCTTCTCAGGCCTACGAAGAGATTATAACAATCAGCATGGTGAGGACGTGGGTCTGAGTCGTCATGGAAGCAGAGGCCTGACAGAGTCTTCTGGTTTCTCACCTGAGCTGCTCCCTGCTTTTGCAGGTGACGTGTCGTGCTATCGGAATCGGAGCGTACCTGGTCCGTTTGGGGCAGCGAGTGATCCAGGTGGAGAACTCTCACATCATCCTGACTGGAGCAGGTGCACTTAACAAGGTCTGTTGGTTTGATTCATCTCGTTTTCTTGCCGTGTTGCTTGATTACAGTGGAGTTTTGATTGTTGGAAGACTTGTATGTGCGCTGGACTGATTCTGTAGCACACGGTGGATTGGTTGTCTAGTGATGCAACAAAAAAATCTAGTGCAAATGAACAGCATTGGTCGTGCTAAGACATGTAAAGGTCCAGTTTCTGTGCAGGTTCTGGGCAGAGATGTTTACACGTCCAACAACCAGCTGGGAGGAGTTCAGATCATGCACAACAATGGCGTGTCTCACACATCTGTGCCTGATGACTTTGAGGGTGTCTTCACCATCCTACAGTGGCTCTCATACATGCCAAAGGTTCTGGTGTATAAATCTAAATATTTAATTGCAGCGGCGCATCAGATTATTAACTAAATTGTCATTGCAGAACAAACACTCGCCCGTGCCAATCACAGCTACTACAGATCCAGTGGACAGAGAGATTGAATTTACTCCCATGAAAGGCCCGTATGATCCCCGCTGGATGCTTGAAGGCAGACCTCACCCCAGTGAGTGACACGGTCCAAACTGTAAAAGTAAAATCTTCAAATAAATAAAACTGTTTAATTTTCCTGGCTGATGGTTAGCAGTGAGAGGAACATGGCAAAGCGGATTCTTTGATCAAGGCTCTTTCATGGAAATCATGGGGTCCTGGGCTCAGACAGTCATTGTGGGAAGAGCGAGGTAATGTAGGATTAAAATGCGTTAAATGTGCGGTAAGCGTTACACAAAAATAATGCTGCTCTGCTGTTTCTTATTTCAGGCTAGGAGGAATCCCTCTTGGTGTCATTGCAGTAGAAACACGAACGGTTGAGCTCACCATCCCTGCGGATCCTGCAAATCTGGATTCGGAGTCTAAAGTCAGTCCGTCTCTTTTCATGTTTTTTACATATTTGGGGTTTTTTGATAAAGAAGCATCTTTTAATTGGTTTTATGTGATCTTGTCAGGTTCTGCAGCAGGCTGGCCAGGTTTGGTTTCCAGATTCTGCTTTTAAAACCGCTCAGGCGATTTGCGACTTCAACCGTGAACATCTGCCTCTCATGGTGTTTGCTAACTGGAGGGGCTTCTCTGGGGGAATGAAAGGTGTGACAACTGTCATTATGTTGATGCATCTGCGTTCTAGTTTGATAGTGAGAGAGGTCATAGGGAGTTCAGCAGAAGATTTAATTTACAGGAAGAATCCGTTTGAGCTGTAAAAATACTGAGAAGGATCTTTATTTTATTTTATTTTTTGCCTCTTTTCTAGATATGTATGATCAGATCCTGAAGTTTGGTGCCTACATCGTTGATGCCCTGCATGGTTTCCACCAGCCAGTGTTGGTGTACATCCCCCCACACGCTGAGCTGAGAGGAGGGTCGTGGGTAGTGATAGATCCCACCATCAACCCTCTGTGTATGGAGCTGTATGCTGACAGGGAGAGCAGGTACATCAAACTGCTGGGGCCTCCAGCCTGAGCAGCTCTTATGTGTGGTTATATGTATATATTTTTTTGTTTGACACAAAGCCATTTCTATGCAGAGGTGGTGTGCTGGAGGCCGAGGGCACAGTAGAGATAAAATTCAGGAGAAAAGACCTGCTGAAGACCATGAGGAGACTGGATTCGGTGTACTCCCGTCTGGTTGAGCAGCTTGGTAAAAAAAACATCTTTCCTTAAATAACGAGGTTTTATTTTTATGATAAAAATGTTTTAACTTATGGTGCATTCTCTTTATTTGTTTCTGGTTAGCTTCTCCAGAGTTGTCTGAAAAAGAAGGGAAGGAGTTGGAGGCGAAGCTCAAAGCTAGAGAGGAGTTTCTGTCACCCATCTACCACCAGGTGGCGGTGCAGTTTGTGGATCTCCATGACACTCCAGGCAGAATGCAGGAAAAAGGAGTCATTACTGTGAGTTTTCTCCATCGAGTCTTATGGCAATAGTCAAAAAAGGAGTGTAGAGGTGCGTAAGTCTTTAATATTATTTGAATGTATTACTCTTTGCAGGATATTTTAGATTGGAAAAATGCACGAACATTCTTTTATTGGCGCCTGCGTCGCCTCCTGTTGGAGCAGGTGGCAAAGGGGGAGATTCTGCAGGCCAACAAGGACCTCAGCGATGGGCACATGCAGTCCATGCTGCGGCGATGGTTTGTTGAAACAGAGGGAACTGTCAAGGTGTGTGGTCACAACCAGAGCTTCGTTCTTTGCTAATGTACAAAGGAAAGTCCAAACACTGTAGGAACAAACGAGAGAATAGACCAAATGGTCTGGATAGTCCTAGTTCTTCTAATATCTATTATCTTTCATCTGCTTTTATTGAAAAATATTAGAAATTTTGTTGCTGCTTTGCTGTAGTAAGAGTTTGTTTTTTAAAGAAAGCTACCTGCTTTTACAGGCTTACCTTTGGGACAACAACCAAGCTGTGGTGGAGTGGCTCGAGAAGCATCTGTCCCTGCAGGACGGCACCCGATCAGTCATCAGAGAGAACATCAAGTACTTGAAAAGAGAAAACGTCCTAAAGCACATTCGCAGGTTTGCAACAACACCCAATAACGTTTAAATATTTGCTAATGTTCACAACACTGTACCTAACTGGGTGACTCGTTTTTGGGGAGATCTGTTATGATTAGACAGATGTAGAAAACACTTTGGATGACCTCAGCTTAGAGAAACGCAGATGAGTTCAGACCAAAATGATAAGCTATAATGTTTAAATAGTTTAAAAACTTTTACTTTTAAAACAAATTGTTCCAGGGTGACAGAAATCAACTTTATAACTGGTACCACTGAGCCTAGCTGTTAGCTTATCAGTCTGACCATAATTTAACTCCAAAACTGAGGTACGGTGCTGTTTGTTTATCAAATACACATAAAATAAAAATATCTGTGACAAAATCGTAAAAATTCCATTTGATACAAACAAATGCATTTAATATTGGAGTCTGGAACATACTTGAGACTTTTCACCATTTTTTCTTGTGTCTGTGTGCAGCTTGGTGCAGGCTAACCCCGACATAGCCATGGACTGCATCATCCACATGAGCCAGAACATCACTCCCTCCCAAAGGGCCAAGCTGTCACATCTCCTAGCCACTATGGACACTGCCAGCACCAGTTAAACTGTTGGACTTCATAGAGAAGGAAAATTGTAATGCATTGTTAAATGTGTAGAAGCACTAAATCACTTTGGTGGTAAAAGGTGCACGAAGTGAAGTTGAAGAGCACAGCCCTGGACTTCAGCGGCGTAGTATTAAAACAATAATACACGCACAAGAACCTCTACAATCACCTTAAACATGAAATCTTTCAGCCTGTCACTAATCAGCTGGATTTAAACACGCATCAGTGTTAAATTAGATTATTTTCTTACAGACTAAAATTGGATTCTTGATAATTCAGGTGCTAATTATTATTTTTGTTAAAACTAGAAAATGTGTTTGAATGTATTCAGTGAAAAATAAGCTTAAACCCCTTCTGAAAAAACACTTAAACTGTATTAATGTGTGCCAGAATGTGAGATTGTTCTGTTTACACTGAAACACGAACAGAACTCATCAGAACTGATGCCAGCATGAATGCAGGTTTATGATAAGATCAGTTGTATTTGACATTTGTATGTTTTTTAAACCCTAAACCCAGTGTGTGTGTGTGTGTGTGTGTGAGAGAGAGAGAGAGATCTGAATGACAGAAGATGGTTTGATGTGGTAACAGAACATTTATTTTATGTTTTTCTCCCTGATCTCTCAGTGTAAAGCAGCACATCCTAAAACTCAGGTTGATTCAGACTGGTTGTCCTAGTGCTTCTTAAATGCTCTATGGATTTGCCTCAGATCAAACATCAGCCGTGACATTTCTCATGAATGAACTCCTCCTGTTTCCTGTATGTTACCAGGGGGAGCTTTGTTAATAAATAATGTAATTGTTTAAATATGAAGAGGCACTTTTTATTTGTCCGTTTTTATTATGATATAGAGCACTGGAGACCTCTTAGCCCCATGGATGAAGGGGAAACAGTCCAAAGAAAGCTTTTCAGAAGCAATAAGTTCAAACACTCAAATATGTACAGCAAACGATTGTTGGAGTCTTCGTTTTCTCCAGCTGCCTTTTATAAATATAAATAAAATATCACAGCAAATGCGTCTAGCACAACACAACAAACAGGAAGAGCTACAAACTGGAAGAGCTTTAAAATGCGGAGAGGGCAGCAGAAAAACAGGCTGTTGCTAACGTACACGTCATTAGTCTCTGTATGTATACATGCTTTCAGTCCTTGCTTGGCAAAACTAAATATTTTAGATCTTGTTTTTTCTTCTAGCCGTGTAGTTCCTAATGAGCAGGGATTTTCCAACATTCTTCTCCCAGGCTCATCCAGGTCCCAAAACCTTCACGTTGCACAAAAGAAACCAAACCTCCGATATCCTCTGAGGGCATCTGAGCAAATTATATCAGGTCTGTTGAGAAGCAGTTTAGCTCCTTCAGAGAAGGGCGATGGGCTTGCTGCTGACCGGAGTCCCCATGTACTGTGAGGACAGAGGATCCTGTGAGGTGTACGAGGTGTAGAGCCCCGTCACCTGCACGTCTGACAGCGACACGTTGGCTCCGCTAGAGGCCGGAGGGAGGCTGGCTGTTCCCAGGTCACAGTCTGATAGTCGGAGGGGTGAGTTACTGAATGTACCCAGAGCATCCAGGTTAAAGCTGTCGTCCTTCATTTCTTCCCACAGATTACCTGATAACACAGATTGAGATGTTAGATCACAAGCGCAGCAACACTCCAGTTGTTTTCAAAACGATTAAAAAAACCCTAATCTATAAATAACAATGTATAAGATTGATGTTTTAATTACATACAGGTCATGTTTGGTCATTAGTTCCTGAATAATTAGGCTTCACCTCCCAGAGGGATTAGTCTGCTCTGACTGCATTGTTCCTGTTTGTAATGAGCTGTGTCTTCAAAAGTATTTACAGAGCTGAATAAACATGCATATTTAAGATAAAGGGGTCAAAATGACAGAACATGGCACTAAAGTAGTGTAATTCCACAGCTCTATCGTGATTTTAAACAGATCCAGAGCTTCTGTTTGGTCATATTTGGGGCCATATTGTGGTCTTTTTCATAACTTGAAATAGTTAAATGGCATAATACAAAACATTGAGGTGGTTTGGGCATCTGGTCAGGATGCCTCCTGGACGCCTCCCTGGGGAGGTGTTTCGGGCATGTCCTGCCGGCAGGAGGCCCCCGGGTCGACCCAGGACACGTTGGAGAGGTTACATCTCCAGTCTGGTCCGGGAGCACCTTGGGGTCCTGCCGGAGGAACTGGTGGAGGTGGCCGGGGTGACGACGGTCTGGAGCTCCCTAGTTGGGATGCTGCCCCCGCGACCCGGACCCAGATAAGCGGAGGAAGACGACGACGATGAATACAAAACATGCTAATAAAGTTTTGCACTAAAGCCATCTCTCATATAACAATTTTAGCAGTTTTATTCTTGACATTTTCAGAACCTTCTAGAATGAGCTGTTTTAGGAAGTTGGCCACACCCACCCATCCCTCACACAGGCTGCTATAAGCTGAGAAGCTCTGATATCGGAGAGGGGCTCGTAGTAGAGCCACTGTTTCTCCAGCAGCAGCTGTCCCTTTCACGGTGCAGGTGGTTCTATTCTAAATTCCCTGTTTGTGACATCACAAATGGAGACTTTTTGAAACAGCTTGTTTTAGGCTTATAGCTCCTAAAACCAAACACTGACAGGAAAAGATGGACCCCCCCCCCCCCCCCACACACACACACACACACATTTAAAGTGTTTATAGAGGCAGTAGACATCAACACTACACCTCACAAGGGGCATTTAGCATAAAATGTGTCCTTTAAAGATAATAGGCAAGCACTTCTGACACAGCGGGAGCATCTTTGCAAAAACGAATCTCAGTTTTAAAAGGTAAGTTTTTAGTTAACATTTTAAATTAATGTGTCAGTCACATAATTCTGTAGAACTTGAAAGCAAGTTAAATAGTTTTTTATTCAGATTTGTTGGTGTTGAAACATATTTTAAAGTGACAGTGTGTATTTTTCCTGGTGATAGGGGACAGTAGATACCTAAATCATTGCAAGCAAGTAGTATTTTTGCGTTGGAGTAAGACCCTACCAACGGATGCCCATTAGGGTCAAAAAGCTTTGGGGACTGCAAACTTCAGCAAAATGGCAAACACATCACATTTCTTTTCATCACTAGCGACGAGCGAGAAGGTACATGTGTAAAACAACAATGTTTATGAATGGTGAAAGTTTTGTAACAGTTTGTTACAAATAAGTAAATGTATTTTGTTCTCATGGGCTCCTGTAGAAGGAAACATGGCATCTAATATGGCATCGCCTTACACCCACTCCCATGTTATTTAGACAAGATTTTTTGGGGTTATATGATACGAAGTTGCCAATATTTTTTAACAACTGGACATCCTTAAATTAATTTTTGACAACATTTTGATGGATATTTCCAGAGATTAACAGTAAAAACTACACATTGTCTCTTTAAACTGCAGGAAGTGGATCAACTCTGGTATAAAGAAAGAAAATCAGAGTTAAAATTTTCATGAATTGTTTCGAGTTTTTCTAACATGTGCAGAACTGTCAAAAGCACAAAAACACAATGCAGCAGTTTAAAAATGGTGTTTACCTTGAAGAGCAAAGTCCATGATGCTAGGGTCCAGTGCATCCACCTCTGTGCTTGAGTCTCCGTGCACGCTGTAAAAGTCTTCCGTAGGCTTGCTGGGCTGCTGCATGAGTGGACTGTGGGAGAGGTCAGGGACTGTGTGGAGGGGAGGCGTCTGGGCTGGGGCAGGGGACATGGGGGCCAGTCGAGCCTGGGCCTGGAGCTGAGCTTGGAGCTGGTGATGGTGGTGGTTCATGGGTAAACAAGGCAGGGACAGCGTGACTATGGGTTGAGCCTGCATCTGGGCTGGGACAGCCAATGGGAGCCCGGTCGGGAGGCCAGCCAGGCGGGTTATACCTGGTTCTAGAGGCTTCCGTCTGCAATTCTCAGGACGGTCTGTGATCAGTTTGTCCAACTCATCTGTTCGGGAGCAAAACAGACTGTCAGACCTGGTAAAACCAACCAAACAAACAATGTTTGACTTTTAAAAATTGGACATTTCTGACCAGGGTTAGCCATGCTGCGCCGAATGGCTGGTAGGTCCTTGCGTTTCCATTTCTGCATCTCCTCCTCCATCTTATCAATTTTGGCTGGGTTCAGTGCCCACAGACAGCCCTTACGAGATGAGCTGCTCGTCTTGTTCTCCACTTTCTCAAAGCATTTGTTTAAGGAGAGGTTGTGTCTGACTGAATTCTTCCAGCCATCAGGTGCAGTCTGAATATAAAATATATATGTTATTAATCTGCATTTATCTTATTTTCCTCAGTCTTTATCTGTCATAATAAGCAAAGATCTTACCTTAAAATAAGGAAAATGTTCCTTCATAAAGCTATAAATCTCACTGACTGGCAGGCTGCCAGTTTTGCTGTTTTTCAGAGCCATGGCAATCAAACAGCTGCAGAAATACATATAAATATATCTTAATAAACAGCAGACAAGACGGATTATGGAACATAATATGAATATAGTTATTTGTGGGTAATCACCTGTAGGAGTAGATGGGTTTGGGGAAAGTTTTGGACTGCGGCTCCTGATCCTGTGGAGCCAGACGAGGTTGTGTAAAAAGACTTTGGTTGTTGAAAGAGACATTGCTATAAAGTCCACCGCCTGCACACTGTAAGACAGAGGAAAGTATCGTCAGTCCTTATTCTAAACTTTTTCTTTAGTGGGACAAATCTTTATTTGTGTCACCTGTTGTCCGTTCTGAGTGAGAGAGTACACCTGCTGGGATGAGGGTTGGTAGACTGAGGTAGGACACTGGTATCCCGGGGAAGGAAGCCCATTCATGGAGAATGGAGACATCTGTGAAGTGGGTGCAGAGACATTTAATAAATTGTGCATGCTGAATCCTAAATGTGGATTTGTAAAAACGTACACTTCCACTGTGGGTGTTGATGATACTTATTCCCAGGGGGCTGTGCTGCATGTTACTTTGGAGGTGCAGCATGGAGCCTTGACTAGCTGGTATCGTCATGCTACTCAGCTGAGCTGAAAAGAGCCGGAACAAGAGCACTCAGATTACTTACTGCATAAAATAACGTTTGCATCCAGAAATTAGTGGCGTTGGAAGTTTGTCATGACAATAAAACTCCACTAAAAGGTAGAGCAGAAGCAGCATTTATATAGAAAAGCTACATCTGACAAAAGACCAGCAGGTCAAAATAGGCCTAATATACATTTCTTTACATGAAGGCAAACGCTTAATAAACAATATTCAATTATGGTACTCAAACTTCATTAACATATTAATTCATATTTATTACCGTAGATTAGTTTTTCTGGCCAACACAATGGTTAAAAGTGCAAAATAATCGTTTTCTTGTATTTTTTCAAGATAGTCCACTGAAGTTGTGTTAGAAAATGTTATTATTATTATTATTATTATTATTATGTTTAATAATTAAGGGAATTAGCATTCTGCTAAATCTGGTGTTTTTCCAACAACATTGCACATTAACCAACATGCACTGTCCCATTCAAATAAATCAAATCAGTCCTGATTTATCCATTCGGAAAGTTAATTGTAGCTTCTAAACTCTGTCCCCTCCCTGTCAGCTCACCTGTCTGTTGCTCCAACAAGCTGCCCTGAGAGGGCCCGTTGCTGTGGCCTCGGCTGTCAGCCATCTGCTGCAGCCGGGGCACGTCCACAGAGGTGAGCCATGACAGGGACTGCAGGTCCCCTGGGAGGTCCTCCAGTCTCAGCTGGGAGGGGTCTGTGGTCAGAAGCCTTCAGGAGAGGGGGAGGGGGGTTAACACGGCTGTCAGCTCAGACACAAACAGATCACAAGTAGGATTTAAACCTAAACACTGGGTGGAAGATTTTTATCCCCCTTAGACAAAACAGCCTCAGGAGTGTGGAAGAGGGGAGACGGTGATGAAAGCTGCTGGCTGATTTAGCTTAAGAAGATTAATTATGAGTTTTAATTTAGCAGCGACAGTTTTATCCAGCATTAAGAAAGTTAAATGAGCTGTTTATTTGTGACATCATCAGATGTGGGCTTTGTTTGTTGTGAAACACTGATTTGTGCATTTGTTTATTTTTGCATTGCAGCAGAATAAAATATTATGAACATTTTAAGATTGTGTTTTTTATATAAAAATTTTGAGAGAAAACAGACCTAAAGTCTGTTTAACCAGCGCCTTGTTCAACCTTTAGCTCTTTTAAAAGGAGGAGGCTCTTAGAGAAAGAAAGAAAGAAAGAAAAAAGAAAAAAAGAAGAATCCTCTTCAATCTTCTCAACACACACACACACACACACACACACACACACACACACACACACACACGGTTCTGTAATTGGGGTTGCTATGACAACAAATACAATTCAGTTACTTAGTGGGTGTGCGGACACTGCAGAAGTGCACCCCCTCCTCCATACAGACACCAAATCTAATAAAAAAATCTGCCCTGTGTCAGGTGACCACAGCCTTGCCTTACCCATTGGCTGAATCATAAGTAAACAACACATGAGATCGTTTGAAACATGGGACAGCAGCACATGTTGTGCTGAAACAGTTGGCCTCATCTATTGAAAAATGATCACCTATTGTGTCCCAAACGACAAATCTGCCCAGTGGCACGTGTCTCCATTGTCTTCCCCAGACCCTTCCTTGATTGTCTCTGTCATTTCTTTTCTTCGCCTGGCCCTTGCATTAATCTGTTGGAATGACAGCCCCAGGGACAAATAGGATGCCATCTGCTTCCCTGTCCCTTTCCAGCCTCTATCCTCACAGCCCCCATCCTCCCCCTCCCTCCCTCCCCCAACCCCCACCACACCTACCTTTAACGAAGAACTCAGAGGAGAGGGGGGTGCAAATATAGTTTGAGGTCAGGGCTGTGTGTGTGTGTGTGACATTGGATTAAGTACCAGAAATCAACAACACACTCTATCAGCACATCCCAGCTTATTTCTTGTTTTTGCTCAGAGATTTTTAATTTTAACACCAAACATGAAGTCCAACTTTAGGATCAGAAAGTCCAGAGCTCATATTTAAAGATTTTGCAATCAGGTTGAAGTCACACAAAGTTGTCTGTATGTGGACACATCTGCAAATCTATTAAATGTTTTGGTGATTTTGTATTAATGCAGATTATTTAGAGACACGACCTACTGAATAGTCAACACATCAGGGGCATTCTCATCCCCTTCCTCCGTCACTAACAGAGCAAATCGCTCCCTGATGCAAAACATGTAGCTGGTGTCTCCATGTATCATCACAGGAGTTCAACCCCAAATATTGTGCCTCCTCCTCCTCCTCCTCCTCCTCTTCCTCCTCCTCCTCCTCCTCCTCCTCCTCCTCGCTCTTTTTCTAATTGGGAACCACTTGTGGACACTGGTGACCCTGAGCTCCCCGTCTCCCCCTGAGCTGGTCAGCGGAGAGGCTCAAGCTCTCCATGCGCCGACAGCGGGAGTGTAAACAAAGCTGATGGTTTCTGACAGATCCATTCAGACTGAAAATCATTTATTCTTCAGGATTTTTTTCTCCCTATTTTTCTTTTTTCATGGAACCGCCACACAAAAAACGCTGTCCATCTACCAATAAACCAACCCTAGAGGATTAGACAGTTTGTTCTGTGATCATTGAAGGAAAACAAAAGTTTGTTCTATGAACAATGATTTATGTGTGCCAGTTGCATTCAGATATCATTATTTTTAAAGTAAATAAACAGATTTTTAATAACGGATGTTCCTGTAAACCAAACGTCCTACCTGTAGTCCTGGGGTGATGGATGATGCCCAGCATTCTCAATTATTCCTGACATCCTGGAAGTTACGCCACCTTCTATCATTTCCTGGGATTTGTGCTTACCTTTTTCTGCCAAACATAATCAAATTTTACTTTCTGTGGAGTATCTTAACACAATAAAATCACTCAAAAATAGTCATAAACTGTTTTAACTTGAAATAACAATCTCTAAGCAAATGGCTTGTGAAGCACTGCTGAGTGTTTCAGGTAACATTAATGACTGCTGTAAAAATGAACACGTTTAATGCAGAAATAATAAAATCATAAAATGCATATGGTCTTTACACCAATATCAGCTGTTACTCAACAGCTTGAATACTTTACATTTAATGTCTCTCAGAATAAACCATCATATGTTAAGTATACACCAAATTTTTGTCATTATTATTTGATCAAGCTACCTTTACACGTCATGTTATTTATCTAATCTGATGAAAGATCCAGTTATGGTCTAAACCCAGTTTTTAAAAACTTTCTCAGAACAAACTATTTGGGAAAAGATTGTAGTTTTAAAAAGAGAGAATAAAAACTCACCAGTTGTTGGTTGGTAATGGAGAATGTGAAAGCTGACCACCGAGCCCCTGTACTGTAATCCTCTGAGCTGCTCTTGATTCTTTCAAAACCGTTTTTAAATTTCCCTCTCTGGAGCTGTCCAGCGCTCTGACATGCGCAGTAGCGACCTCGGGGGGCTGGAGGATCCCAACAAGGGTTTGACAGCTGTTGCCAAAGTGCGCTTGACAACAGTCCGACATCCAGCACCTCAGCTACAGTGCGCCTTCTTCCGGTTTATCCAAATATCACACAGACAAGTCTAATAAAGTTCGTCCACCACCCCGCTGATATGGGTGATAATAAAGCGGATAAGACCGTGTGTGTATCTCACCGTGTCTGTGTGTCTAATCACCTGTGCGTCAGCGGCGCACAGGTGCGTCATGCGCCTTTTCTTAAAAATAATAAAGCCATCATCCTGCTCAGAGTCTGTAATTTTAACTAAAAGGTTAAAAAAAGAAAAGTAAAAACTTTCAAAAAGGTTCCACTAAAGTTTTCGTTTTAGTTAATAAGAATAATAAACGACAAAATTGCGCGTTCCTCCTCCTAATCCAAGTTACTCCCCGGCCCGGTTCAGGACTAAAACGGTGTGAGTCACAACTTGTGGTGGCATTCGTGTATGAGTGTGAACTTTTTTTTTGGAGGAAGTGCTTGTAGGTTTTTTTGTTTCCCGCCGCAGAGACCGCGTCCTGCTCCTCTCAGCAGTGGGAAAAGGAGACGGGGTTGGGTAGAGGGTGGGCCGGGGGCCGGTGGGCTGCAGCAGCAGGCGGCAAAAGCTCTAGTCTGGAGAGCAGGTTCACTTTAGATAAGAAAACAAACTAGACCGGCTTTTATCGTTATTATCATGCAAACTCTCGTCTCCAGGAAGGATTAAAAATTTAAATGTATTTATTTTATTGCAGATATTTCAAATCAATAGTTTCTAGCTATTGCTCTGCATATTTGGAAAATAAAGTGGATGATTTGGGGTCAAAATCCAGAATAAATATAAACAACACATTTTGACTATTTAAACGTCTATGGAATCCGATCTACATTGTATGTTTATTTCAAATAATAAAATTATATATATAAAAAAACTTCATTCTAATATAAATGCAACAGATTTCACAATTAGGTACCAGTCAGTGTGAAACCAGTTTGAGGTTAACTGCAACTGGAAATCAAGAAGGACTGCAGTATCAGTGCTATCAGCCCCATGGGACCATGCAGATGGCCTGTCACAATAGGCACAATCGATGATTACATGCATGAAGGTAACGGACAAAAACAGGACCGTACTCACAGAGAGGACCCCAAAGGTCCTAAAGCCCGTGGGGTTCTGATATGGAAACAGCTGGGCTTCCTGTGGAGGGAGAACTGCAAGATAATGATGATGGTGATGATGGTGGTGGTGAAGATGACGATGGAGAAGATTATGACAATAATGATGATGATGATGATAAAGATGATGATGGTGAAAACAATGATGATGATGATGATGATGATGATGATGATGATGGAGCAGATGGTGGCCAAAACTGACACAACAAAGATGAAACCATTTGCTGATTAGCGAAGACTCAGAATATGGTAGGATTATTATTACTACTGGTACTTAAGAAACACAGTCAGCTCATAACACATATTTGATTGTTTACAATAAAGTTTAAATAACTTTCAAGGTTTAGGAAAAAGCAGAGTGAAGCAGCATATTTATGACGACATATGCTAAAAAACAACAGTTCCGCTTCGTTTTGGCACCAACACATTTAAATGTGCAACAAACATTTTTGCAGGTTTGTAATCTTATTATGTGAGTTCACTGAATGATGATTAAATGTGTTTATGTTGATCAAAATATTATTTATTTATTTGCTTTAATTTAGTTGATTTATTTATTTTTTAAATTATATCATATTTTATAAGTCCATTTTCCCTTTGAGATGCTGCATTTTGGCTCCTGCCACTTTAAGAGCTTCTTCCATATAAAATAATTATCTGAAAGGGAGATCAAAATAGCCCACTGGGAGACAGCTGTTCATATTCCATTTAAGTCAAGTTTCACGGTCAAGGACCTGAGGGACTTTTCAGGGACAAGATCAGCTCCCTGACAATTGGACAGCTGCCTCGACACACCACGGAAGGACCCTGAAGTCTTCCTATTGAGAAGTTGAACTGTGCGCTTCATGTTCCGAACTGCATTTTTACATTCCGGACCTGGACTTCAAGGTACTCATCAACGCACGACTGAAACCATCCTGATCAATGGAAGAGGACTCTGACTTTCAAACCTATTCTCCAACTGGGAATCTCAGTCCACGGACAACCCCTTTGATGAAGAACGCCTGGCTTGCCTCAGCTCTGCCATGGTTAGAGCTGCGTAAATTAATATTACATCTTCATTTTTCCTCCTTCACAGGAAGTCTCGTCTGCAACTTGAAGCTTTGAACTAAATTCACCTGATGTTTCAGTACACTGTACTGGTGTTTTCTGTGTATTATATGGTTTTGTGAACCTTTCCCATCCTCCTTACAGGAAGTGCCATAAATTGTAGAATTGTGCATCACAGTAAATTAATTTCAATATGTATGAAATAGCTTTTCTTAAGGTTATATTTGTGTTGATTTAGCTGATTCCATTCTCTATCTCTGTGAAGTGCTGTAAAATATTATTGTCAGTTGTGTTTGCTTTATAGTGTTTATTACCTTGTTTGTTCTTATTATTTTGCTGATTTTTGTATTACACTTTGTATGGAATGATTCTTTGGACAAAGTCAACAGGATTGAGATTACGATCCGTGAACGAAGAACGAACGCAGCACCTCATCGTGTTGATTCTGAAACTTTCATATCTAATCATGGTGTTTATTACTTTTTCTTGTTTTGATGCTTATAATTTTGTCTTGAGTTGCTTGATTTGTACCCTATTGGTCCTTATGACTACTGAGGTGTTCACGCTTCCTGGGTTTACCCCTTCCCTATTCCTTGGGTCGTGATTGATGTAGCTTTCATAGATAATGGTGGCAAGTCATTGAGGTGGATAACGTTCCTTAGTATTTTACTTATTTTTTTATTTTCCTTATTTGGTTTTGTTTTGTCTGTTGCTTTGTTTTGTTTGGTTATCCTATTCGGATAAACAGGAGGGAATGTTGTGGAATATTATGTTTATTAATTCTTGATCATTGACTCAATCAACTGAATATAACATGTATTGCTCTATGCCTCTTTGCATGCCCACTTATTCAGTCACACACACACACACACACACACACACACACACACACACACACACACACACACACACACACACACACACACACACATTCTTGACTTCCCACTCTCTCTCTCTCTCTCTCTCTCTCTCTCTCTCTCTCTCTCTCTCTCTCATAGGATGTCACTTTCATTCCTTTCTTATCTCTTGGTATAAAACTGGGACCAGATGTCCGGGGCATTTTACCTCGTGCATTGTGCCACAGTTATAACTGTTTGAATTGTCTGTTCATTGTCTCCTTTTTATCTTCGACTACAGGAAATTGGTTATTGATAAACATATTGATAAAATCCATGACAAACCAAATGCAAATATGTGTTTTAATAAGAATGTATTTTAATAGTTTAATTTAATACAAGTTAAATCAGTGTTTTCCTGCACTTTTCACACAAAAATGCAAATCATGCTCCAAATGACAAACCAAATACTTTCAAAGGGCAAAAAAAAAAAAACCCTGTTAGTGACAATATTTATATAATATAATAATAAAATAATCAAACGTACAAAGTGAGAAGAAGAAGAAGTGGGTTTGTCTTTGCACATGTTCTGATGGCAGTTTTGATAGTGTTTCAGCTTCATGGTTGGAGTTGTGTAGTGGTGATGACCTCTGGGGGGGGGGGGGGGGGGGGTAGACACAGACTCCCTGCAGCAGACGGCACTCACCTCTCATGCCTCTTCTGCAGTAATGGAGAATCAATGGGATCACCGCCTGAGGGGCTGGCTTGTGGTTGCAACCTGTTTTCATTTAGCACTGAGTGTTTACTAAAAACTCACCAGCCCGCTCTGAGAACATGGTCAGTTTGCTCCTCTAATCTCTTCTGAAAGCAGAGGTTCTGTGACCCCCCATGAGAAGACCGTCACCAAAGGTGGCCTCTGGTCATGCAGAGGAAGCTGCTGTCAGCCATACTTGGTCAAAGAGCAGCTTGTGTCCTGTCAAATATTTTGTTTTCTCAAATAAGATGGAGCAGACAGTTAGTCCTGAACATCAGTATTCTTTAAACCTGTTGCAAGGAGGTAGAGCGAGTTGGCCAGTAATCGGAAGGTTGCAGGTTGGATTCCGGCTCCTGACAGAGAATTCTGCTGTTGTGTTCTTAGGCAAGACACATAACCCAACTTGCCTGCTGGTGGTGATCGGAGGGACTGATGGCGCCTGTGCTTGGAAACCTCACCTCTCTCAGTGCCCCAGGGCAGCTGTGGCTACATTGTAGCTCATCACCATCAGCTTGTGAATGTATGTGTGTGCATGGATGAATGATACACTGTAGTGTAAAGCACTTTGGAGTCCTCTGACTCTGAAAGGTGCTATACAAGTGCGGTTCATTTTGATTTGAGCCATCTACTGGGAGCGTTTAGAGATCATCATCCTGATTTCATTTTCCAGCGGGATTCGGCACCTATCCACACTGCTAAAGTTATCAAAAGCTGGCTCAGCGATCCTGGTGTTACTGGGCTTTGACTGGTCTGACCCGAACCCTCACGGGTTGTTGTTAATAAGGAGATGAGAGAACCAGACCCAACAATGCAGATGACCTGAAGGATGCTATCCATGCAACCTTGCTTCCCTTGCACCTCAGCAGTGCCACAGACTGACAGCCTCTAACAGCGCACCACATTAATGCAGTAATTTATGTTAAAGAATCCCAGTGAAGTACTGAGTGCATAGAGATGAGCATACTCAGAAGTCTAGCTTTCATTTTTAAAATATTAATTTCATAATTTTTTCTGTGTAACATTCTAATTTTGGAGACAATAAATTTGTAGTTTTCTTACCTGGATTACTATAGTAATCTGAGTTACAAGAAAAAAAAAGGCTTGAAATATTTCAACATGTGACAAATCTATCTGGAAAATGAGTTTCACTTTCTGAGGTGGAGGACAAAAAACATGAACGTTTTTCGCAACTTTGTAATATTTTGAAACTGATTTAATTTTCAGAGGTAATCTGTGTCATCAATTCTGTTAATTTATATTTCTTCATAGTCAGAACTCAAAATAAGTAAAACCCCAAACTGGACTCTGTGTGCATAATAATTAATTTTTAACACACAAGCCACATCAGTGGCATACTTTAATGCCACTATTCTGCATGTTTTAGATGTTTTTCTCTCTAAAATGGATGTTTCACAAGGTTCTGCAGAACTTGCTGAAGAGGTTATTTAACCACTGGAGTGGAAAAACATACAGGACAGAAGCCTTCAAGGCCCAGAAGGGAACAATACAAACAAAATAAAACATAACCAATTGTAAAACGGATGCATTTTAAAAGGGCTAGAACAACAAAACTGAAGGAAAAGTGATCTCAAATGTAATGTTTCATTTATGCTGATAATAAAACATGCAACTTTAGGCAGCTGTACAGGATGCAAGTACACAAAATATTTCTAAAATCTCAGTTTTTTGGATATTCAGCCATTTTCTCCTGATTGACAATTGAACTTCTATTGTCCTCAAAGATCACAGAAACCTATTTTCTGCATCTTTAGAGAGGTCAGTGGTATTGACCTTTCAATGTCTTGTGTCAACAGTCTGAGAAGAGGTCAGTGCCCTATCAAGATGGAGCAAAAGTCTCTTCTTTTCACAGATAACCGAACTGAAAGGACCCTTGTTTCCACAGGAGCCTTTATTCAGTTTTCATGTAGCAGAACCAAGACTTCCTGTGAAAAGGAAGCACACACACACACACAAGTCTGAATCGTCATATCATCCTGGATGATAAAGTGGAGTGTTGTAATTTGTAGATTTTTGGTACGTAGCATGAAAAGGAAAGACGATGTATTTATAGGAGAGATATGAAGGCGATTATTTGTTCATTTCACCATTTGAAGCAAGACAGATTATTATTAGAAAATGATCCAACATGGAGAGTAAAGTGACCTCAGTGACCTTTGATCACTTTCAAGCTGAAGATATGATGGGCTCAGCCTTCGTTATGCTGTCCTGAGAAATTAGAATAATGGAATATGAAAGCATGGGAGATCTAAAGAAAGGAACAGGGGGGCAGAAAGAAAGTCTGGGAGGAATTAGGAAGACTGGGAGAAATAAAGGGAGGAGAACAGTGAGATGGACACAAAATAAAAAGAGAGAAGAGAGAGGGGGCAGCCGTGGAGTGATGTGAGTGTTATCATCAGCTCTCATTCTCAGCATGGAATCTATAATGAGAAAATCAACCTCTCTGACTCCTGTGTAATTGGATTTGCCGGGTCTCGTGCTGAATCAGAGCCCAGTGGGTAGCAGAAAGCTTGTTAAGATTGGACAAGCATTTCTGGGCTGGGAGGGGGAGAGGTGGGGCGACGGCAGAGGTAACCTTGACAACTTTTCTGGAGCGGGGAGTGAATATTTTAATATGTTGGACATTCATCCGAGTCAATTGACTGAAAGATTTCCGGCCCTTTATCAGGCCATAAACTAGGGACAGGCTTTAGTTTGTCGTGTCCTCAGGACAGAGACAGTGGACACCTGTCTTACCTTGCTGGTTACCAGGCAACAGATTATTAGACTAAGTCACTTCAGGTGGGAGATACTTTAAAATATTTTGCATAAAAAAAGAAAAGAAAAGAAAGATTTAAATGGTATTTTATAGAAGACAGCTGAACCCAAACATACAGAACAAGTTTTTCTAATTAAAGGTTGAATGTGGAACAGTTTAATAAAAAAGTTATGTTATGAAAAATAATACCTACAGTATTTCATTTCAAAGCTTATTTATAACATTTATTTTGACCGGCACAATACTGGGTTTATGTTTACCTCTATCAGCCAATAGAGGGCTCTATTGTGGGTTGCCAACCAGTCTACTTGGCACAGCAAGGCTGGCCCTGTGGAAGCAGCTGCTTCTGAGCTCAGAAGACGTCGTTATCCTTCTCAGAAGAGCAGCGACCCCAAAAGATCTAAAACCAGAGGGAGCTTAGGTGAAGCCTACAACAAATTCAAAAAATCGCATATTGACAGCGAAGCTGATGTCCCGACGGCTGGAAACCTTGTTCTGTTGTTGCAACTACAACCTCCACACACTAGATGTCGCTTTGGTGTTCGTGTTCCATATTCCACCTTTAAAGCAGCAATGGCAAATTTGGAAAACAAAATAGCTTAAAACATTTTTTTCATGCCTCGTAACTAGGGATTAACCCCGGTTAATCCCCCGTAAAGACGTCTCCAACACCACCAATAATAAAAAAGTGAAATTGAATGTGCACAAGCAGCACAGAGCCGTGTCCAGGACTTTTAAAATGGGGTGGCCCATGTGGGGCACTTGTTTATTCATGGGTGGCACCAATGGTTATGCTCATTTATTTATTTACACAAATCGTTTATTTATTTACTTTCTAGTGAATTTTTGAGTTTCACATTGCACAATCATCATTTTTTCCCCCTCTTCATCTTCTACTTTTGTGGTGGTTAGCAAGTCACTTCCTGTTGCATTACTGCCACAAACTGGAGTTGAGTGGGACTCTAAATACTATGTATGTGAATATTAAAAAATATTAAATAATATTAATACTACATACCTGGGCTAGAAAACAAGCTGTGAGGAGCATACTACCACACACTATTTCGGAGTTTACAACCCAAGCCTTTTGTCGACAATGTAAAGTCATTTTAAACTGGAACTTAGTGGGGTGGCCAATCAGATTCTAAGGGTGGCATGTGCTACCCCAGGCCACTCCCTGGACACGCCCCTGAAGCAGCAGAAGCAGAACCAGTGACAGCAACCATTGGGACTGCTCCATTTCCACCTACGAAGCAGTTGAAGTTCCCTGTGTGGGAATACATCTGATATATCTCAAATATTCCCATGCAGGAGAATTCAACCGCTTCCTCAGCCCATTGATTATCCCCTCACTTCCTGTTTCTTCCCCATTTCCAGCCTCTGATATACTGACAGTGCTTCAGCATGATGACCAACACTGTTGGTCAGTCATTTATCCACCTAATCAAATCTCAGTAACCAGACATGAAATGTGCCAGCTGCAACTGAGAGCTGTGTCTGGTGGTAGTGACGCAATGGAGCTTGGAGACAGAAGAAGAAACAGAGGGGATGAGTTGGAGTAGTTTGGATCGTGTTTCTGTGTTGTTATGTTACACTCAGCAGAGCAGCACATAGCCAGGTAAGGACTGAATAAGATCTGCACCTTCCACGGCATGAATCATTAAGCACCCTGAGACTGAATGAGACGCCGGTAGATTTGTTGGTCGGCCTCCATGCAGCATCGCTGATGATGTTCTAACTTCTCATACATGAAGGAGCAACCAGAGGTCTGTAAAAGTATGATCGTCGCCTCCATGCAAGCAGACACAGGAGGACCCTCTGGTTCAGGCTAATTTTCAGAAGCCAAGTTTCTGCATCTGCTTAGCAGACAAACCAAGCTCCAGACATGCAGGTTTGAGTTTGCTTTATGTTTTTATTTCTTCATTTATTTTTCGAAAAACAGCCGTTATAGTCACACTAGTCAGGAAACGTGTGTTTCATGAGAGGCGTTGAGAGGAATCACGTTCATCTAAAATTTATTTTAGTTATAGTTTAAATCTGAGGAGACAACAGAAGCCCTGAAGGGCAACGGGGAAAAAATGTTGTTGCCTTTCAGGGCTTCCATAGCAGACACATTAGGATAGCTAGTGGGAAAAGATGAACAAGAGAAACCTTGTTTAGTTACTTTTAAAGTGAAAATGTTTCTGTTGTTGTTACAACACGGATTTTAACAGTTAAATTATTAGTTTTTGTTTAGTAAACTTAAATAAAAAGGCGTAGAAGTTTCATTTTCTTCATGAAAATCTTTCACTTCACAGTGAAAATAAGTGTTGAATCGATTCTGTTAGATGGTTTGTTGAAACTGGAGTCAACCCAGAAGAGACATTTTCTTGTTTAGATGAATAAAAATTCCCAGCAGCCACTCCTCCCATCCTCCCCTGTCTGAAGATACATCCACTTCTGTGTCAGATGAGGTCACTCTGTCTCAGGCAACAGTGACACTCTAGACCCAGTTCAGGGACCATCTCTTAATTAAAATACAATCGGCCGTGCTCTGAAGTAGCCCGATCTGACTCTGGCTTTAAGGATTCATTACATAATCCTTCTTTCTGTCGTGCATCAAATTTGTCCACAATGTTTAATTATAGTGTGAACACCAAAGTACCTTATTGACTGTTTTGAGATATGCAAAGCCACTAATAACGCCAACACACAGAGAAGCTTTTGAAATAGTCAGGTCATTCTCTTGTCCTCCTGGACGAAGAACGCCCATTTAGTGTTCGGTCTTTCGAGCTTGCTGTAGACAGCTTTCTTAAAAAAAAAAAAGTTGTTTCAGGACACTAAAGGGAACCCGAACGAAAACAGCCAACCTTTAGATTGAGTCAGAAAACATTAGCATTATTATCACCACTGAATTCATGAATCCCTCCCTTGACAGGAGCTTATCTGTCCACGTTACTGCTTGTAATACTGTATGACATCCCTGAACTACGCTGTCCCAGCACATTGTCTCCGCGCGCTGCCCAGAGAGAAGTTTGTTCCCATGAAGGAAGGGGGTGTCATGGATACCCCATTGATTCTGACGTCCAAAAAAGGGCTCCTTCAATGATATTGTTCACCTGTATCATTGGCTTAAAGCGGGTGGGTGGGAGGGGAGTGCTCTGGGAAGGGGGTCGTGTGAGGGTTATTTGTGGGGGACACGGGGTGAGGGGTATTGTTTGAGAAAGGGCTGAGAGGACTGGGGGGTACGGTGCTGACAGGTGGGAAAAAAATCCCTACTCTTATCTGACTGGTCTCCTCTATCCGTGCATGGGGCCCCGAACTAGTGGAGTAATGAAGTCCAAATTACAGCAGAAGATTGCTCGGAACAAACCTCTATTGTTTGCCCTCGGGGCGCACTAAAGCACACTAAATGAGTGTCACAGCATGCAGCGGGGCACGGACCGTTACCGCACCATTTAGTCTGTCTCGTTGTCTCAAGACGGCCCCGTTTCAGTGGTTGTCAGATCAGACAAATACCACCCCCCACCCCCCGGCCTCCTTCGCCTTCACCCCTTCCTCTGTACAGCCACAACCCCTCCCCAACTCCTCACCCCGAAATAGGCCAAATCTCCGCCATTGTGTTTCGACTGCCTAGTGTGAAATTCACTGTGACGTTAAATGTTTTCTAATGAATAATTACTGAATGGATATGCAGGGGGAATATGTGTAATGGATTGTAGACTGCATTTTAAAGACGTCTTTTTTTGTCTCTTCTCCGTGGTATTTACAGGACAAAAAAAACACTTGGCCTTTCTCAGAAGGAACCGGGGCCATCGGTGGAGGGCTCAGGCCTGAGGGGAGGGGCGGGGGAGGGCTTTGTGTCAATTAGATCCAATGGATTATCTTTTTTAAATGTTTTTACAGAGAGAGTTGAGAATCAAAGGGCTTCTGCTTCCAAAGAGAGCGAAGAAACACAAAACCAACAAAAGCTGCGAAAACCTTTGGTCCAAGTGTTGGTGCTGCGAATGCAAAACAGACTGGTGGAATTTTTGTTCCCGCTGCGCCGCTTAAATGTGCCACTGTTTTTGGCTCTGCCAGTCCACTTGTGTTGTTTGGTTGGTGCTTCAGGCTGAGGCAATTATGGGTAGCCAGCCAGAATTATTACCTCTTTCTGTTCATCTGCAAACTCTCAGACCTTTATCTCACAGGGTCGCTAAACTCCCTCTCTCAATGCAACAAATACTGTTTGTTCTTTTATTTTGGTCTTGTTTATGTCCCCTGTGGAGCATGTTCCATTCATTCATTCGTTCATTGCCAAAAATACCTGACCTCAAACTTTCAGTTTTGTTTTAATCAATTCAAAATTGTGACGTGTGTTCTTGCAACACGTTGCTGCTTTTTCAAACATAAATCGGGGTCTGCCTTTAAATTTCTGATGTACGTTGCATGTTAATAAAGCAGCTTTGAGTAAGTAGATCCCCAGGGTCCAGTTTATTTAGTTCTGATCTGGTTGAAACCACTTGTTGCAGGGTCAGCTGGACATGGAGGGTGCCCTGACTGCCAGGGACCGGGTGGGAATCCAGGACTTTGTCCTCCTGGATGAAACCACAGAGACAGCCTTTCTCAGCAACTTAAAAAAACGATTCGGCAAGGATCTCATCTATGTGAGTCTCAAAATGAAACCCTGAACCTAACTAATGTGTCCTCAATCGAGCAATAAATGTGATTTTTATGTTTTAGACTTACATTGGCACGTTGCTGGTGTCTGTTAACCCGTACAAGGAGCTGGACATCTACAACAGGAAACAGATGGATGTTTACATGGGGGTCAACTTTTTTGAGCTTCCACCACACATGTGAGTGTACTCATGATGAAAACTGAGTTTAAAGAGCGTGTAACAGTCATGGATTTTATCAATATGTTTATCAATAACTCATTTCCTATAGTGAAGAGAGAAGGAGACAATGAGCAGACAAGTCAAACTGTTATAGCTGTGGCAAAATGCCCCAAACATCCGGTCACAGAGTTTATTTATACCAAGAGATAAAATAGAGGGAGAGAGAGAAAGAGAGAGAGAGAGAGAGAGAGAGAGATTGTGTGTGTGTGTGTGTGTGTGTGTGTGTGTGTGTGCGTGTGTGTGTGTGTGTGTGTGTGTGTGTGTGTGTGTGTGTGTGTGTGTGTGTGTGTGTGTGTGCGTGTGTGTGCGTGTGTGTGTGTGTGTGTGTGTGTGTGCGTGTGTGTGTGTGTGCGTGTGTGTGTGTGTGGGGGGGGGGGGGGGTCAAGAATGTGTGGGTGTGTCATGCAAAGAGGCATAGAGCAATACATTTACATTCAGTTGATTGGGTCCATGATCAAGAATTAATAAACATAAATTTTTCCATAACAGTAACGAACAATGTTATAAAAATCAGCATCCCAGAGATTCAGACATTTTTATGTCCTAGTTTTTATATGATTGATTCTCTAAATCATGAACGTTGTTCAAATTTCTGGAAACTAGTGCATCATAGACATGAATACATAGACACCTCATTGGACATAGCCTACAACCCATCACAAATAAGGTTTCAAGTATTTGAATGCAAATCAACAGTATGACAAATGAAAACAACCTGATGAAAAATAAAACAAAACAAATGGCATCACCTTATTTAACAAGAACCCAGCAAAAATGCAAATGCAGTTTGTTGGAAATGTCTGATGCATTATTTTATATCCTTAAACAAACATTTGCAGAGAGAACTTGCAGTAATTTTTCTCATTTATCTTTCATAAAATGTATCTTGACATCAGTTTTCACAAACGTTTGATGTTTGCACGTTCAGAAACTATCCTCCTTTTCGTCCAGTCAAAAAATTTTAATTGAACTGAGCTGCTGCAAGACTTTGATTCTTTTCTATTTTGTTTATTGTTTGTTTGTTTGTGGATTATTGTCTTGATTGCATGTTGTGCAAGTGGTCGTGACTGCAGAAGAATCCCAGTCAGCCTATCACCATGCATTTATGGGATCTTTGTGTGTTTAGACAGTAAAACAGCAGCATGGCAGCTTATGCTGCATTGTTACAGGTCTTCTCTTGGGGGCTTTACCTAAATTTAAATTTTATAATTGAAGATATTATCATGACGGGAACTGCATGTACCCTGCAAATGCACAGATGAACCAAGGTCAACGTTCTAAAGGTTCTTAAATGTCACACTAGTTCATGGAAACCCTGACCTCAAAGGAGGTGCAATTATTTATTAGGTTTTTTTTACTATGAATGCAATTTTTGAACCTTCCTTTGTATGTGTGTCCATGGATACAGGTTAATTAAGGTGTTCCCAGATAAAATGACTCATCCTGTGAGTATAATGTTGTCTCTGCATCCCTTCAGCTACGCCTTAGCAGATACCGCCTACCACACCATGCTGACAGAGTTCAACAACCACTTCATCCTGATCTCCGGTGAGAGCGGAGCAGGAAAAACCGAAGCCTCCAAGAAGATTCTGCAGTATTATGCCGTCAGCTGCCCCAGCACCACCTTACTAAACACCGTCAGGGACAAAATGCTCATGTCCAACCCCGTCCTAGAGGTCCGGCGGTGGTATTTTCACTCTTAAAGGGCAGATATGTACTTCAACTTGCAAAGAATGTTCTGAATGAAACAACTGTGTTGTGCCACAGGCTTTTGGGAATGCAAAAACACTGAAAAATGACAATTCAAGCAGGTTTGGGAAATACATGGACATTCAGTTTGACAGCCAGGTAAGGAGAGAGAGAGAGAGAGAGAGAGAGAGAGAGAGAGAGAGAGAGAGAGAGAGAGAGAGAGAGAGAGAGAGAGAGAGAGAGAGAGAGAAATTAATAATGATCTTCTAAGGGGGATGCAGTTGGAGGCCACATCCTGAACTACCTGCTGGAGAAGTCGAGGGTCGTGCATCAGAACCACGGAGAGAGAAACTTCCACATCTTTTATCAGCTGCTGGATGGAGGATCGGATGAGCTACTGCAGAGGCTGGGTCTGGAGAGAAACTCCCAGCATTACAACTATCTAACACAAGTCAGATGAGTCAGGAAATCTTATTTATTTTAAACATTCAGAGAAAAAAAAGTGCTTTTTACAGTTTGATTCTTGTCTCTAACAGGGAGAGTGTGCCATTGTGTCATCCATTAACGACAAAAACGACTGGAAGTCAGTCAAGAATGCACTGCAAGTCATTGACTTTGATGCAGAGAGCACTAATGTATGTTGGATCATGATGCAGATGCGTTCACAGCTGTTGCTTACACACAGCTTAATTAAAAGCGTGCTTCTGTCTTCAGCACCTGCTAGAGGTCGTTGCGAGTGTCCTCCACTTGGGGAACATTCAGTTTGACACCGACGAAAAAGGCCACGCCTGCTTAAACAATAACTCGGAGCTGAGCTGGGTTTCAAATGTACGAAACTTAAAATGGTACAAATGAATACAGTGGTGTCTTACGTAAATGTTTCTGGCAGCTTTTAGGCGTGGATGCCAAGAAGCTTCAGGAGGGGTTTACGTTCAGGAAGATTGAAGCCAAAACGGAGCAGGTTCAAAACGTTTTGATTCCGTTCCACGTTAAGATCCCATCTCCATATTTAGGTTACAGTTGTGATGTTTTTTCCCTTTACAGGTCTTCAGTCCGTTCACTGTTGACCACGCCATCTATGTCAGGGATGCTCTGGCTAAAGCCATCTATGGACAGACCTTTACCTGGCTGGTCAACAGGATCAATGAGTCCATGGAGAACAAGGTGAGGATTGGCTTATTTGAAAAAAAAAAGAAAGAAGAAAATAAGAGAAACAATCAAATATATTCTTTACAGATGTTTTTGTTTCCTAAAAGGATTCCTCACGGAAAACTGTTATTGGACTTTTGGATATTTATGGATTTGAGGTGTTCTATGTGAACAGGTGGGTGATGTTCTTTATCAACCAGGAGATAGAGTTTAGTTGACTCAGTCGTTGAAGATTACTCTTTGTCTTATATCAGTTTATTCGCTGATTTTCTTTTACTATCCTTCTGCCCTCAGCTTTGAGCAGTTCTGTATAAATTACTGCAACGAGAAGCTGCAGCAGCTTTTTATCCAACTGACTCTCAAGTCCGAGCAGGAAGAATATGAAGCAGAAGGAATCGAGGTAACTTCATAAAAACCTGATAGCATTTATTTTTGCTTTAATCTGAGTTTAATCCCACTTTATTATTGGTCTTAGTGGGAACCAGTTCAGTTCTTCAACAACAAAATAATCTGTGATCTGGTTGAGGAGAGACATAGAGGAATCATATCGCTGCTGGTGGGTATCTAAAGGCCATTAATTCATTAATTATAAAGGTAACTATGATGGGATTTGTTTGGATGTGTAAACATTAGTATCTATGTCACTAATGACGTGTAAATGAACATGGAACATTGTAAATGTTGTCTCCTGAACTGAACACTAGGTGGCAGCAGAGCACAATATGTATAGAGGTGTAGCATAGAGTTCAGGGGACGTTCTGCTGAGGGTTACAAACTGAATGCTGTGTATGCTTGTTTCCCCTGCTGTAATAAGGTTCTCATGGATGAAGTTGCTGTTTATCTGCTTTCTATCGACTAGAAAACATAACAGTAAAAATGTTGATTTTTTCTTTTCTTCATGAAGATTGATTTGTCATGATTCATTTAATTGTAGCTGTATTTGGTGCATGTTAAAGGTTTTATATGGTCTTGTAGCCCAGGCTCTGTAGTTTGTAGAGGTGCAGCTTGATGACATTTATTGAAATATAGGGCATTAAGTTTGATGCAAGACTTCCCATTTAATGATAGACTTTGTACCCTCCAATTGGGGGGTGCCCGGCGTTATTTTGTTCTAATCAATTAATCGTGATTAACGCATTAAATTCCTACCCCTAATCAATATAAACACATAAATTAAGGGTGAGATTTCTTCTACAGGACGAAGAGTGCCTCAGGCCTGGTGATGCTACAGATCTCACCTTCCTGGACAGACTCGAGGACAAGATGGGAAATCATCCCCACTTTGTCACGTGAGTCATAGTCTAAATATATTTTCCACAATAAAATGGTCTAAACTTACCATTTCCAACTGGAAATGATTTATTTGGATTTATCTATAAAATTTACTTTTACATCATCTCCTCCTGCAGGCACAGACTGGCCGACAAAATGACCCGTAAGACTCTGGAGAGAGGAGATTTCCGTCTCTTGCATTATGCCGGGGAGGTCACCTACTGTGTTGTAGGTAATAGGAGAGAATAATCTTGTTGATCTGTTGACTAAAAAAAACCCACCAATTTATTGTTGAACCAGAATCCAAATGTATGTATTTTTTTAATCATATTGCAGGTTTCCTGGATAAAAACAATAACCTGTTATACAGAAACATCAAAGACGTAAGCTCTAAATGAATTTATTTGACAAATTATTGTATTTAGGTGTAAAACTGTGTGACACCTCTCATACTTACAGCTAATCTGTCAGTCAAAGAATGCCATAATCAGTGAGTGCTTCTCATCCATGGACACCGACAACAGGAGAAGACCTGAAACGGTGAGTCAACCCGTGTTCAGCTCTTCAAATTCCTCATTTCTAACATCTAAAGTCTTATTTTATTTAAGAGAGAAGCCTCTCTGCTTTCACAATTAGCTTTACGGCTTTATCGTCCTTTAATCAGAACCAGTCTAATTGTAAAATTATTAAACTAAAGCTGCTGTGAACTGTTAATGACCCTCAGCTTGTGTCTGCAGGTAGCTACTCAGTTTAAAAACAGCCTCATGAAGCTGACGGAGATGCTGATGGCTAAAGAAGCCTGGTACATACGCTGCCTGAAATCCAATGAGTCCAAACAGCCAGGTACATCAGCCAAGAAGAGGCAAACGGGAACAAATTAAGTCTGTTTGATTTGGACTAAATCGTGCTTTTTGGCTGTCTGGACCTCTGTGACAACCACAGATCAGTTTGATGAAGCACTGATCAGACATCAGGTGAAGTATCTGGGCCTGATGGAGCACCTCAGAGTCAGACGAGCTGGATTCGCTTATCGACGGAAATATGAGGACTTCTTAAAGAGGTAGTGAAAGATCATGTTCATCCTTGTAGATTCATTTTTAATTTTCAGTTTAAAACAAGAAAGAAAAAGGATCTACGTGGGTTATTTGTCCCATTTTGCAGATACAAACCCCTGTGTCCAGCTACATGGCCTCACTGGAGAGGACTACCCGCTGACGGCGTCGAGCTGCTGGTTCAGCATCTGGGTTACCTGCCTGATGAGTACAGAATGGGACGGTGAGGAATGTGTTATAATTCAGACTGAATTCACTGTAAAGGCAGGAACAAAAAGAATAATATCCGTTGTTGATTTTCATAGAACCAAAATCTTCATCCGCCATCCCAGAACACTTTATGCCACAGAGGACGCCTATGAGAGATGTAAACATGAACTGGGTGAGTTAATGTAAAACCTTAGAAGCTTTCATCATCCCTGTTAGTCGACTAATTCAGTTTCGTGTTCTGGATTTGCAGCAACGCGACTGCAGGCCAAGTACAAAGGCTACAAGGCAAAGGGAGAGTTCAGAAAACAGAAGGAAGCTGGTAATGCACAGCCTTCCGTGGTGCTGTTAAAGAGCAGCTTCTCTGAAAAACCATTTTTACTCACTGTTTTTGAAAATTGTGGTCACTCTGAGTTTAACATGCAGGCTGAGCATGAAAATAGTCTCCTACACCTTTCACCTGGGTTAGCTTAGAACATAGATGGAGAAACTCTAGGATTTGAAAAGCCTGATAGAGCTATGTCACACTTTCACTTCACATTTGTGGACTGTTTAACATCTAGGAAACATCAGAAAACGTCTCAGCTAGCAGAAGCTAATCGTTAGCATTAGCAACTCCACCACACCTCCTTCAGGATAGTGTTGTTTGTGGAAATAAAACATCAGTGTTGCATTGCGAGCAGAGTCAGTGGTAAAGTCACATTGATGTTTGCCAATCCGAGGCGAGATGTCCAAATATCAGGAAATAAGACTCCAAATCCTGACGTCTGAACCTACTTTCTCCTTTGGCTGAATTCTTCGTGCTGAAACAGGTGCACCAGAGCTTTTTTCCCCAGAGAATGACTTACAAGGCATTCATTACTACTAGAGATCGCTGCAATTGTATTAAAAATATAAGTAAAGTTCTTCTTCAAAGCTTTTTGTTTTTAATTTTAAATGCATAAAAATGTGATTTTTTTTGTGGCTGAAAATATTCAAACTTTTGTTTTTATTATCAATATAGACCCTCCAGAGAGCTTTAAAATTTCCACTAACCATTTCTGCACATCAGCTCGGAGAAAGGTTCACAGATCCTTCTTTATGGAAAAGATTCTCCTGTTAAAGTTTCTTCAAAACCTGAATGAAAAAACATCTACAATTTTTGACATTAAATTTTTTAAAAGGTCTTGTTTCATTGCTCACTAATCGTTTACATCAGATTGCCTGATGTTTTTCATTCAAACTCTTTTGTTCCATTAATGAAACAACCTAACAGGCCCAAACCGTAATACTTCCACCGCCATGCTTTATCGGTACAATAAGGTACTTGTGCTTTAGTGCAGCATAGCAGATTTTGGTGTTCGTGGACTTACAATGTTTTTCAGTAACTTCCAGCTTTAAAACGTAAACGTTTTAAAAGTTTTAAGCTATATTTGTTCAGACAAAATGGAGAAAAAAAAACACTCTAAAACACAGAGACAAGTGAAAACAAGTATGCTGTACATCAAAAGTTATAAAAAATAAAGCAACCTTCAATTTATTTTCATCTTCTCAGCGACTAAGATTGAAACTTGTTGGAGAGGAGCGCAGGCGAGGAAGGAAAAAGAGAAACGAGCCTGGGCCGTAAAGGTCATCAAGAAGTAAGGGTCAAAGTCTCACATTATAATGGTCATATTTCTATTTAAACGATAAAAGTGGATGTTTTCCTGTCTTTTACAGGTTTATCAAAGCGTACATGAACAGAGGACAATTAAAAACCACTGATAACTCCGAGTACCTGGCCTTTGTGAGACAGAGTTACCTAAACAGACTCAAAAACAGTCTGCCAAAGACGGTTCTGGATAAAACCACCTGGCTAACTCCACCGGCTGTGATGACAGAGGTACTCCATCACAAAATAACTCACAAGAAATTTGTATTTCAACTCTGTGGCTGATTGATTGTCTCTCAGGCATCTGGGCTACTGCGTAAGATCCACTACCGTCTAATGGTGAGGAAGTACGTGAGAGGAGTCACACCCCAGAGGAAAGCACAAGTGAGACACATCCACCCAGTCTGGAGAACCATTCCACATTTGTAAAAATCAAATCCTTATTTTTATTTTTCTTGTCTTTCAGCTCCAGCTGAAGGTTGTCACCAGTTCTATCTTTAAAGGTAAAAAAGAAAGCTACCCAAAGAGCATCCCTCAACCTTTTGTGGACACAAGAATCAGTGAGTCTCCCACACAAGTTACCGAATGTCATTTTATTTCTGATCGATGACATTAACGCAAACTACCGCCTCCAGGTGACCAAGACATAAACATGAGGATTCTGAGTATGATTCGCAATGAGCACATTAAGGTAATTACATCATCGGAGCCCCTAAAAGTATCAGAACACCAAAAAGTGCTGAATGTGTGGTCGTGTTTCTGCAGTACAGTGTTCCAGTGATTAAATATGACAGAAACGGCTTCAAACCGAGGCCCAGGCAGCTTATTCTGACTCAGGCTGCTGCCTACATGGTTGAGGAAGCCAAGATCAAACAGAGAGTGGCGTACAGCTCTCTCAAAGGTCAGGCCTGCATGATAAGTCACCAGCCGTGTTCTTGTGCTGAGGTCAAGGCTGATTTCTGACTCAATTTAGGGATTTCTGTAAGCAACTTAACCGATGACATCATCATAATCCATGTAACACGTGAAGACCCCAAACAAAAGGTAAGGCATTATGGAACAGGCAGGAAGACTAATGTAGTTTATAGTATCAATATAATCAATCTGAAGACATAAGAGGTTAAGGGTCTTCTAAATAAACTCATTGTATCGTACTCGGGTTGTTTTAAGGGGGATCTGGTCTTTCAGTGCGACCACTTGTTTGAGTTTTTGACCAAACTTAGCGTCATCGCTAAAAAGGAGAATGTCGTCAAAGTCGTTCAGGGCAGGTGAGTCAGCGCTTTAAGATGTAAAGACATAACTTTAGAACGAGTTGTGATAACGGCACACTTGCATGTAATTTTCCAGCATAAAGTTTGAAATCCAGCCAGGGAAAGAGGGCGTGGTAGACTTTAGCACCGGGCAGGAGCCGATGGCGTACAAAGCCAAGAACGGACACCTCATGGTGGTGAGTTCTGTCTGTTAATGAAGTGGACGGGTTGATGCTCCATTTAATGGCCTGAAGGTAATTTGCAAAGAAAGAGACACCACATGACTCAGGCGGTTTGTCTCTGCAGGTTGCCACTCGAGCAAGGACACGCTGACGCGCGGGGCCGAAGAGGAGACAAGTCGCCCCTACATATTTCATCAGGAGACCCCTTAAGGAGAGGATCGTGTCTACACGACACGCCTGATCTGAGCCAGCAGAGCCCATGGTGCATCTGGGATGAGCTTGTTTATTTTTAAAAAATCATCTCAACTTCACAATTAAACTACCAAATCTTTCTGTGCTTTAGCAAAGGTTTCACTCTAGTTTAGAATATTATTTAAGTGTGTTAATCTGAGATCCTAGTCATGAAGCCATATGTATAATAGTTTTGTATGTTCACTCATGGAAGTATTACAATTAAAAACAAAAGAAAAGGTTTATACAAATTTATTTGTGATGATGTATAAATATAAAACATACATTTATGTTTACTCTTTGGACTACAGACCGACACAAACTAACTGACTGAGCTCAGACGGTACAGTCTGTGATGAATACGCCGATGAAGGATGAATGTCTCCCTGTTAAAAAGCATGTAGACAGGGTTTCCTTCCTGCTGCTGGGATCTCCAGTTACAGTCATTCACTATAACCTCAGCAGACATTATTCAATCAGCCTGGCACATTTAACACCTCAGGTCACAGCTCAAGTTCCCTCCACTGAAACACAAGGATTCGTTTAGTGGAGTGAAGGGTCAAACATCAATGTTAAAACTAAATACTGTGAAATGTTCATATTTTTGTGACATCTCATTATTTTAGATATTTGCTGTAATCAGCAGGCAACAAGTTAGCTGTAGTGACACATAAGAGTAAAACAGTACCACCATGTGGCCACGTTGTGAACAGCCACTTTTTTCCCACTGATGACCACAAAGTAGGCGTGTCAGAACTAGCGAGGAGAAGCTGAATAATCTACTTTAGTTTTTACTGGTTACATGATCTAACTCGTATACGTCACATACACTGGACCTTTAAATATTTTCTGCACAGTTCTCCTTCCCCACAAACACACTGGCTAAACTGGACGCCTGTTGTGCTGAAAGCAAACATCCATGTAATCTCCTGCTGAAGAAACTATTCTGTCTAATAAACATACAAAAAAAAAAAAAAAGGACAATACACCACTGCCTGAGAGCTCGACAAGTAGGACAAAAACACACACATTCCACCTCTACACACTGCTGTATGACACTCGTCTCACAGTCGTCTTCTGGAGGAGCTGGTAGGAGAAGATTGGAGGTCAAGAGAGGTGCTGGGTGTTCTAAGGCACACGCATGGCGCAGAGACTGTCCAGAATCAGAGAAACGGGCTGCTGGGTCTGAACAGGGAGGTCACTGGTGGTGGTGTGTGCGATCATCTGGTCGTTTGACGTGAATCTTACGAACGCGATCGTCGTCATCCAGATGATTGGGTCGTCCTGCCGCACCACCTGTGGCCTCTAGCAGAGCGTTATCTGGACCCCGACCATCATGGGCCTCATACAAAAGGATGTTGAGGGTCTCCTCATAAATTCGTGCCTCGGGGAACTCAACCTTGAAGTAATGAGAGATGTGTAGAAAAGTTTAGCTTTAAGCAAAAACAAAAAAGAAGAAGGGAGGTGTTGCAAAGGACAGCAGGTGAATCATTACCTTTGTCTGTTTCTTCTCTGTGGCATAAACGATGGAGGTGCAACACACTTCGGCAATCTTACGACCCTGGCCATAAAATGACCAACAGCAGATCTCATCCCCGATCACATCTTTGATGAAGAGAACTCGGCCATTGAACCGCAGTGACAACTTGTCAAACAGCTCGATATTTTTCAGCATGTTGTCATCAGAATTGCTGGATAGGAGTAAAAAGAATCACAAAAACAAAGAATTTTCATTGGCAAAGGACAAATCCTGAAAATTTAGGGCTAAGTGTTCTAATTTCATGAAGAAAACTCACCTAGTATATGAATATTTGTTGTTGCTTCTGTTATACAGCAGTTTCACAGTGGGCTGTAAAGAAAACAGTCATTTACAAAGACAGAGATCTCCCCTGTACAAGTAGCCAGGGTGCATGATCAATCAAGTCACAGTGACAGGACACTCACACTGTCATAGACGCATGACATTCTGTCTCAATCTGTCCCCCTGCTGATATTCTGCAGGGGTGGACCTTTAAAGCGCCCGAGCGCCAATGGTGCTAAATTTTCTCGTCGGGCGGTAAATACTTGACGACTTACCGCCCGGGTGGCGCCCAAGCCTTGTTTGTCATTTACACACCGGCTTTCATCTACATCATGGCCGTGCCCTGTAGGAAGCCGCCGTTTTTGTTTTGCGCGCGTGAACCTGCGCGCCTCTAGCCACGTATTGCACGATTCTAGTTATAGTCACATGAACTATAAGTTCACTATTACAGACGAAGTGGAACCACGCTAGAAACACACAAGCACGCAGGAAGATGGCGCCACCACAGGGATGGGATTTCTTGATGAAATCTCAAAACAAAACGCTTTAAAACTGGTGAGGAGAAGCGAGATAGTTCGAAACGGTATGAAGCAGAGAGGCGTGTGCGTAGGTGGAATGATTTTTGGCGGTTTAAAGAAGACGGGAGGCGCAGAGAAAGGCCGTGTTCGAGTTGAGCAGCGCCTCGCCTGGAAAACAGACGAGAGCAGACGGAAGCAGCAGGGGGAGTGGCTGAAAGCCGGTGTTTAAGTCGGACAGATTTCCCTACATGTGTAGCTCGGGGGTGACGATGGCTGAAGATATCGCGTTAGCGTTCACACTTGTTCAATTTTCCATTTTAATTCTGGTGCCTGTTATCAGCTGAAACACATCCTCACGTGCTTCTGGATATCATATATTCTATATGAAAATATGACTGTAATAATAAGTAAAGGTTAGCAGCTGTAGCTTCAGTGTGCTCATAGGAAACGTGACAAAAGAACACAAAACACATTTCTCTTTGTGGCCTATATAGTTGTCATCATCAACATAACATGATTTACAGAATACATGTGACCAACTAACATTTCATGTTCTACCACCGGATGTTTGGATCAAAATATGAACCAATCAGATCTTAGATCAGGTGAGAACCAGGCGTTTCCCATCATGCCCTAGGTTTTGCAGCCGAGGGAGAGCAACTGCAGCGCCTTGCTCCAAAATCTGCGGCCGCCTTGATCTCACGAGGTTATCGTTGCCTACGTATGCATGACGTCAGAGCAAGTCGGCGTCAAGTCGGACACAAAGCTAACCGGCATGCACTGCTCGCCGATCACCGCTGGTCTAATCTGCGCAGAACTGGCTCATCTCGAACACAATCAATGGCTCGAGTACAGCAAAGCGGAGGAGGTGATGTACTGCATTGTATGTCAGAAGTATGCGACGACAAAATCGAGTTTTGTTGAGGGAACAAACAAATTCAAACTTGAATACGTTATTATGTTTGTGAATGTGTACAAAATGAAGGTTTATTACATTTAAAACGGTTCAGTTGTTATTTTGACTCGTTTTGGCAGCTGACCAGAGGGGGCGGTAGATTCTTGGCGGGGCCGGTAAATATTCAGAGTTACCGGCCCGGCTGGCCGGTTGGTTTTGAAGTTAATGTCCACCCCTGTTCTGCATTCCGTATTCTGCGCTTCAGGCTGTGTGTGTGTGTGTGTGTGTGTGTGTGCACGTGCGCCACAGATCTCTCTGAAGAATTCACAACATTGACGGCTTTCAGCAACACTGTGCCACTTCGTGGATTTTCTCTTATTTGTTTTGAAAAAGCCCTTCCTTTCACTTGTTCTGTGTGAAAACAAAGCAGTACAAGTGATAATGCTGCAGGATTTCATAATTGTATCCTTCTCAGCAGCAGCACTGCAGGTGCTCTCCATGTCCAGAATGTGCGTAAGCAAGGTCCTTAGTCAACTTCCCACTAAGTTTTCTTTCATAAATCCCAAAGTTTGCGTGGAAAGTTGCTTATGCAGTTTTCCGACCCCGTTTTGTGCGTAAGCAAGCTTGATAAATGAGGCCCCTGGGCTTTTGCCCCAGACAGACTCATGGCTGTTTAAACGCTGTTCTGGATGAATCCTTGCTCTGCTGCCACGCTGGATTCGAAGTGGGTGCTGAAAAATGAGGGCAACTTCAGCCAAAGTTTTACAATCAGGAAACAATTCTTCATATGAAATAACCAGAAGTCTACCGGACTCTCTGAAAGATGGAAAGGTTTCCACTTCCCAGATCTAGAAGCACTTAATATCGCGCTCTTATGAACAATGCCGAGTGCATCACAGATGCACTCCGAGCTCCTCTTCAGCGTGCTGTAATGAGCACTGTCAGTAGCAGGATGTGGAGAATGTGTGAGATAATACTCAAATGCACTGATGGAAATCTTTTCTTGATTGATTGCATTACCTCTGTGATGTTCTCTGTGCGCAACATGTAAAATATCTGTGCAAGTGCATGAGCCATTAACAAACGTACACACGGCTAAATAAATAAATAAACAAATAGCCTCTTGTAAAAACAACCATAACGGCTCACCCGTTCGTCGACGGTCAAATATTTTGTCCCAACCCAAATTTACATAAAAAATACAAATACCCTTTTTGAGGTTGCGATGAGTCTCTGCTCTTCTTTAGATGATGTCATGAGAGGCACTTTGCAAAGGGGTTCATATGTTTCTTTGTTCTGAAATGAAAAATAATTTTTAAATTTAAAATAAAAAAAACATAAAGACACATTAAGCCCGTTTAAAAAACTTTTTAAACATTATTATTATGCAGTTTAGAATTTATGCCAAGTAAATAAACTTGTTACCTGCAAAGCAGCCGTACATTCATCAGCAAGGCCTTGGACCAGGTAATACTTGGCTTCAGCAAGGAGCTCCTCAGTTTCTCGACGGCTGTCTGGGAGCGGGACAGCTCCGTCTCTAAGGTAGTTAAGGATTGTTCCAAAGTGTTTCCCACAGCGATCAATCAAAATCCAACCTATGAATATGAAATGATGAGCGATTAAGCCTTGTCAAAGGTCAAATCAGCAATGACAAACATCTCTCAAACTTTATATCCATGGCTCACCTTCGCTGTCCGTCAACACTTCCATCCTGCCACTGAACATAGCTTTGAGCATCGTGTCCTGTTTGGTAAGGGTCTGCATTGTAGTATAGTACAGAGCTCCACCCACATTTAGTTTCACATACTTTGAACTGGGGCTGGAGCCCTTGAAGGACGTGGTCCGTGTTGTAGCTGCCGGCACTGCCGAGCTCACCACTCTCTCTCCTGACATCTCTTCCTGGAGCAACAAGAGATAAAATAATGTGACATATGGATCTCAACAAAAAACTCTCATATTCGCACATCAGTCAGACATTATGTTGTGTTTTCACATGATCGGAAACTTTAATTTTGATAAGTGTGATCTTGGTCATCTTGATTATGTTTATTTAGGCCATTTAACCACTGTGGCCTCACTGCTTACAATACAATGTACTGAATATTTCGATTTTTGTTTAAATAAATAAAATAATCTGTGGCATTAATCTAATAATTTTAGATGTCAATAGGGAGGATTAAATGAGCAGAGATGTCTAAATATGAGACTTTTATATAGCATTATTTACAAAAACTATTGGAAATAACTGAACAATTGCTGAAGTTGTGAAAATCGCAAAGAGAACAGCTTTAGATTTTACGAGAAACCCGACGATCGTACTTTACAAAGAACGTTTTATATTTTGTTTGTAAAGCTGATACGTAGTTCTTTTTCTAAAACATTTAACTTTATTGTAATGGCCACTGTGAGCTAGCAAGCAAGTTAGCATTAGCTGATACCGATAGGGTTCACTACCAAATGTCAACAATTACTGTCGAACGAACTCTATAAAATGTCCTTTCATATAATGTAAGTAGCGCAACATGAATTTGCCTTTGTAAATGTAAATACATATTTACCATAGAACCCACAGCAGACTTCGTAAGCGTAGCTTGCCAACGCCAGTCAGCTAACACCTACTTCCTTCCGGTGTTGTGCCCAAAAAAGCACCTCTGCGGCGACAGGGCCCGACACTTGTGTTCACTGATGAAAAGGTTGAATTATTCTTTACTATCAGCATTCTTAGTTTCTAAAGATGGGATTATAATTATACACAAACGGGACGATTATTTTTCACCAGAGTATTGCAAAACTATAACATTCGCATCATTTATCAACATAAATATTTCAACTGTTAAATTAAATATTTTAGGACAATTGTAGAAAAGAAATTCTGAATAACGCTTAAAATGCTTCTTTCCAGAACAGGGTGGTAGGGTACATTTTTCGACACAACACCCATTGTACCGTGAAAATGACGTTATCACAGACCGATTATATTATTTTGTAAATATTATAGAATTTTCAAATAAATATAAATGACAACAGTAATTTAGCAGTACTGTAATTTTCCCATATTTTGTACATTAATTTTGGTTAACGACAAAATAGGAAAACGACACTTCCTTGACTCTGGACATTTCCGCTGACGGAGTAACAGTGAAAACAGTCCCCTCTCCGTAGCCCACCCAACTCAGCAGAGGAAATCTATATTCACCACAAAAAGCCGAAAGTCACCCGTTTTTACTACATAAAAATGAGCTCATTTGGCAAATTTGAGATTTTTAAAATTGTATTAAATCTTTTATTGTCATTTGTTTACGAGCATAAAGGTTGCCCGGAATCATTTCGAGCGGCACAAGGGATTAATGGCTGAAGTCAATGAAGGGATCTCATCTCATTGTTTACATTTCAAAACGGTGTGTTTCTTGCGTTAGAAAAATTGACATCGATACAGGATAATATATTAGCCTAAAACAATGCTATGTATCTTTGAATGTATGTAAAATTTACCTTATAGTTGGCAAGTCGCAAACTAGCTCTTGAGAGCTAACAGTCGCTGCTTCACCCTCCACTGTGTCGTTATTTGCTTCAAAGATGCCAAGTTAGCCCTCTTGTTCTTTTGCCTTCCTCATGTTTGGATGTCACAGACAGCCAAATGATTGAAATAGTATAGCGACAGGTGAGGCTGAAGGCCAAACAACATCTTGCCATCTTCAGACTCAGGTAAATTCATCATTAAGCTCAAACAACTACTTTATGGGATGTAAACATACCGGCTGGAACGCCTTTTTAAATAGCCATCAACACCATCACGCAGACTGCAGAAGCTTCATGGTTTGTATTATTTTATATATTTCTAGGGTGCACAATGTTTAGTGTCCCTCAAAGCTCCAAGTCCGAGTTCCTGGACAAAGCCAGGCAGGCTAGAGAAGAAAGAAAGGGACAGAAAGAGAAGGAGAAATCAGCAATCCTCATTCAAGCTCTGATCCGGAGATTCCTCTGTCGCTGCAGGCTCCAGAAGCAAATAAGGTGAGCAGTTTTAACTTGTAAATGTTTTGTAAGCAATTGTTTCTCAGCTTCAATTGTTTTCTTTAACCTTTCAATAATTGTCTTACCAGGAAGGAAGTTGACGACTATTTTCAAACCTCTGAAACTGGCACAACAAAAAGAAATGCACTTTCAATTTTAAAAATAGCTCGGAAACTACTATTTATTTATGGCCAAGAGGATAAGATGGTGAGTTAGTTGCTGTTGCATTTGTAACAGTTACCCTACATGAATAACTTTTTAGTGTTGCAGTAAAACCACATGACCCCCCCCCCCCCCCCCATTAGTGTGAATATGACACACCTTGCTAAGAATGAGGTTATAAAATTCAAATACTATGTTTTTAGATGTTCTCTTGCCTTAATAATCACACCGTCACATGTCTAAGAACAAATAACTTTAAAATATAAATATTTATTTACATAGATGCTTGGAAAGATCTAAAGTCTCTCTTAAAACTATTAATCAGCTCTGGTCTGTGTAATATAAATAGTTGTGTTTTTTTAGCGATTTGAAAAACTCTGCCGCGCTATTCTGGCCAGCATGGAGGTGGAAAACGAACCTAAAGTGAGTGTTTAATAAAGATACCCTTCACATATCAGACACACGAGTTGAAATTTTACTTATTTCAATTACATTTCTCAAATTAAACCCTTAGGTGTGGTATGTTTCAATGGCTCTCTCCAAAGACCTCACTATTCCCTGGCTAAAACAGATCAAAGATGTTTTGTGGACGTGCTGTCAACTTTTGAAAAATCTAAAGGTTAGTAAAAAGTAGCTTCTGTACATTTTATTTTATTTTACCATAGTAACGGTAGATGAAGCAGTGTTGTTTGTGATTTTTAGCCTGACATCCTCCAAGACAACAAGCTGGTTACATTGTACCTCACCATGCTGGTGACCTTCACTGACACGTCAACATGGCGGATTGTCAGAGGGAAGGGTGAGTTTCTTGTGTAAACACGCCTATCATTATTACAGGATGTCCTTTATTCAGATAGAAACGTAACATCAACACCAATGTTGCAGGTGAAGCCCTCAGACCAGCTTTGACAAAGATATGTGAGAACATCATGGGCCATCTCAACCAAAAGGGATTCTATTCGATGCTGCAGGTTCACCACAACTCCTCATAATTCTTCTCTAATGTCACTCAGCTGTTGTTTTAACAATGCACTCACTGTATGTCCTGTTTTTTACTTATCAGATCTTGCTGTCTAATGGCTTGGCTCGCTCTAAACCATCTCTCTCCAAAGGCACCCTGACAGCCATCTTTACTTTGTCAATGAGGTAAGTTGGTATTCCAGTGTTATGTAAGTGGAGAAACAATAATAGTGGTAGTTTATTTTTATCTGTGTTTATGTTCCGGTTTACTTGTCATTGATTTTGTCTCGAGGCTTCATTTGAAAATGAACCAAATCTTTTGCAGGCCGGTCGTTGCTGCTCACTTCTCTGAAAACCTGCTGAGATCATTCCTCATCCACATCATGTCCGTTCCTGCCATCGTTTACCACCTTAATGTGTTAACCCCAGAGGTAAAACCCTGTTGCTGTCATGCTACACATTTTATGTGAACTGCTGGAGTTTACCCCAATATCTGCTCTGACTCAACAGTGCATGGCGTCCATTCAGAGTCATGGCCTGCTGCGAAAGTTCATTTTGTTTCTCAGTCGGGAAGAACAGTGCCTGGACATTTGTGTTTGTCTTGAGGGCAGCCACACGCTCTGCTTGCTTGGTATATTTTTTGATGAGTTTTAATTATAGTATTTAACACTTTATTATGGAGACTTTGTATAAAATATATCTAAAAAGCTTTGAATTGTTACTTTTAACCAGGAAACCTGATTTATCTGGGCTACCTTAACGAGAAAGTCGTGGAAGAGGAGGCTAATCATTTTGTGAAGGACCTGACTGACATGCTGTCGTATTGCCAGAGATATGTTTCACAAAAGAAGTCCAACTTAACCCACTGGCACCCCGTCCTGGGCTGGTTCTCTCAAACTGTAGACTACGGGTCAGTTTGAACATCTAACATGTCTTTAATAATTTCCTAACTAACATGTATTTGACAAAGCTTTTTGATAGACGGATCGGTGCTGCGTCTACAGCACTGCGAGCGTTCTACTGGCCTGTTGTGGTGAAGAGAGAGCTGAGCCGGAAGGCGAAGCTCTGAATTTACTGGTTGATCCCCGTTCCCACCCTTGCCTATGGTCATGAGCTTTGGGTAGTGACCGAAAGAACGAGATTGCAGATACAAGCATCTCGGAGTAGAACCACTGCTCCTCCAAGTCGAGAGGAGCCAGTTGAGGTGGCGTGGGCATCTAGTTAGGATGCCTCCTGGACGCCTCCCTGGTGAGATTTTCTGGGCACATCCAACGAAAAGGAGATCCAAGGGAATACCCAGGACACGCTAGAGGGACTGTGTTTCTCGGCTGGCCAGGGAACGCCTTGGGATTCCCCTGGAAGAGCTGGCTCAAGTGAGGAGACGGAAGTCTAGGCCTCTCTGCTCAGGTTGCAGCCCCCGCAACCCGACTCCAGATCAACAGTTGAAAATGGATGGATGACGAGGCTTTTGTTAAAGCTTAAAGAACAAGTTCACTGAGAAACCGTTTTTTACTTTTAAAAAAATATGAGCAGCCATGAAAGCCAATCAGATCTATGTCACACTGTCATTTAACATTCATGGAGTCACTCGTGTTGACTCATGACGGGGAAGGCTGTTGTTGGTTTGGCCTTCAGGAGAGAGCAGAGCATGTCTCGGCTAGTAGAAGCTAACTGTTAGCATTAGCAACTTCACAACATGGCAAGACTTTTTCAGGCTTGTGTTATTTGTGGAGATAAAAAATCAACGTTGCAACGAGTCAGTGGTAGATTTGTTGCTCTTAGCCAATGTGAGGCAAGATGTCCAAATATCAGGAAATGAGACCCCAAATCCTTCCGCCTGCTGCCCACCCCTCATCTGGCTCACTTCTACTTCATGAAACACGAGCGCTGGCTCTTTTTTCACACAGAGATCGACTCACAAGGCGTTCATTTATACTGAAGACCACTGAAGATGTGTTGAAAAAAATGAGTGAACTTGGTCTTTGAAGTTCCATTTATTTAAGGGTTACATTGTATCTTTTTTGGGTTAATTATTCTAAATTTTATTTCAATTAGTCATCTCTTTGTTTAAAAATAGTGGAAGATTCTTGACTTTGATTTCTTCTGCTCACGACTTTGTTTCCCTTTAGTCTAAATGAGTCGATGCCGCTGGTCACCAAGCAGCTCCAGTACCTCTGGGGCGTGTCTGTAATCCGAACGCTCTTCAGTGATGTCCTCTCTAAGAAGCTGGAGAGCCAGGAGGCCACTCCCCCTCCTCCTCAACCGAGCACGTCACAGAACAACCTGCCAGTTAAAAGTAAGACCCAAACCTTGTTCTGTTCTTTAAACAGGAACCAGTTTGTTTTCTTTTTGTTTCTGTGAGAAGGTGATGTGTTGATTTTCTACAGATCTATTCAAGAGAGCGTTTCAGAAGTCGGCTTCTGTACGAAACATTCTGAAACCGGTCGGAGGGAAGCGAGTCGACTCAGCTGAAGTTCAGAAAGTGTGCAGCATCTGTGTGCTCTACCAAACAGCACTTTCCACTCTGACACAAATACGCCTCCAGATACTCACTGGTCAGCGAAAGACTCTGACGTGTTGCCGTGTTACTCGTGCACGGTCATGGTCGTAATGACGTGTGTCTTGTCTGTTCTGGTTTTCTGCAGGTCTGACGCACCTTGATGATCTTTTACCCAAACTGTGGGCCTTCATCTGTGAGCTTGGTCCTCAGGGGGGCCTCAAGCTCTTCATGGAGTGTCTGAACAACGACACAGAGGAGTCCAAACAGCTGCTGGCCATGCTCATGCTGTTCTGTGACTGCTCACGTCACCTCATAACGTAATTTCTTCAAGTTTTAACATTTTTAATTACTCTCCACAAATGTAATTCTACTTAGTCGTTGGAAATAGCTTGCTGTGATTTTTGAAATGTACACAATATTGACAATTTGACAGAATTCTGGATGATATTGAAGTTTATGAAGAACAAACCTCTTTCAAGCTGGAGGAGCTTCTCACCATCTCCTCTTTTCTAAACACATTTGTGTACAAGATGATCTGGGACGGCATCTTAGGTGAGTGTGTGGCCTCACCCCGACTCCCCCTCCTTTTTATTAAGCTTATATTAATTGGATTTTTTTTATGAAAAGAAAATGCAAAAGGAGAGAAACTGGAGCTGTTCCACAGTGTTCACGGATGGCTGATGGTGCTTTATGAGCGGGACTGCCGGCGTAGATTCACTCCTGACGATCACTGGCTACGGAAGTAAACGCAAAGCTCCAAACTCTCTCCTTGTTTTTTGTTTCAGTCTTCATTTAATGACTTCATCGTCTAAGTGGTGAATGTCTCTGTTGGTGCATTCAGGGATCTGAAGCCCAGTTTGTTGTTCCAAGAGCTGGAAAAAGGCAAGAGAAGAGCCCAGCTTTTACTGCAGTACATCCCTCATGTCATCCCACATAAAAATGTGAGCACGCTGCAGTCTTTCATTCAAGCTGATGTCATTTTTACTTCCACATTTACATTTTATTATGTCCTTCATTTCAGAGGGTGCTGCTGTTCAGGAACATCGTCACAAAGGAAAAAGAGAGTTTAGGGTTGGTAGAGACGAGCTCCGCCTCGCCACACGTCACCCACATCACCATTCGCCGGTCGAGAATGCTCGAGGTATATCGTTAATAGCAGTGCGTCACTTTTTGGGTTGTTCCTGTATAACACTTGGATGCTCCTCCCTGAAGGATGGGTACGACCAGCTCCGCAGGTTACCTGTGAATTCCATAAAAGGTGTCATTCGTGTGAAGTTTGTAAACGACCTGGGAGTGGACGAGGCTGGAATCGATCAAGACGGTGTTTTCAAGGAGTTTCTAGAGGAGATCATTAAGAAAGTTTTCAATCCTGCTCTTAATTTGTTCAAGGTAACCCGATCAGCATCCTGCATTTCACCCATCCGTTTGGTTTGACAGCGTTTTTGTTTTCTTGCAGACGACGAGTGGAAACGAAAGGTTGTATCCATCACCTACTTCCTACATCCACGAGAATCACTTGCAGCTGTTTGAGTTTGTAGGGAAGATGCTCGGAAAAGCGGTTTATGAGGTGAATAGATTTCTAAAAGTGATTTATTTCCTCTTTCTGATGTTGTCGAGGTAAATCCTGAGAAACGTTTTGTTTTGTGTTCTCAGGGCATCGTCGTGGACGTCCCGTTTGCCTCCTTCTTCCTCAGTCAAGTCTTGGGACATCACCATAGCACCTTCTACAGCTCCATTGATGAGCTTCCCTCTCTGGACTCAGAGTTTTACAAAAACCTCACCTCCATCAAGGTCAGACGAGTTTACTTTTCCTCTAAACTTTTCTTATTTCTCCAGATTTTTATCTTCTGATGTCCTTTTTTCTTCTTGCTTCCTTTCAGCGTTATGATGGAGATGTGGGCGATCTGGGACTGACTTTGTCCTATGACGAAGATGTAATGGGGCAGGTGAATAAGCAAACTATAAAAACACGTTTTAATTTAGGCATCTATAACAAATTAAATTCACAAAATCATTAACTGTGTTTTACAGCTTGTCTGTCATGAGTTGATTCCTGGGGGGAAAACCATGCCGGTCACCAATGAAAACAAGTGAGTAAATTAAGATTTTATTAATAAATAAAAGTTCTGTGATTAGAAGTTGGTGGAAATTTTGAGTTCATCATCAACGTCCTCTGCAGGATCAGCTACATCCACCTGATGGCGCACTTCCGGATGCACACACAGATTAAAGAGCAAACGGCTGCTTTCATCCGGGGCTTCCGGAGCATCATTAATCCCGAGTGGCTGCACATGTTTTCCACACCTGAGGTTCAGCGGCTTATCTCAGGGGATAACGCCGAGATCGATCTAGACGATCTCAAGTATGACGCATCAATAGGAACAGGGCTGTTTGGTGTTGTCTCGTGCTGATTTAGTGGTTGCATGAAAACGCGTGTAATTATTTTTTGTTTTCTTCAGGAAACACACCGTCTACTATGGCGGTTTCCACAGCAGCCATCGGGTCATCATCTGGCTGTGGGACATCCTGTCTAGTGACTTTAACGCTGAAGAGAGGGCTATGTTCCTTAAAGTATGATTTGTGTTTGTTACTCTGCCTTTATTTCTGGTCACAGTGAGGTTTTATTTATTGCTGTTTTGAATGTTTTCGTTACAGTTTGTGACCAGCTGTTCAAGACCGCCGCTTCTAGGTTTTGCTTACCTCAAACCACCTTTCTCCATCCGATGTGTGGAAGTTTCAGATGATCAGGTGAGAGAAATTTAAAGTTTCCCTATGCTTAGGAAAGAGTTTTCATTTGATAGTATCTTTTAAAGCAACACCCAGTTGGTTTCTCGCCTCTCTCCCTACTGGCTGAAAGCGGGATTACAACTGTCGTAAACAACCCTGCCTCAGTCTGCTGTAGCTAGTGCTAACAACGAGCTAACGCTAACACTAGCCAACTGATACTAACCAAACTGTGAAAAAGATCCACACTGTTGGACACATTTTGTCTGTCACTTATAAGTCCAGCAGCAACAAAGACAGGTCACCATCCGGCCGTGATTTCATAGCACTGTTGGGGTTATTAGGAGCGAATAATTAGTAAGTTTTAACTTACTTTTGGATTCTTCAATAAGTTCTGTAAATATGGGAATATTTACTGAGTTATTAATTGATTAAGATACAATTAAGTATATACGGGGCACCATTCCCTTCAAACGGGGAAAAATTGAATCCAAAACTCTTATCAGTCTTTCTTGAAGTTCGAGGTCAGACCCTCAACAGCACCCTTCAGCTTCCTCAAACTAGTGTAGGCTGCACTGATTTTCACGCTGGTTTTAGACCTTTGCTTCGCCTCCAAAAACATTACTCTCTTCCTTTTACTTCCAGGCTCTGCCATGATGCCAACAAAAAAGGCAAACCTCTTCTTCTTCTTGTGCTTTTTATTGACGGTCTGCGAATTGAAAAAAGTGAACTACTTGCCTTTAAATGAGCTACCAGCACAGCTAACAGATATTACCATAAAACAGGTAGAGAGCTACCTCTATTGCTCATACCCGAACCACAAAACAGTTCGGTGCAGTTTCTGGTCAGAGGAGGGAACCAGATTGCTGTCTAATGTGAAGTTGCTCAAGTTTCTGGCTCACGAACCACTGAAACCAGTTTGAAAACAACAGTTTAAAGTATTGAAGCTCTTCAGTGTTGCTTAAAAAAACTGTTTGAGATTTTGAAATTTTGCCGTCTCCATACAGGACACTGGAGACACTCTTGGCAGCGTCCTCAGGGGCTTCTTCACAATCCGGAAGAAGGAGCCTGGTGGTCGACTTCCTACTTCGTCCACGTGCTTCAACCTCCTCAAGCTGCCCAACTACAGCAAGAAGAGCATCCTGCGTGACAAACTGCGCTACGCTATCAGTATGAACACCGGCTTCGAGCTCTCCTAACTGCTGCGATGGGACAATCTTCAACAGAAAGCTTGTGTGAACAAAGCGAGAGGCTCAGCTCACCTGGACAGCAGCCTTTCACTTTAAAGGGCCACCGGCTTGAACAAAAAGGGGGGGTTTAAAAAGACATGTAGAGTCTGATGTTGCTCCTTTTCCCTCCTATTAAACCTGGATGGGCTCTGATGGCGAGGAGTGGACTCCACTGCTCCTGTTGCACAGCAAATTTTTTAACACTTCCTGTCTTTCCTAAAGGAAAAGATCTGTTTCTCGGGCCTAACAGAGTCTTGAGTGTAAACCCCACTGTTTTAGCAGAACTGGAGAGCAATACAGATGAAGTGCAAGCCATTAGACAGATGATTGATTCACCTGAGTTTACCTGTACGGTTCGATGTCATCATCATGGAAACTTTTGGGCATTTTTTTTAGGAATGTTTTAAAGTTTTTCTGAAAAAAAAAGGAAAGTTAGTTCATGTTAAGAACCTGAATCAAAATCAAAATTTTTGTTTTTGCAGTGAGTTCATCAGAATATTCAGATTTTTATGTTTTCTCTACAGTTGAGATAAAATCGCCTGTTGTGTTGAAGCAGAAATGGCTTTTTTCCAGAGAATCCGACCATACTGTTTGATATAAAAGAAGATGTCTTCTCATCATTTACCTTTAAGGAAAAACAAAAACACCATGAACTGGAATTGTTTTGTCGATATTTGTATCTGCAGAGTGGAGCAGACGCAGCTGTCCCACGTGGTCTGTGCTCAACATCCACTGCAACAACACCCACTACGTTTGTGTATTTTCTACCTGGACACCATTCTCACTACATGTCGGACTTTTGCAGAGTGCCTCATGTTCCACCGTCACCCCTCTCCGTGACCCTATTTCAGCTCCAACCAAGAATAACAAATATTGGAACAAAGCCATAGAAATCAGGGCTGTGGTCCTGGACGTCTTCTCTCACAGGACAGAGCGGTAACTCAACCGCTCTACCACAACCGCCAGAGAGGGCTTGGCGTTAACTCACAAAAATCTCTGTGGACTTTTGAAGCAATGCGGGAAAGATTTTGAGGCCTGAAAACTTTTTGAAATGATGTCACGGACACGAACCTTCAACCAAATACAACAGCTGGATCAGACGGTGTTCCCTAGGAAGTGTGCACTTGTTTTAGTGGCTCGATGCTCTTTGATGGGAGTGGGGGTGGGGCAGTTAAGAATGTGACTGTGACCTTATCAACGTAAACTTTTACACAGGGTTCATTCAAACTGAAAAGGAGTTACGTTAATCTCAGAAAGGACTGCAACTTTTGCTCAGAGAGAATGTTCAAATCTTTATCGAGTTCTTTATTATGCAAAAAGACTTTTCTGTCATGAATGAGTATGTTGTTAGTGACTATATGGACACTAACTTATCTGGAAACTTATAAAGGTTTATAATTAAAAAACAAGTATATGAAGAAACGTTACTTCCTGTCTACTAATAAGATGTTCAGATCAGAGGCTCATACGTCAGTTTAGTACCGTTTTTAATTTTTATGAATTGGAAATGCTGCAAAAAGTTTTTTAGACACACAACTGTGTGTGTGTGTGTGTGTGTGAGAGAGAGAGAGAGTGATGAACAATACCTCTAATGCGCATTTTGATTCTTCTGATAAACTATGTCAGGAATGAGCTGGACTTTATTGTTTTAGTGGACTGCTAACACTAGCTTTCACCATCCAATCCCTTTTAGTAAAAATCACAACAAAACTTTCTGAAAAGGTTCCCACCCTCTTGTGAAAATGTAATCTCATCTCTCTGAAACTGGATGCACAAGAATGTTAAATGTGCTTGTTTTTAACAAAAGGATTCTCGTGTTATATTTGTCTACACGTATGATAGTTTTTCATCCTGTCATGTTAAATCCAGTGTTATATAAACCATTTAAACCATTAAAGGAGACATGTTATATGTTTTTTCCTTAAGTTGAAATAGTGCTATTGTTAGGTAATTTAATTTTATCCCATATTACCTTAAAGGACGACACACCCTTTGATAGAGAGAGAGAGAGTAAATTGATTATTTGTAATGTCCATGTGCGTGACTCAACCAGCCCCCATGTCCATGTGTGTGGCTCAACCAGCCCCCCCTCTGCTCCAGCCTCAGAGCCTTCACCTCACCAGCTCTGCATACCTGCATTCTCCATCAGCAGACTAGAATGTTAGGTAATATTTAATCTCCATAACCCTGGAACCTGTAATAACACACATGACAACAAGGAAGACATTTTACCCTGAGTCTCCAAAACATGGAGAGTTAACGCAGAGAAACCTCCTCCGGGGCTTCCCCACGTCACTCCCGTGTGTCCCCAGCTCGTCAGGGGCTTTATTCACCAAGGATGGGGGAGAAGGTGGGCCTTCTCAGGTTACAGAGGTACAGTTTTCTTACAATCAACATCCTTGCTCAACCTTTCATGAACAGCAACAGTTGGCCATCTTTTAGGCCTCAAAAAGGTACAATTATAAAAATACCCAACAGCTATGGTCGATGCTAAACAATTTTAGGAAATTCTTTGCTTTAAATCTCTCTCACATAAAGCAATTTTAGCTGTTTTATTCTTTACATTTTCAGTACCTTCCAGTTAGAGCCGTTTCAGGTCTCTGTCACTTCAAAAAAACAAGCTGGAGCTGGCCATGTCCACCCATACTCCACTCAAGCTGCTATAAGCTGAGAAGCTCTGACATTTGGGAGGGGCTCGGATAAGAGCCGCTGCTCCTCCAGCAGCAGCCCTTTTGCACGTGAGAGGGGATCTGTTCTAATTCAGCTGTTTAAAATGGCTTGCTTTAGGCACATAAATCCTAAAACCAAACACTTACAGAAAACAGAAGGATGCTCCCCCCCCCCCCCATATTTGAAGTGTTTATGAAGGCAGTAGAAACCAACATGGATGCACATAAAGATACAAAAGGTGAGTTTTGCGTAATGTGTCCCCTTTAAAACAAATCTGGTGTTTCCCCTCTCAGATTAAACTAATGACTGATTAAAAACACCTGTTTAGTTACATCTCATGGAGCCACTCTGTGGTCTGCTGTGGATCAGTGGCTGCAAACTGGCCAATCTTCAGGTTTTGTTCCCCTGAATGCCACACAGGAAGGATTACATTGTAAATGTTCAGTCCTGAGTCAAACTCTCCTCTGTGCTGCTCACTGCTGCTGCTCCCTACGAGGAGGTGATCGGTGCAACTTTCTCTGCTGCCTCAGCCTGAAAATCAAAGATGAGCTGCCCACAGAGTCCCTCTCCAACCAGATGGTTCAAAGCGCTCCGCAGGTAAATGTATCTTAAATTTGCCGATCGAAGGAACAGCAGGTTAACATGCAGAAGGTAGAGTGATAATGATAGAAAGTGTGTTTAGATAAAAGCACTTCACTGTTCCAGGAGCAGACTGGGCGAGCCCTGTTTGAAGACACACCCTTTAGAGTGTGTGGATCTGCTGAGGAGGGCTAGGGATGCCTTTCAGTCTGGACGGACCTTGAAAGAAGACTTCAGACTGGCCCAGCTGGAGGCTGTGGTGCGTATGCTGGAGGAACACGAGTGTGACTTTGTGAATGCTCTTGGAAGAGACCTTCGCAAGGTAAGAGCCGATGCTTCCTGACAATCTGGCTTTGTGACATTCTGATCCACGCGTTTGATATCTTCGTACATTTGTTTGCATTTGTTCACTGTCAGCCACGATTTGAAACAGTTGTGTTTGAGTTGATCACTGTCAAGAATGAGGCTCTTCACGCCATCAGCAACCTTAAGAAGTGGATGCAGCCGCAGCCTGTGGAAAAGAACCTGGTGGGACCGCCGTTTGCACCATTTCACCAAAATGTCTTTCATAACAACGTGAATGGGATTATTCAAGGTTCACAGACCATTTTTGAGGAAAACATTCCAGTCTGGCTGCTAAAAGAAGCATGATGTTGCTCAACCCAGTAAAGCAGATTAACTTTGCCTTGACCTATTCTCAGGAAATCTGATTTATTTTTCCTGCTAGTTGACCTTTGACCTGCAGGCTTGATCTGTAACCTGTTGAACTTGGTGCAGTCCACCACCCTGGACGAGTGTCTGGTGATCCGGGAGCCACTGGGGGTGGTGCTGATCATGGGGACCTGGTGCAGTCCAGTGCAGCTGTGTCTGGTGCCGCTGGTTGGGGCCATTGCTGCAGGTTGGGTTTAGCTTTTGCACAGGTTTAAAACCACCCTCCCAGCCTCTGTGATGCTTATTCTTGTTCCTGTAGGAAACTGTGCACTCATCAGTCCATCAGAGTACACTGTGCACACAGCAGAGCTCCTCCACCGCCTCGTCCCCTTCTACTTGGACAATGTAAGTAAGCATTCTGCAACAAAGGTATTTACAGAGATTAAGGTGTGTTTCAAATCCATTGAAAATAAAACTTTTGAGCAGAAAAACAGTAATTTAAAGGTTAACAGGAATTAAGTGCTGGCAAGTAAGTGATTTTTATTTTATTTGCTGGAAAAAAAAATTCAGGGAATTCGGAGGTGTTTTGGGTTGATTAATGAATGTAAAATAGAAATTATGAGGATCAAAACACTAAAGAAATAAAATTGTGCCAATGTTAGAGGGGAAATGTTTATATTTGAAGCTGTTTTATGAGTCTAAGATGTGTAAAGAGTTCTTTTTGGGACTCAACAGAGATCATAATTGATTTATTATCCACATTTTGCTGTTAAAAACATTAAAAATAAAACAAAAAACTGCTGTGTAAGATTTTTAAGTACACTTAATTATTTTCATAAGTCATTTTTGCTTTTTTTGTTGTTTAAATTTTTGCTTCAAAACAATGTTTCCCTTTTTAAGCCTTTGAGGTTGTATGAATCCAAAAATATAACTTGAAGTGAAGCTGTCATTTGTACCAACTGTGTAGAAGTAGCATCAATAAAAGCTTGATTATTTGGATTCAAGTTTTTCTTTTACTTTTTCTCATTTTTGTTGAACTACAACTCCATGATGATAACTGTTTCAGGTAATTCTAGACTAACTTTTGGAGGCTGCAGTTAAAATAAAATTAGTTTAATCATTTTATGGTAAATAGTCCCTGAGAACAGTAAAACATGGTGTTTGTACGTTTGATCATCCAGACTTAAACTGCTGCAAAAAAAGTTGCTGTTTTGGGCAAAGCTCAACTAAAAATGAGTTTTCTGATGAAAAATCTTGTTTTTCTCGAAGGAATGCTTCCATGTAATTCTCGCAGGCATTAGTGACTTGCCTGAGATTGTGGAGCTCAAATTCAATCACGTTTTCTTCACAGGTAAACAATTATTCATCGAATTAGCTTTTTCGGGGGGGGGGGGGGGGGGGGGGGGGGGGGATTAAAAGGTTTGAAATGAATTGAAAATGGCAGTTATTTTCCAGGAAGCAGAGAGGAGGGCAGCAGGATTGCTGTGGCTGCAGCTCGAACGCTCACACCCGTCACTCTGATTCTGGATGGCAAGAATCCCTGTTATGTGGATCAGCACTGTGACATCACATCCACAGTGCAGCGCATTGCTTGGGCCCGTTTCCACAATGCGGGTCAGAGCTTACTGGCTCCCAGCTACATTTTATGCCACACAGGTGTAAAAGGGCAGCTGGTGCAGGCTCTGAAATGCTGTCTGATGCAGTTTTACGGTCCTGATCCTAGAGAGTCCCGCAGCTTTGGGCGCATGGTCAATTTGGAGATCTTCAACCGTATGAGAGACATGTTGTGGAGGTCAGGCAAGGTGGTGGTTGGTGGGCAGGTGACTGAGGCAGAGAAGTATATTGGTAAGAAGAACTCCATGTGGATGTCATCTGCTCATAGATGCAATGTAGTGATGACGCTCCTTTTGATCTAAGCCCCAACAGTTCTAACAGAAGTGGCAGAATCTGACCCCATCATGCAACAGGACGTGTTTGGCCCAGTTCTTCCAATTCTGACAGTAAATGATGTGGATGAAGCAATTGCTTTTATTAACAAGAAGGAGAAGCCCCTCTGTGTGTATGCATATTCCACTAACAGTAAGGTACATGCAAAATGTCTTAATCACAGTTTCTGGGTTATTTTAGTGCTTAATACTCGTGTTAATGCAGGTCATCTCAAGATTAATGAGCGAGACTTCAAGTGGAAGCTTTTGCTCCAACGACTGTATCTTGCAGAGTTTGATGGTGGCCTTGCCTTTGGGTGGAGTGGGTAAGTCTGCAACGTCCTGCACATTTAAAAAGATGCAAAACCATTACAATTAACACATTTTTAGAAGAATTTAATGTTTTTTCTAGGTGCTTGTGGAATGGGATCCTTCCACGGCCGCTACAGCTTCGACGCGTTCTCTCACAGCAAAGCATGCTTGCTAAGAGGCACACGGTTTGAATGCATCACCTATCTGCGTTATCCTCCATATGAAGACCGCAATCTGTCTCTAATGACCTGGGCCTGCACCCTATCCCAGAAGAGTCAGGGTTGGTGCCAGATCATGTGACTGTGATGGGAAGAAGATCATACACACCTGAAAAGCTGCTGCTGGACTAAAACACGAGGATATAATCCACAGGGGTCATGTGACACCCATCAAGACTTATAAAAACTAAATCTTTAACTCCAGTGTGGGATTAAAATTAAGGTTTAACTGATATTGTCCAATGAAACTAAGAAAAAATAATGTACACAAAACCTTTGATTTGTGAGCGGACATTAACAATTTTAAAACTTTTTTGTATTTAGTAGAATTCTGCATTTATAACAAATTGAGTATCTGCACACACAAGAAAAAATGAAGATCTTTGACTTTAGTGTGGTCACTCAGGTCTCTTGTAGATCTTCTCTTCGCTGCCTTCCTTCATGGCTGCATATCTGGCAAGCGTGAACAAGTAGTCGCTCAACCTGAGACAAAACGGGACACTTGTCAGGCTGGTAGAGAAGAAAAAGATGATCCCTTGGCTTTATTACACAACACTGACCTATTCAGATATTTGGCAACATCTGGGTCTGCCTCCCCAGAACGTACAACTGGAGTGACACTGTGACAGGAACATAAAACTGTCAGAGCAGGACAAACATCTGAATCGAATCAAGTTTGTTGGCAGTAAGAGACCTGCGCTCTGCTCTCCTGCAGACTGTCCGAGCAAAGTGCAACGCTGCACTGCTCTTCCCGCCAGACTGTGAGATACAAACCACACGTATGAAAATCTAGACCCTCATAAAATCTTTACAGAAGAAAGGAGGCTTACTGGTAAAATAAAGTTGGTCAGAGGTGGAAGTTCTTCTGTGAAATGATCAATCCAGGTTTCCAAGTCTGTAATTGGCTGTGCATTGAACTTAGTTTTCTCTAGCAAAAACAAATTGAAACAGCACAATGTCTAAGCACAAAGGGTAGTTTTCGTAAATGATACAGATGAGCCAGATTTAACCTACTTATATGACTTTCTCTTGCAGATGAGTGAGGGGTAGCGATGTTGGAGCCCACATCTTGAAGAACGCACTGTATCTGCAGTTATATAACAAAACATCTCATCTCTAGTGCATGCACAATATTAACTGAAGTACAATGTAAAATCCAAACCTTGTCCAGCTGGTGTGTGAATGTGTGACCTCTCTCAAGGCAGAATTCTCTGGCCAGGCTGTAAATTAAGACGGGATGGTAGGATTATTCTACAGAGTATAAAATATATATCACAAATCTTATAAATAAATTTTCACCATGGTGACTTTATAATTTTTGTTTAATTTTAACTATTTAAATGCAGACATTTAATTAATAGGGTTTTAGGCTTCTATTTGATGTGAAATGTTTTTTTTAATAAAATGTGCAGAATAAAAACATGCTACCCTATGGCTGATGATAGCTCATCTGTATTTCCCAAGGCTTCAAATATTTGAGCTTCCTTAGGCCTCCTTTCTCCTGTAAATGTGCTGGAAAAACCTGTACAGCAAAAACAAAACCAGCATTTCTAAATATACTTTATTGGAACAGAACATTTATATTCATTAACTTGCTAGATTAGCTGCTTCAAATGTGTTGGCAGATAACCTTTGTCTCCAGTTCTGGTGTAAATTTTAAGTGCATTGATGTCCCCGTCTGTGGCATAACTGTAAAAGAAATGTTTAATAATCTTTATTGGAATTTTGTAACAAACATGCAAAGCACTGTTGATGCTAAACAGACACATGAACGGAACACTTTAACATACAGTAGTCTTTCATAAATACCTTCGAGCTGAACACAAAAACGTCTGTTTTTGGTGTTCCCGTATGAGTTTGTGGTTCCGCACAAAACTGCGGAAAGCAGTTTTAATGAAAAACGATGTCATTTTGGTGCTAGCAGCGAGTATTTAGGTGTATTTTGTCCCTATGTTCCTCCCGTAGTTTGTAGGCGTTTCAAAACCATGGCATGATTGGTCAACTCATCGTGTCGTATCGGATTCCTGGATGATGATTGGTCAAAATAAACAGGTGAAACAATCCGCTGCGGTGATTGGATACAGGGAATGGATGCTATGCTCGTCTTTTTTGTATGGGTCTGTTTTTAGTCTGTCACGTTTGTCTGAAAGCTTCTACATGGCAGATTAGTGGTATTTGTTAAAACAAACAAACAGGTGCTTCGGTAAATGTCAAATGGTTGTCAGTCTTTTTTGGATTTTTTTTCCAAACAAAAACTGGTCGCGATTCTCTCAGCAGATTATCTGTAGCTAAACCTGTCATTGATACTGCCAGTGAGAAGTTGGATTTAGGACACGTTTTGGCTGTGGAACCTGTTACAGAGATGAAGGTCAGGGATTGTCTGGTTTCTGCTCCTGGGAAGGCCATCCTCCACGGAGAGCACGCTGTTGTTCACGGAAAGGTAATCCAGAAAACCAGTAACGAAAAGATGAGATGCACTGGAGGTTGAACTACAAGTTACACAACTATTACATTTAGAATATTATGACAAATCTGTGTTCAAACGTGTAGATTTAGTTTTATTGATCTTCTGCCTGGTTTTATGTTTCTTCCTAAGGTGGCTCTGGCTGTGAGTTTGAACCGCAGAACATATTTACACTTAAAAGCCACCTCTGATGGCACAGTGTGCATCAACCTCCCTAACATTGACACCTTCCTCTGCTGGAACCTCTCCGAGCTGAAGCAGCTTTTGCCTTATTTTTGTGGTGAGAGATGATGCACCACTTCAAACTAACGTGTTATTAATTTGTAATTGATCCATTACAACAGTTATTCTGGTACTGTGAGTTGATCTAGTGGTATTTTTGAATCCAGCGCAGGGATTGCAGTCTCACCTTTGGCAAAATTTGCGTGATATTATCACCTACTAACATGTTGAATAATTCTTAAAAAAAAAAGAGCAGAATATATTGATTTATAACATATGTGTTCATACATTCCTACTCAGTACATAAGGATTTCTTAACATGATATAATTAATATATTAACATCTGTTTAACATGCCCACAAATGAAAATGTGTGTAACTGTATGTCTGCTTTTTAAATAATATTAGGTCAAAGGGAGGCGGGACAGCGTTTGGATTTTGATCTTTTGAAGCGACTGCGTGATTTTATGGGTCTGACTAATGGAAATTTGGATACCAGCAACATGGCCACCTTAACCTTCCTCTACATCTACATGTCACTGTTTGGATCAGGGTGAGACTTTTTTATTGTATTTATTTATTTATTTTTCCTTCTTTTTACCGTGTCCTGTCTGGCTGTGAAGCAAACAGAATTAATGTCTGAATGCTGGTGACAAGCCTTACAGATTTACTCTCAGGTGGAGCATCAAAGCTTCTGCTTTTAATGTCACTCCTGATACTTAAAACTTTATTGTTATTGTTTTTTGAATGCTTGTAATTCCGACCAGACACGGAGACAGAGGTGAAAGAGAAAGGAAGAGACAAGAGGGGGTCCACAAAAAACAATCAATGATGAACAAAAGTCTGCTTGCAGACCTGCAGAAGGAGAGAGAAAAAAAAGAAAAGGGACACACAACAGGAGCAAGCTATCCCTGTGTCAACCTGATGAGGAAATATAAAATCAACATTGTTTTACTGAACAATCACAATAATAAATCACAGTGCATTAAGCGCCAATCATAGCCTTAAGACATGTGTTGAACGTGCCCAAGTCCATACTTATGAGAGCACCATGTGAGCACCTGTGTGTGTACCCGCGCTTGTTTATGTAAGGTTTCTCTATTGGAGCGTACAGTAGAGAGTGTGACAGGTGGTTTATGCTTGACGCGTCCGCGAGGTCCGCACGGCTCCGGCCGGAAAAGTTGCGTCATTTTGCGTCATTTTAACAACCACGCCCCTCCACCGCGCCTCCGCACGGCCCAGAATTTCCTCAACGCGCACCTCGGAAAATTTCTAATAGAGAGTGTGAGGCACCACAGATCTGTCCCCCCAAAGATGCGTAGGAGATGGAAGGAGCTCCAAGTCTCAGAGATCCAGGAGCTGCCCCAGAGCACAGGGACCCCAGGGAGACTGCAACCAGAAAAGCCCCTGCCCCCCTTGAGAGGCGCAGAGGATTGCCCCGGGGGGCCACAACCAGCAGACGGCAGAGTCCCGGGGGATTTCAGCGGCAAGCCCACAGGCCCGCCCGCAGCCTCCCACCCCCTAGCTGGCCGAGCCCGGAACCCAGCGACCCGGGACCCAGGGGCGACCAGCCTTACACGGGACCCAACAGAGCTCAGGGACTCAGATCCCACCAGGCAGCCATCGGGATTAATCAGGCAGACGCTAAAAAATCTTAAACCCCTGACCCAGGAGCCACGAACACTCAGGCAGACCAAGGCACTGCACTCCACACCAGGTGTGGCAGGGGAAGGGGAGAGGATGATGTATAGCATCAAAAGAAGTCCCAGGAGAGGGGAGGAGTCAAAGGCCCCACCTGACACATACAGTCATACACAAACACAGTCACACACTCCCTCCCTCATGCTCACACTCGCACATGCAACCAAAGACTCACAAAAATGCACGCCGGGCACCCACTCATGCTCCCCATACACACCCTATTCACTCTGGTCCTTGTACTGCTGCACAAAGGGTACAACCATCACCGGTTCCCAGAGTTCGACCCTTTCTGTTGGGGTGGTGATGATCAGGCTCCCTCGCCCAACGCCGAGCAAGATCCCCCTCCTAGCCTCCAGCCCCTGGAAAGCCAAGCGACAACAGAGGTGTGCTACAACTACAGCGTAAACGATCAGTTTCCTAAGGAAATTCTGGATCGCCGCCGAGTTCTCTTCCTGCTGCGTAAGAAGTTCATCCAGGATGGGAAGCGGGCTGTGATCTCAGTAGATAAACTGTTTGTGGACAGTAAGATCTACAAAGAACGAGGAGTAACAGACTGGCTTTATTAGATAAACTTCAGGTACAACTTTATTATTGTTAACAGCATGAATATGTCAGGATTTATAGCTGCTAGATTAGTGTTTAGATATGTTCACCTGTTCCCTCACCACCTCACACCCCCAACACATTTTCTTTTCTTCTTTTTTCCTTTTCTTAACCTTTATAATTCTTCTCTTTCTCCGTTTTATCTGCTTCTGGATCTTTACATCTGCATGGCACAATTAGCTTTTTTTTCTACACTGCAGCAACACACACGCACGCACGCACGCACACGCACACACACACACACACACACACACACACACACACACACACACACACACACACACACACACACACACACACACACACACACACACACACACACAGAGTGTGATACAGCTCTACCAAACACACCCACATCACCCCGCTTCTCCTCCAGCTTCACTGGCTGCCAGTCAACTTCAGGGTTCATTTCAAGATCCTGGTTCTGGTCTATAGGGCCTTACATGGACAAGCACCATCTTACATCGGTGATCTTCTTAGTCCCTACACCCCCAGCACATCCCTGAGGTCCAGTGATCAAAGCCTACTGGTTGTGCAGCGCACCAGGCTAAAGACCAAAGGTGTCAGATCATTTGCTGCTGTGGCCCCCAGACTCTGGAACTCTCTCCCCCTGAGCCTGAGATCAGTGGACTCAGTGGTCTCCTTTAAAAAGCAGCTGAAGACTCACTTGTTCAAGCTGGTTTTGGTTTGACCTCTGTAGCGTCACCGAAGGTCCTCTAATTTGTGGCAAAGGGCACATCTACCCAGCTGGGTCAAGCTGGGTCAAACAGTACTTTTAAATCCACAGATTAAACAAGGAGCCACAATGTCTGCTCAAGATCATATCCATATCTGCTGCTGTTCCATCCCAGGAGGAGGACACTTCAAGTCACGATGATAATAATTAGATAATAATAATTAATAAAACTCATTGATTTTATTATTTTTTTATATAATCATCATAAATGATCACTTGGTTCAATATAATGGTATTTTAATTACATGAAATGAATTATTATTCTTTGGGATAATAATGATTAATTATGATTATGGTTGATGACAGTAAAAGATGTGTTCAGCAAAGAAGGTCGGTACACCTTATCCATCTAACACAGAGTCCAGATAAACGATAACTGCAACACATGTTTTTGACGCATGATCAAAGCTGGGGAGAGAGTGGGAGTGTCCTGAGAGCTTGGTAAAACTGTAACCATCACCAGCTTCAAGTCAGTTCTTGAACCAACCCCACGGAGGAAGGGAATGGCCGTCCCTAAACCTCCTCCTGCTGTTCCAGTCACGCCGACCAGAATAGCTAAGAATAAACAAAACTGTAGCCATCTAACGAAGACTCTACCCAGAGTAATTGATTTCTGAGTTAAGACGAAAAACTCCTTCAGAGTTACGGACTTTGAGACGCCAATAGTTCATCAGTCGTGTGACCCACGGAGACAACCCAGGACTGATTTGGTCGCATAGAGGTCCTTCTACCATCCTCGTGCCCGGAGGAAATCATCTCCACCTGACATCTCGGATCCGAAAGGGGGTCTCCGGAAAATGGGTGAGGTAGACACTAATCGACAGATGACGTTTGATGCTGTTCTCTCTAAAAGACTCAGTTAGCCGCAAAACATCATTTCCATCCAGAACGCTTCCAACTCTCTGAAAGAAACCTTCTAATAATTCCATTCACGCATTCAAACTCGTATTTTTCAATTTAGCTTCCATCCAGCCACAGGTTTGCTTTAAAACGAGTTTAACATCAAAGCTGTTAAAAATTGTCATTAAATTGTCATCCATGAGTTGTCGTTTATAGTGTCGTTTCAAATCTTTGTTTAAAATTGTTAGTAATAAATTTCTTCATTTTTAAACTTGCCTCATTATTGAAACGAAACACAGAAAAGGTATAATATTTCTGGTTATTGACAAGCAAAGATCCTAGCGTCTGATTTAAAATAACTTTTGCTATTAAATCTGATTATCTAAATTAAACATTAATCTTGGGATTAAAATTAGACCAAACAGGTTGGTGTATGAACTTAGATCATACATAAGTATCCGGGATATTTATGTTTGATATAAGCCTCATAGGTTAATCTGATTGGTCATTTTTTGGAATCTCCAACTGAATAGCAACAGAGGTGATTCCAGTGTGTAGTTTAATTCTCTACACCTTCATCGCCCTCTCCTTGTTCTGTTCTCCCTGCCTATTCCACCTTCCTCAGGATCCACTGATTTCCCTCTTTCCTTTTCACTCTCTCTCTTTCTTTACATTTTTAGTCACAGTTGTCTATTTTTGCTCATTTTAAATATATTTGTAATCATTTTCTAAATTATTTTTGTTTCACATTTTTAGTTTTTGTGAAGCGCCTCATGATTTTTATCTTGAGGCGCTATAGAAATGATATTTTCTTCTTCTTCTTCTTCTTCTTCTTCTTTGTCTTCTTCATCTTCTACTACTACAACCAGGTTACACTCAGCTCTGTTATTAATAAGCAGATGTCCGCTTCATCTGGACAAGATCAAATATAAAAAGTATTCACAGATAACTAACCTTTTAATGAAGAAACAATGTTAATCATTTTTAATTTTAATATTGGTTTTATTTCATTTCTAAGGTTTGGATGTCTGTGAACATCACAGAATTTTCTGATTAGTGTTAATAATACACAATATTATTAAAGAACAGATCTGGATGTGGTTTGGTCTGAGGTGTAAAACTGTCCTGGGCCTAAATCCCTGCACATAGATTTAGTTTCTATAAACACCAACAACAAATAAATAACAGCAGCTGGGTTCTACTTTGTTCCTTAAATTGAGTCACGTAGTTTTGCACGGTCTGCACGCGGCCACATTCAGCAGCAGCTCTGCCAGCTGATTGGTTCTTTAGTAACTAGTGACATCAGTTCTGGTACTGAGCAGCATGTGTGCATCAGAGGAGTTCGCTGTAGTCAGAGTTCAAAATGGATTAAAGGCAGGCCAGGATATACAGGTGCTGGCCAGTAAATTAGAATATCATCAAAAGGTTGAAAATATTTCAGTAATTCCATTCAAAACGTGAAACTTGTACATTATATTCATGCAATGCACACAGACCAATGTATTTCCAATGTTCATTACATTTAAATTTGATATTCATAAGTGACAACTAATGAAAACTCCAAATTTGGTATCTCAAAAAATTAGAATATTCTGAAAAGGCTGAATATAGAAGACACCTGCTGCCACTCTAATCAGCTGATTTACTCAAAACACCTGCAAAGGCCTTTAAAAGGTCCCTCAGTCTTGTTTTGAAGGCACCACAATCATGGGGAAGACTTCTGACTTAACAGCTGTCCAAAAGACAATCATTGACACCTTGCACAAGGAGGGCAAGACACAAAAGGTGATTGCTAAAGAAGCTGGCTGTTCGCAGAGCTCTGTGTCCAAGCACATTAACAGACAGGCGAAGGGACGGAAAAAATGTGGTAGAAAAAAGTGTACAAGCTCTAGGGATAACCGCACCCTGCAGAGAATTGTGACGACAAACCCATTCAAAAATGTGGGGGAGATCCACAAAGAGTGGACTGCAGCTGGAGTCAGCGCTTCAAGAACCACCACGAGGAGACTCATGAAAGACATGGGATTCAGGTGTCGCATTCCGTGTGTCAAGCCACTCTTGAACAAGAAACAGCGCAAGAAGCGTCTCGCCTGGGCCAAGGACAAAAAGGACTGGACTGATGCTGAGTGGTCCAAAGTTATGTTTTCTGATGAAAGCAAGTTCTGCATTTCCTTTGGAAATCAAGGACCCAGAGTCTGGAGGAAGAGCGGAGAAGCACAGAATCCACGTTGCATGAGGTCCAGTGTAAAGTTTCCACCGTCAGTGATGGTGTGGGGTGCCATGTCATCTGCCGGTGTTGGCCCACTCTGTTTCCTGAGGTCCAGGGTCAATGCAGCCGTCTACCAGGAAGTTTTAGAGCACTTCATGCTTCCTGCTGCTGACCAACTTTATGGGGATGCAGACTTCACCTTTCAACAGGACTTGGCACCTGCACACAGTGCCAAAACCACCAGCACCTGGTTCAAGGACCATGGTATCCCTGTCCTTGATTGGCCAGCAAACTCGCCTGACCTTAACCCCATAGAAAATCTATGGGGTATTGTGAAGCGGAGGATGCAATACGCTAGACCCAACAATGCAGAGGAGCTGAAGACGACTATCAGAGCAACCTGGGCTCTCATAACACCTGAGCAGTGCCACAGACTGATCGAGTCCATGCCACGCCGCATTACTGCAGTTATTGAGGCAAAAGGAGCCCCGACTAAGTATTGAGTGCTATACATGCACATTCTTTTCATGTTCATTCTTTTCAGTTGGCCAACATTAGAGAAACAAACATTTTTTCATTGGCCTTTAGAATATTCTAATTTTCTGAGATACCAGATTTGATGTTTTCATTGGTTGTCACCTATAAATATCAAAATTAAACGTAATAAACATCGGAAATACATTGGTCTGTGTGCATTGCATGAATATAATGTACAAGTTTCACGTTTTGAATGGAATTACTGAAATATCTTCAACCTTTTGATGATATTCTAATTTACTGGCCAGCACCTGTATAATCAATCAAATATAGTATTATAATGCTGTGAACATGTATAGATACTTTATCATACATTCTCACCCATCTGTAACTCTACTCTGTTTCCTCTGAGCTCTTCTATATAGCAGCTCTATGTGTTAAATGTGAGCTTTAACATATTGTAAGCTGTAGTTTTTAGAAGAGTGTTTTTGGAGGCGGGAGGTTGACGCAGTGATAGCTTGCTCTTGTATTATTGTGTGTTTTATTTATTTATTTTTTGTTGTTGCTGTTTTTCTGCAGGTCTAGAAGCAGACTCTTGTTCAACATTGATTGTTTATTTTCGTGGACCCCCCCCCCCCCCCCCCCCCCGTCTCTTCCTTTCTCTTTCACCTCTGTCTCCGTGTCTGGTCGGAATTACAAGCATTCAAAAAACAATAACAATAAAGTTTTAAGTATCAGGAGTGACATTAAAGCAGAAGCTTTGATGCTCCACCTGAGAATAAATCTGTAAGGCTTGTCACCAGCATTCAGACATCAATTCTGTTTGCTTCACAGCCAGACAGGACACAGGGAAATAAAAAAAAGGGTGATTTTAAAGCTAAAAGGTACTTTTGTCATGGAGACAAATACTGCAATTTATTTGAGGTTATAATGAAAAAAATGTTTCTATATTAAAATGATTTCTGATACTTGGATAATTAAAGGGCGAGACAGAAAAATAAGTGATACATTAACCAAAATAAAAGGAATAAAGCATGTTGAAATACATCCATAAAGAGAATTATCGAATACGATTGGGTATATAATTTTATTTACTGCACAAACTTACTTGTTGGAAATTTAAATATAAAAATGTTAAAACATTCATTTAAATGCTATAGTTTAACAGTACAGTATAGTACAGTTTTTTCTGCCATTTTTACTCTTTCCAACAATTCATTTGTTTAATTTATGCAAAAGTTCTTATTGACAAAGCAAACTTTTAGTCTTGGTTGTAATAAAGACAATGAAGAGACCCAGACAGAGGTGTTTGTGACTCCAGCAGCTGTGAACAGGAAGCCTGCTCAGGAACTTTAGCGCTGCGGGTTGTTGGAGGGTTTAATCTACACTGACACGGTGCTGGCGTGTCTCATAGAGGTGAAGGATTTCTGACAGGATGGGCCCTAATGAGAGGCAGGCGCTGGGCCACTGTGCACCCTTTAACAAGTCTGGATGTGGTTTTCTCTGGAGAGAAGAAGCGGACAATTAGTTTAGAGTATTCTTCTCTCTGTCTGAAAACAGCCTGCATGACAGATATTGGCAGAAGTGTCAAGGGAGTTTCTGCAGCTCTGTGTGTAACTCTACATTAGTCTCGGTTTTTATGTGCAAGTCAAAATGACCTCTACTCATACTTTGATGCCGTTACATATATTCAGTAATAATATTAGCTGTGCAGAGTTTAACTATAACCGAAGCTTGGTCTTTATGATTTTGCCCTTAGGGAGCTGCCCAGCCTGAAGGTGTCGGTGTGGTCGGAGTTACCGACCGGAGCCGGACTCGGGTCAAGCGCTGCCTACTCTGTGTGTTTAGCTGCAGCTCTGCTCTGTGCAAGCGGAGCCATCCCAGCTCCTCTCAAAGAGTGGGATCACACGGCCAGGTAATAAATTAATGTAAAGGGAAATTATTATTATTATAGTTATTATTATTTTCAGTCAGCTTTTTGCACAGTAAGCCTATTTCTCAGCAGACATTTTAACCTGTGAATGCGTCACAGGTGTGTGAACGAAAGCTAATAACGGTTAACACACCTGTGCTTTTCTTACTCTCTCAGGTCAAAATGTTCTCTTTGAAATAAACCTATCATTAAGGCCCCGTGACACAACGTTAAAAAAGATGCATCTTTTAAAACTCTATTTTCTGTCACATCACAGTTTTTATGGGTTTGATAGTTCAAGGGAAAATAATGACTTTTTTTTGTTAAGTTATAATAGTTCAATGATCAAAACGATACATGTTTAAGAAGCTTTTTGCACTAAATGTGTCTCACATTAATCGATGTCAGCAGTTTTATTGTTGACATTTTCAGTTCCTTCTAGAATGAGCCGTTTCAGGACTTTAAGAAAATAATCCCTAATTCCCTAATATTGGAGCAGCTGTACTTTAATATTAGAGCTTCTCAGCATATAGCAGACCACTGTTTCTTGCAAGTGAGAGGTTATTCAATTCTGATTTTCGTCCTTGTGACATCACAAATGGTGACGTTTTGAAATGGCTTTTTTTTAGACACATAATTCCAAAACCAAACACTGACAAAAAAATGGATGGACAGATTTTTATCGAGTTTGGAGTATTTATAGAGAACGTACACATGACAGCAATAAGGGTGTAAAAGGTGAGCTTTGCTTACGTTCCCTTTTAAAGAAACAAAACTGATTCATCAAATAATTTGTTTTCTTTGTGTAAATTTGTTGACAGCAAGCTTAAAGTTCAAAGCCACTTCTTTTTTATTTTTATTGATAAAACATCAAATCGCGACTGAAAGACGACACGGTTAGTTAAATTAAAACCAGTTTCTCTAAAATCTGTTTATATTCCTAACCAATAATGGGTTGTTCACAGGTGCTCTGGCTCTTATTCTACGGTATATAATGACAGTGTGGATCTAGTGATGAAACCCTGCACAGCTTGTAAATAATATACTCTCTGGGGAATGTGGATAGCTGTGACGCCGTATCACTTCAGCACTTTTTAAATCACTAACAACATTATAGAATAAATCTAAATTATTGTGCATGAAGAGATATTTTGAGTCTTGGAGAGTCTTTCAAAAAACCTTCATGGGTGTTCTTTACCAACAGAGCACACAAAGCAACATTTGAAGATTTATTTTCCACTTTGGTTTTAATTCAGTGCTAAAAGTCCTGGGCCCTCATTTATCAACTGTACTTATGACCAGATCTCTGCATATTTCTTGCATAGGAGCGATTTTGCCCATTATGCGGCATTTACCAATTTGTACTTGTGCATAGAAATGTTCCTAAATGTAAGAACAGCTCTGGCCACGCGTACGAACAGCGTCTAGTGGTAGAACTGGAGAACCGCACTACTGAAGGTCTCAGTTGTCCACACAGGTCCTCATCCATAAATTATTTTACCCAATAACTAATTATGTCAGTGGAAAAAACAGCTTTTTTGCACAATTGGTGCTAAAACCAATGAAAGACACGTGACTGACAGGAATCTGACATTATATCGTGGCTGAGCTGTGTTGGAGGATTTGACAGAGCGTGCACACTAGAGGGGACGTGTCCTCTGTGAGCGTACTGATCTCCCCAAAGGAGATCCTTCTGGAGCTTTGCTGTGATTTGATTCCAGTTTGTATTCTACGAGAACCTCCTCTGCTCCCCGATCATACACGCTGCGTTGCCATGGTAACCAGACTGAATGACAGCTGCACTCAGACAACATTTCCAAGTAAAACTAACTCCAAACAGAACGACTCCTTAAATGTAAATGACAACCTGTTACTCTACGATTGATCATATTAAGTGTTTATATATTTCGGACAGGAACCTCTCCTCTGTCCCAACCGCGTTTATAACCTCAGCCACTTGTTTGGTTCTTTGGCGCTTCGGCAGCCGGCATCTCAAACTTGCTGTCAATAAAATGTTAGTTTTTTTGGGAGGGGAACCCAGAGAATTCCCTCACGTGCTGGGGACGTGACAGAGAGGATCAGCGATGAGGTGAGGAGGAGGAGATGGAACTGGATCGGCCATGTGCTGCGAAAGGAGGAGACGAGCGACTGCGCTGTGGCTCTAGGTTGGGCGCCTGAAGGTCGAAGGAAAAGAGGCCGACCTAAAACAACTTGGCGGCAAGTGGCTGAAGCAGAGAGAAACAGAGCAGGATGGTGTTCATGGAACTCAACAAGAAGTGCAGCTGGAAATCGATCCCTGTGGAAAAATTATGTCCTTGCCTTATGTGCCTCCTGGCACAAAGAGAAATGATGATGATGACTGGGGACGTAGCGTGACCAAAAATGGTTAATTGAGGGCGTGCCTGTATGTAAACGACTGAGAACGGACACAGGTGGGATTTATCGACAGACATTTACGGAGGAACATGTGGACGAGAGGCCACCGCATATTTCATAGATCAGGATTTTGACCATAAATTTCATTCGTAGGGCAGTTTCTACGAACATTTGATAAATGAGGGCCCCGATGTAGAACTCACAATTCCTTCTTTTACGGTTTATTCATCTTGAGTGCAGGTGGCATCAGGAGGACCTGGAGCTCATCAACAGCTGGGCGTTCCAAGGAGAGATGATCATCCACGGAAATCCTTCAGGAGTGGACAACACAGTGGGAACGTGGGGTGAGGCATGAAACCATGGATGTGGTATTTTTCCTTGTTATTAGGAATGTTCCACCATTACTGCGAATTATCATCACACACACACGCAAATGATTTTCTTTTGCTTTTCAGGAGGCATGCTGAGATTTTTAGCGGGGAAGATAATACCGCTCAGCAGGTACTGATGCTGATGAGCTCGTTTTTTAAATGGTCAATTAAACAAATAATAGTGTATTATTTTGTTAATCCCAGGAACTAAATGTCTGTAAAATCCTGACCTCGATCTTTTTTTCCTTCCAGGGTACCTTTAATAAGAATCCTCCTCACAAACACCAAAGTACCTCGTAGCACCAAGGTACTTGTTGCCAGGGTGAAGGACAGAATTAACAAGGTACTAAATGGTTTTTCCCTCCCCCCATGTGCTACTTGCTGACGCTATAATGAATATAATAGGCAGTGGTTTTGCACGGCTGATACTCCAGAGCATGGGGTTGAGTGCCTCCATAAAATATTAAAATGAAACTCTTAGGCAGGACCCCTGTGTGCCGTTGCCTTGGCGACGCCAGCAGGTGTTTAGATTTCCACCTCAGACGGAGATGGGCTCACAGTCCAACGTGCCATTGCGTAATCTGTAGACAAGTCTGTCCATCAAAAACACTGCTGGAGGTTTGTGTTTATTATTATTTCCCCTGCTCCAGTTTCCACCCATCATGATCCCCGTACTCGACACAGTTGATGCCGTTTCCAGCACTTGTGAAAAAGTCCTTACAGAGATGACTCGTGAGCCTATCACAGGAGAGCACTACAATACCCTAGAGGTACTCTTTATTAACAGAATGTGTAGAAACGTTATGCTTTTCTTTGCCGAAAATCCTCAACTATTATTTATGTAAGCAGAGGGCACCTGGTTAGTTTTAAACTAACTGTGTAATTTATAGGAGCTCATTGACATCAACCAGCATCTTCTGAATGTGATGGGAGTGGGTCACCCCGCCTTAGACATGGTGTGTCGGGTCACGTTGGCCAAGGGGCTCCACAGCAAGCTGACGGGTGCAGGGGGAGGAGGATGTGGCATCACCCTGCTGAGACCAGGTGATTTAAACACAACCTACAAACTCTAATGTTTTATAATAAAGGAACATTTTCATTCAAATGCAATTTTTTTGTTTGCATTTATATTGTTTACTTTATATTTCAATTTATAGTTCAGACAATTTTTATTGCCTTGTTTACATTTATACTTTAAAATGTTTGTGCACCTTAAACAGGCTGTGTGTGTGTGTGTGTGTGTGAGAGATGGAGAGCATGTGCGTGACTTCTATTTTAACCTTGTTATTTTATTTTACTTATATTTTAATACCTCCTTATGTGAGCTGTCTTCAATGAGTACAATTTTGTTGTGCAACCTGTGCAATGACAATAAAATGATCTAAATTTTAGAACTAAAAAGGGTTATTTGACATATTGCAAACTAGGGATGTACAAAAATATCGATACCCAGAAATATTGTGATGTTTCGAGCTGTGATACTGAATCGATGACATGTTTACACCTCAGAACAGAAGAGCTAGAGATGGTTGGTGTTTATTGTCTTGGCGGAGCCTCCAAACAAAGATGACCTTTATCCGACTGAAAGAGGGGTCAAACAAGAGTCCGGACACATCAGGAAAGCGTTTTCTGAATGAAAAGAGCTCAGAGACAAAGAAGAATCCAAATTGGATGCAGACCTTGCTACCGTGTCACTGTACTTTTATAATTGGTCAGCTTGGTTGAAAACACAGGCGCACAGCAGAAAGGAGGGAGGGCAGTTTGTCGTCAGAACACTGATGTAAAACCAACACTAGATGGTGTTGAAGCAAACCAAAATTTCCTAGTTTACCTTTAAAAGTACACATTTTTTGGGGATAATTTTCATTCAAACCTGCCCGGTAACCAGAGGGTTGCAGGTTTGAGCCCCACTCAGTCTGTGGCTGCCATTGTGTCCTTGGGCAAGACACTTAACCAGACACTTGCCTGCTGGTGGTGGTCGGAGGGACCGGCGGCGCCCATGTACAGCAGCCTTGCCTCTGTCAGAGCACCCCAGGGCAGTCGCGGCTACATAGTAGCTCATCAGTAATAGCGTGTGAATGTGTGTTTGCTAGGGCGAATGACTGGTAGTGTTGTAAGGCACCTTGGGGGGTTGTAAAACCCTAGAATGCTCTAAATCGAATACAAAACATGTATTTATCATTTACTGTATATCTTTCATGTGGTGCAATTCTAACTCCACCTGCTAGGTGGCAGCACTTTTCACCTTTATTGTGACGGGCCAAGAACATCTCGCGATAACTCTGGCCCAATCCCAATACTCGCACTTGCGCTCTTGCACCCTTCAATTGTGTGTTCCCGGTCAGGGGTGCGAGTGCGTAGGGTGTCCCCGTTCTCAAGTGTTGAAGTTGACCACGCCCCCATTGCACCCTTAATCTGCACGTCACCCAAGTCCACAGCGATGCAGACCTTGGGCAAGGGTATTACTCACAAGTCGTTGCTGCAGGAGAAAAGGCTCAAGTTCCTTTTCTGAAAACATTTTTATTATTTCAAGTTGTATTTTTTTATTTACTTCCATTGCTCGCAGTTTCAGAATAACAAAGATGAAAAGGCCTTGATACCCTTTTGGCAGATACCAGAGCTTGTAAATAAATTTTTGGGAGTGATTTTGCTTCGAGGCTCTTTAAAGGACTACTCAAGTTTTACTCAGGGTGACTGCGAGGGTCAGGGTAAAGCATTCATCTTGTACTTCTCCACATTGTCCTTTGTGGATTGTGATGTTTGTTATTGTAGAAGTTTTATTTCCAGTCTTTAACCATTTCACAGAATCAGCGATGTTTGTTTTCAGAATTAGCTGGTATTTAATTGAATTCCTTTATTTCTGTTTCTAGTGAAACCCTTTGTGCTCCCAGCTGCAGCAGCATCCCAAACCTGTATTGATCATTCTGGCTCTAACGATGAGAGAGGCCTTCTTTTTGATCACGCTTTTTGATAACACACACCAGGCAGACAAGAGTCAGAACTTTTAAAAGTTCACAGACTTTTCTCTGAAGCTGATCTGTACAATGAGTGGTTCTTTCTCTAAGTTTGTTTGCTGAAGATGATTTATTTTGTTGTATTAACATCTGCGTCATCTCCCTTCAATGTGCCCAAACCTTTGTTAAAGCAGTTTAATGAATTTGTTTTTATCAGAAATTTTTGAGCTGAAGGTCCCTAAAAACCCTCCATCGCTTTCAGTCTGTGATACCATCAGAGTGGCAGGAAATTATTTGGAGGTTTTACAAGACAGGGAGGTGTGTGTGTGTTATGTGTATCTCCTTTTGACAAAACAAGCGAAATAACCTGCAAGTTCAGTCTTTGTTGATGTCTGCAGCCTGCTGAATATTTCATCGTTTCTAAGTAAACTTCCAAAACCTTTATTTGTTTTCTCTGTGATACATAGCAACACGGCAATTTTCCAAAAAAAAAGAATACCTATGTCCTGTAAAGCTCACAGAGAGTGATTCTCTTTGACTAAAAGATGTATATATGTATATATATATATATATATATATATATATATATATATATACACATATATATATATATATATATATATATATATATATACACATATATATATATATATATATATATATATATATATATATATGTGTATATGTGTATATATATATATATATATGTGTATATATATATATATATATATATACATACATATATATATATATATATACATATATATATATATACACATACATATATATATATATATATATATATATATATATATACATATATATATATACATACATATATATATACATATATATATATACATATATATATATATATATATATATATATATATATATATATATATATATATACATATATATATACATACATATATATATACATACATATATATATAGCCATCAGAAGCTGTGAAGCATCTGAAATACATAATATTACCTGGATGTGTGTTTATCTGGAACTTCTGCTGTTTCTTTATGAGATGGTGTTGAGTCTTTAAACATTTTTTCAATGATTATTTCTGATTATAATCAGTCACTCTTGAGTTTTTCATGCAGGCCCAACATGAAAATAGTCTCCTACACCTATCTTCTGCATTAGAAGAAAATAGAAAATAGACTGTGGGACGCTAGGATTTGTAAAGCATGACAGATCTACGTCACACTGCCACGTAACGTCCATCTTGACTCACGACAGGGGAAGGCTGTTGTTGGTTTAGCGTCCAGGAAACAGCAGAGAACGTCTTGGCTAATAGAAGCTAACTTTTAGCATTAGCAACTTCACCACACAGCAGAACTTGTCCAGGTTTGTGTTATTTGTGGAGATTAAAACATCTAATTTGGAAAGCACACAGAGTCGGTGGTAGAGTCATGTTGCTGTTAGCAAACAGATGCATTGATTGATAAAAAGCATCCTGACTTATATATTTTGCAGAAACTGACTCGGCGATCATCCAGAGCACGATGCAGGACTTGAAAGACTGCGGCTTTGACTGCTGGGAGACGAGCATCGGTGGACCAGGTGTGCAGCAGCATTCCCCCTTCTCTATCAAGGAGGAAATTCTGGAGATTTTAAATCGTTACGGAGTTCCACGTGTGACTGAACAAGAAGACGGACTCACCTTATGACCTCCTTTTGCTCGAGGCTTGAGATTTACTGAACTAGTTCTGGGAGCTGAACTTGCCTAATCCTTTCAAAGTCATGTGACCTCTATGTCCACTAGGTGGCAGCAGAGTTGCACAAATAGGTTAGATGTATTTAGCTGTTTTTCACCCTAATAGACACGAACATTTCCTGTAGGTATTAGTCTTAAAAAATGATATTATTGGATTTTTTTATGCAGAATAATGTTAAAGGATTTATTTTTCAGGATATGACCTATAAACATAAATCATTTACTAAGAAATGATATCTATCAAGGATTCAACAAAGTTTCTTGTTTTAATGGTGATTTTGCTTTAAACAGAAATGATGAAATATAAAATGATGCCTCTGTGATTCCAAGAATATTTCCCCCTTCAGTTAAACTGGTTGTGTTGTTTTGCTGTTAGAGGGAGGAGAAGGAAGAACAGCAGGAGCGCCGGGCCTCTCTGGAGGTTCTGGATTAGTGCAGCTATAATGTGAATAAACAACAAGCTGCATCCTTCTGAGTTACACATTTGTGCTGACACAGACACAAACACACGACAGCTTTCCCCAAATTCTCCTCCCGTCTAATTGCTCATCCTCCTAAGCATCACAAAATATGCTGTAAATACCACGGATGCAGGAGACCGATCTGTTTTCCAGTATCCCTGATCTGTGGTAAAGGTCATTGTGGGATTCAGCTCAGTTTGAATATCCATTTCATTTTCTATTTTTTAAATGTCATGAAGATTGAGTAGTCCAAATCTGGCAGTGTACGTGAATAAACGCCATTTGTCACCCTCCCTCCCTTTTTCCTGCCCGGTGCCCCCTCTGTCCTTTTGAATTGTGTCATCTTTATGTCAGGGCAGCCCCCCGTCAGCGTGCTGCACAGTTGCCCGTAACCCCTGCTGGAATTTAATTACCACTGTGCTTTTCAATTGAAATGGCATTGAGGAGAGTAGGAGGGGGGTGAGGAGGTGGGGGAGACAACGAAGCCAGTTTTATTTGAAACCCCTCTTTTTTTATTTTCTGTCTCATTTTCTCTCAGGCCTTCTTCTTTTACCCCTGCAAGGCACAGTTGGTATTTTTTTATATCAATGTCAGTGCCTACCTCTTTTTGCTCTGATGAATAGAATCTAAGGAGGACCTGAGATTATTTCAGATAACCCAGGGAGGGAGGGAGGAAAGCGGGTCACGGATATGAGGAGCATGTCAGAATTAGAGAGATACGGTAGGAACAGGGTGCCGCTAACATCGTGCGGAGCGGCACGTACAAATCATTTAACATTTTGGGTGTTTTAGGGAGTTTTGTCTGGTTGAATCAATGCGAGCGAAGCGAGGATGAATAATTCATTTTGTCCAAGCAGGAGGAATGAAATGCTAAATGTGAATTTGCTGAGTGGTCTTGCACACTGTGGCACATTCCCTCTGGTCCCCCGTCAACTGGTGAAATGCTTGTCAGGAACCATTAAGATTGAATACAAAATTAGATCTGGCTGACAAGATATCATGATGCTGATGTCCAGTGGTTTTTGCTAATGGGGTTTCAGCATATGGCTACTCACAGTGGGCATTTGCATTCAAATATATACAGGCCGCTGGTGCTGGATCACCATTTATCAAAAATGTCTGTTTTGTGTATAAATGATTGGGAAAGATTTGTGCTTCCGTCGTCTCTCTGCAGCATCAACATGATGAGCTCTCCCCCGTCACGATGGAGCTGCGTGATCCTCCTGGGGGTGTCTGCCCTTTCAGTAAGTGAAGGCTAGTGGCTCCAGCAGTGGTCCAATAAAGACAGCAAGGTGGAAAGATATCTCCAAAGAACTCACTCTAAACAGATTACAGCTCCGAGTAAATACGCATGCAGGTGTAGTCAAGTCAGAATCTCCAAAGAGGGCTGTTGGGTATTTTTATAATTGTACCTTTTTGAGGCCTAAAAGACGCCCATTTTGTGTTATTAAAACTTCATGAATCTCTGTGTTTGCCAACTGTTCATGAAAGGTTGAGCAAGGATGTTGATTGTGGATTTCCAAAGAAACCTCTGTACCACTGTAACCTGAGAAGGCCCCGCCTTCTCCTCCATCCATTGTGAATAAAGCCCCTGACGAACTAGGAGCACATTGGGAGTGACGTGGGGAAGCCTCGGAGGAGGTTCCTCTGCGTTAACTCTCCATATTTTGGGGATTCAGGGTAAAATGTCTTCCTTGTTGTCGTGTGTGTTTATTTCAGGTTCCAGGGTTATGGAGATTAAATATTACCCCACATGTAATTACTTAACATTTTGGTGGAGATGCCGGGGATGCAGAGCTGGTGACCTGAAGGCTTTCCCCAGGAACAGAGGGGGGCTGGTTAGCTCCATGGAGGGGTTTCTGCGCCCAGCTCTCGCATGACGATTCATGGACATTACAAATAATCTCTCTCTCTGTGTGTGTGTCGTCCTTTAAGGTAATATGGGATAAATCTAAAATTACCTATCAAGGGCTAACGCAGAAGCAGAAACTGGGATTAAAGAAGGAAAACTGTCAAACTGCAGAAACTTTTCCCCCTGCTCGACACATAACAAAGCTAACATATTTTCTCAAAGCTTAATCCTAAATATTTAAATTCATCAGGGCTTTGCCATTAAAGCCTTGTTTTTTCTGATATTTACATATCTTATGATGCTGATGCTACTAAGTCGGTACAGTGACATAAATGATGCATTTCTGCACATTGTTGCCAAAACATTGGTCCGAGGTTATATTTATCTAATGTATTTAGAATAATGAACCATCCAATAAAAGCAGATCTACATCAATTTCTTCTGATTTTAAAGTGTCGTTTCGTCTCATTTATATAGTTTGAATGATGCTGTGTGTGGTTCATAAATCTGCTGTGATGAGAAAACTTTCAGTTATTTGTCATGTTAAGATTTTATTTATTTAACTACAGTGTTAGTGAGCTGGAGGGTCAGAACAGAACCCCAACAATACCAAACCTAGCCATGGAAGGTTTTCCCTGCTACTTTTTGGTAAATGAAATAAAACACCTCTGAACATACAAATCATTGTTATTGTATGGATAGGGTACCACTGCAGTGGTTAGAGCTGTTGCCTTGCAGCAAGAAGGTCCTGGGTTCGCTTCCCGGCCTGGCATCTTTCTGCATGGATTTTGCATGTTCTCCCTGTGCATGCGTGGGTTCTCTCCGGGTACTCCGTCTTCCTCCCACAGTCCAAAAACATGACTGTTGGGTTAATTGTTCTGTTTAAATTGTTCTTAGGTGTGTGTGTGTGTGTGTGTGTGTGTGTGTGTGTGTGTGTGTGTGTGTGTGTGTGTGTCATAATACTGTATGTCCCCATTAAAGATCTGTCCAATGAGAGAAATTTAGTCCTTCAAAAACAAAAACAAAAAAAAAAAACACTGCTTCTGGAGTCAGCCTAAAATGGTTAGCTGAGCCATCACCACAGCTGATGTCACTCTTCTCAGGAACTTCAGATCCTTTCATCAGCTCAAGTCAACTAAAACCAAAGCCCTCAACTAAAGCAGATATTACAATATACAGTCTATCTATCTATCTATCTATCTATCTATCTATCTATCTATCTATCTATCTATCTATCTATCTATCTATCTATCTATCTATCTATCTATCTATCTATCTATCTATCTATCCATCCATCTATCTATCTATCTATCTATCTATCTATCTATCTATCTATCTATCTATCTATCTATCTATCTATCTATCTATCTATCTATCTATCTATCTATCTATCTATCTATCTATCTATCTATACTGTATATATATATATATATATATATATATATATATATATATATATATATATATATATATATATATATATATATATGTATATAGTACCAAACACATTCTTTCTGATTCATTTGAAGTAAAAAAAAAACCCGTAAATGTTTCTTTGACCTCAGCTGCAGACATATTTGTTTTTGGTGGCCCCATTGGGAACCTGTTTTAACATTTCCTAACGTAGCCAAAACATTCCAGATGAGGTTACCACCTGAAAGCTCTGTTTGGTCTAGAACCGCCTTTCTGTCATCTTTATATAGCAGCTCCACTGAGCACAGACCTCCTTGTGCAGAACAATTGTAAATATGTGAAACACATGACACACAGCGGTCCACGTCCCACTTTCCATTATGGAACTGTGTCATGTCTTAGTATTGATCCTGTAATTGATCTTGTGAAGTTGAGGGCACGTGCAACATACTCCCTCTTCCCAGAGCACCAGGAGTGCTCTCTCTCTCTTTCTCTCCTCTCTCTCTCTCTCTCTCTCTCTCTCTCTCTCTCTCTCTCTCTCTCTCTCTCTTTTTAATTGCGGGCTAAGGCACTGGCTTTTCATGTTGCCTTTGAAAAGCCTCATTGATTTTTATACCACCCTTCATCCTCGCCATGCTCCGTTTTAAGAGCAAATCCCTTGTGTCAGAGTTGCCCCGATTGTAAAAGTATGAGATCTGTCAGTACCTTTCACAAGGCTTCCAGGTGCTATTCAGACACATTAACACTCGTGTTTTAAAAGTCAGCCTTTTGGGTTCTTTCTGTCTAAACAGGAGACGAAGGGGAAAAAAGGACGTGTTGCATTTTCCCAGACTCACTCTCACATGGCAGCTGTTGAGTTTAAGACTTGAGTGGAGCCAACAGATATGATTTATAATCTAAATCTGCATGAGTTGAGTTTTTTTAACCTTAAAGAATAAATGTTAATGACATTTTTTAGTGCTTTTATTTGCAGAGCCTTATGTAGTGTCATGAATGTCCTGTTTTTGACCTAAAGGTCATGATCTGCTGCGTCTGCTCGAGCAGAGACATAAAGTCTCTGACAGGCTAACCTACATGAGATAGTGGCCAAGGTCTTTCTTGCACTCTGCTCGTCTGAACTGCTTCACCTCTGTTACAGCTCAATACGAAGACAAAGACGAAGAACTCTCTTTTGATAAACGCATAATCAACAACTCTGTTATTACCAATAATAATGTGAGCCCAATGTTCAATCAATCTATGAAATGACAATGTTATTACTTGATATTATAATCCTGTGATCAGGAGTATTTTACAAGTTATTATAATCTTGGACATTTGCACTTAACACTAATGACACGTAATGCTAAAGTGACACGACACATTTCCTTTTGTCTGATCCAATCAGAACCTTCGTTTCTGGCGCGAGGCGCGGTTATCTCTGGTGTTTGTATAAACCCTCTTTTGCATGTCAAATTCTGATTCGCCAGTAAACCAAAATATGACAATTATAAAAACTATTCCACGCCACCTTTTCTTTGGTTCAAGCGTTCTAGAGAAGTTTCGGACAGGCCATCCAGACTTCCTCTTCAGCCAAAAAGAACCTCGACAGGCCGGATAAAATCTGTTGCAAGTTACATCTTACCGCAACGGTTCCTTCACAGTAAAAGCTGAACCTCACAACCCCTTCAGGGTCTCGCTGACGCCAATAACCTGTCGTGACCTGGAAGCATTCCCAGACTAGTTTGGTCGGCACCGCTGCTTTTCTACCGGCTTCGGCTCCAAGGAGGGTCCAAGAGGTCCTGGACATTCTGGATCTATTGAGGCTTCCCCTGGGGTACGTAGACCAACAGATGGCGTTTCATGTGTGTTATAAATCTCCTACTAAAGTTTAGAGTGAAACATTCGCTTCCACTCAGAACTAAATGCTTCTCCGGATCCGCTGGTTCTGATAACAACATTCCACACATACATCGTTCAACTCACGTCTCACTCCACTTCAGTTCCATCAGTACACCGAGTGTTTAAGTTAGTCTTGTTTAAACTGTGTAGAAATAAATGTCTTAACTATTATAAACCTGACTCTCTCACTTTCCTTGAAGTTGATACGAAGTGTCACATAATCCCTGCAATAAAAAGTTCCGATCTTCTAGTTAAAATATTCAAAGATCCATCAGATTGATGTTTCATATTTCTATGGAATTTCACATTTTATGGTTCATAAGTAAGATGTAAACGACCCATCCTTTACACTTACAAGGATCCAAAGACTTACATTAAACAGAAGAGGAGGCCTCAGGTTTCACCTTTCCAGCACCTACATTGCAGCTCTGACTCTAATTCCAAAACAGTTTCTTTCTAGGTCACACCCTCCTGCATCTAAGCAAAACATCCATGCCCACACAATAGGGCCTAACGATTTCAATGACTCCCGTGGGGTAGGAGAGGGGTATTCATAGGTAGTTTCTGCTCGTTAAGCAATAACAGACAGCTACAATTTATAAGCTTGACTCTCTTGACTCTGAGAAATGAAACGTCTTCAAGAAACCAAAGACATCCAGTTGCATTCATTCAAACACCTTTGGATTACCACGACCTGGATGACTGAGAACCTTCACCAGCATCTTATAAGGATCTCAGAAATACATAACCTGATGCAACAATAATGCAAATCCACTAATCCAAACTGGATTTTTTTTTTAGGTTTTAAACTGGAGCTCAGATTCTGACACAGAAATATAGTCGTGTATGTGGCTCCATAATATAAAACAAAAACAGCCTCATTGAAATTTGATTTGCATTAATTTGAGAAGCAGCTTATCTAACATTCATACCATGAACTTGCTTTGAATTCAAAATAGCTTCTCATAATTTCCCTGGGATTGCAGTCAGTTTATTGGATTTTTTTCCCTTCCTCTCCACGGCTCAGGGGAAGGCGATCTCAAAATGTTATCACGTGACATGATGTGATTGATGGACCATTAAAATGTCAGCCAGATGTACTTAAAACTGCAGCTTTTAGGTTGATAAATCACAGCACAAATGGATACATAAAGCTGTTAGAAACAAATATTCCCATCTCGAGCTATCTGCAGTCAGATAGTAATGGATGTTCAATCTGATGCTCTGTCTCTCTGCATGTTTCTGTTTCACCCCCCCACCCCGGTGCATAGTGGGTCTGGGCCGCTGCAGTCATATAATTACAATAAAACAGGTAGGAGTGTTCATATTTCATCTGCTGCATTGGTGATAACATCTAATAATCCGAAAGCGTAGCAAAATTGGTATCTCGTTGCTCATGCATTATGAATGAGTCACTGATTGCTTTTTTGCATAGATTAGCAATCATTTCACAGAAATCTCTGGTATAAAAACCGCACCAGGGTGGTTGTAGCTCTTGTTCTGAAGGGCTGAGTCGCCAAATCGTGCTGCTTTTTAACATAAGA